AAGCAAACGAGTATTATACAAAGTCTGCCTCTGGAATACATGTGTACATAAATGAATACATGTGTAATGTAATACTATCGGGGGGAAAGCGATTGTTACTAATGGAGACTGACAATCCCATTGCTAGCAATATACCCAACCAGGTCGACCTCCTCGCGGTTCTCCCTGGAAACAATCATGGTTAATTCCTGATGAATTCATCATGATGGGCTAACTTGCCTGTTTTCATTTTCATCGATCACCCTACACAGGTGCACCGCCAACGTATACCGTTAGCGCAGGCGGGGATACCATACCATTTTCACTCATCAAAAAAAAATTTAATACTATCGTATTAACAGATCGCTAGTGTCCCCTCACTACGATTATTATGTTTTTTGGCACATTCCACAATGTTAGAATTATGTGTGGGTAGACTTTCCAATATTTTTTTTCACTGATATGCACATCTATTGTAGTATCTACCAAGTTTTAAATACTTACCGAGAACTCCGTCGTTTATAAAGCGTTTAGGATTTTTTTTTATTCGAATATTTATTTTTTAACATTAATTTTTTTTTATTTAATTTGTTATATCTCTCATCTAGAGGTAGTTTTAGACACGGGCCAAAGCCGAGTGTTTTTGGAATGTCAATTCAATGATAGGAACTTACGGACCAGGCGACATGTATTTTTTTTTTAAATGGATGATGATGGAATGGTAACCCCACCTGCGCTATCGGTATACACCGGCGGGGCACCAGTGAAAAATGATAGGTGAGGATGAAGTAGGTCAGTTAGCCCATCGTGACGAATTCAACAAGAATTGTTCACGATCGTTTCCAGGGGGAACCACGCGGAGGTTGACCTGATAGGGCATATTGCTAGCAATGGGGCTGTCAAACTCCATTGCTAACAATCCTTTCCCCCCCCCCCCCGACTTTTTTTTTTTTTTTGATGGGCGAAAATGGTTGTATACATAATGTATGGAGACTTGTGTGTAAGGTTTTCGGGATAACACCCGTTGTAGATAAAACTTTTGGTATTGTTTTTACTGTACTGAACACGCCATTGGGATTTTATTTCTATAGACAGATTTGTGTATTTAGCCAGTTTTTCATAGTGTGTTTTTTTCAAATTGTGCGTGTTGCATTGCTGTGTCTATAAAGTAAACTGTTTCATTGCCTTTATCAAGTTTAATCTGTTATAATAGTTAGATCCCAGTATATTTTGTGACGTTCACTTGAATTATTCAATTGTCATTGTATATTTTTATTTATGGTGCAATAAAGAGTTAAATAAATGAAATAAAAGTGAACTAGTGCGAAGCCGCGGTGGGCAACTAGTATGATGTGTAGTTTTTTTTTTTTTTTTTATTTATTTAACAAAGTATGTTTGTATTAGCACAGAATTTATCATTGCTTCCCACACTAGGCCGAGCCTGTCCTGCAGGAAGCAGTACTCGTGTTTGCATATACATGCATATAGATATTAGACATAGGCTTTTTAGCAGTACTCACAATTGTGTAACTAATCTGTGTAATACAATTATTTTATTTTATTTATTTATTTTTTCTTTCTCTCACCACCAATACACATGTATTATAGTATATAAGTATATAGTAAACAACTATATTTGACTATCTGTAAAAGTGTCTAGACATAATTGGTTCTATCTTATCGTAATTTTTTTTTATGTAGCGACGGAAAATATAATACAGTCTGTTGGTGAGGGGGGGGGGGGGGGTTGTAGTGATGTGTTCTGCCAGTCCTATTGCCAGCAATATAGCCTATCAGGTCGACCTCCACGCAGTTCCAGTTCAGTTCTACCAGAGGGAGATTTTGTACAAAAGTCGTTTGCTTGGATATCTCTGTCCAATTTGTGTTTCAACCTTGAAGCAGTTGTTTGCATGGCCGTGTTTCTGTTTGAAGGGTGGGATATGGCAGTGAGTTTACAGGGTACAGAGGAATAACACCTGAGTCCTCAGGAATGGCAACGCATGGGGGGTATCATGGGCGAAACAGTATACTTTGTTGTGTCCATGGTACTGCTCATGTCTATAGGCGACCGTTTCCACTTTCCATCAGGTGGGCCGTCAGCTTGTTTGCCATTCTAAGTTGTATAAAAAAATTATCTTGATTAATTCTTGTGGAATTCCTCACGATTATACACCGATAGTGCAAGTGGTATTTTTAATGGATGATAATGGAATGGTAACCCCGCCTGCGCTATCGGTATACACTGGCGGTTCACCAGTGAGAGATGATAGATGAGGATGAAAAGGGCAGGTCAGTTAGCCCATCGTGATGAATACACTTGGAATTCAACATGATGGTTTTCAGTGGGGACCACGGGAAGGTCGATCTGGTTGTGTATATTGCTAGCAATAGGGCCCTTAGTCTTCATTACTAACAATCCCTTCACCCCTGAAAAGGCAGATCAGTTAGCCCATCATGATGAGTACACCAGGAATTCACCACGATGTTTTCCAGGGGGGACCACGTGGAGATCAACCTGATATTGCTAGCAACACCTTCACCCCCCCCCCCCGCAGCAGGTGGGTTACTATCCCATTTTAACCCAATAAAAAAAATAGTTGCGAGTTCCACACTCGTGGAAAGGAATTGTCAATAATGGAGTTTCGCAACGGGCTAATTGACCTGCTTTCATCACCTATCATCCTTCACTGGTGCCCCGCCAGCGTGTACCGATAGCGCGGGCGGTGTTACCGTTCCATTTTCACCCTGAAAAAAAAAAACAACGTTCAAACAACATACAATAAGATAATTAAAGATCAAAAAGTCCAATGCAATGTAATAATACATACAACTCATACAATTCATGCCGGCATCACGCGGCTGACAGCCGAGACGGGCGCGTGCGCACCGCGGTCACTATGCTTTAGGTATGTTCGTGGACAGTCCTGCTTTATGAGTAGTGTGACACAATGATGAAGTCAATTGGGATAAAATATAATCACGTCAAATCGACGATTACCTTATCATTGATTAGCCGTTTCCGGCGGTTTTGTCTGGTATGTTAAGTTTTTTTTTGATGGGTGAAAATGGTATTGTAACCCCGCCTGCGCTAACGGGATACGCTGGCGGAGCACCAGTGAAGGGTGATAGATGAGAATGAAAACAGGCCAGTTAGCCCATCATGATGAATTCATCAGGAATTGACCATGATAGTTTCCAGGGAGAAGCGAGAAGGTCGACCTGGTTGGGTATATTGCTAACAATGGGATTCTCAGTTTCCATTACTAACAATCCCTTTTACCCCCGGTATGTTAAGTTAGGATATAACCTACCTGTTTGGGGGGAAGGGATTGTTAATAATGCGGACTTCCAATTTCATTGTTAACAATATACCCCATAAGGTCCATCTCAACGCGGTTCCCTTTGGAAACCATAATAATTAATTCTTGATGAATTCATCAGGTTCCACCAGACCGCCTGATCTGCTCTTATCCTTAGCTATCACCACTCACTGGTGCACCGCCGGCGTATACCGATAGCGATTTTTTTTATACAACTTAGAATGGCAAACAAGCTGACGGCCCACCTGATGGAAAGTGGTAACCGTCGCCTATAGACATGAGCAGTACCATGGACATAACAGAGTATACTGTTTCGCCCATGATACTCCCATGCGTTGCCATTTCTGAGGACTCAGGTGTTATTCCTTTGTACCCTGTAAATTCATTGCCATATCCCACCCTTCAAACCGAAACACAGCCATGCAAACACAACTGCTTCACGGTAGAAACACGAATGAGACAGAGGTACCCAAACAATCGATTTTTGTACAAAGTCTCCCTCTAGTTATACAGCAGTTAACTGTCCATTGCTGAACATAGGCCTTCCCCTAATGAGAGGGTTTGCCAGCTGTTGCCACTCTTGACAGCTGGATTGGCAACCGCAGTTAGGATTCGGTGATGTGTTAAGAGGATCACTGCTGCCCATCCCTCAACTGTTAAGTTCCTTTACTCACCTCGTATGACAACCACGGGAAAGAAAGGGATGGACCGTTCTATATCGGGACCACACGGCAATCCAATATATTACTCAATCCTATTTCAAATGCTCTCTATTGAATGGAAATTTTATTATTATTATGTGTTAAAAAGTCTCTTATCGAATATTATATTTTGGACAACAAACATTTAACGATTTTTTAATAAAGTTATATAAATTTGGTATTTTATTAATTAATGTACAGTTTAAAAATATAATAATAGTTTGTACGTATAATTAATAATGTAAAAACTGTGGGTATATATACCTGAAAATAAAAGATTATAGTAAGCAGAGTCGTGGGTTGTGAATTGAAAGACCCCGATTGTCAAAACAAGTTTAATACGAGCAACAAGTAACACAGTTGTTAGCAATGGCGGGAGCGCGCTTTAGATCTAAGTACATATGCGAACGTATTGGCGGCCGGCGTAAGACTATTGTAGAGGGCGCCAATGTCTATTACTTATAACAAGCGGGTGGATGCCCGCGAGTTTCCCGGATTGGTTGTTCTATTATGTTGGTAGTAGTGACGGTAGGTTGTACCTTAAGATTTATTTATTATAATTATTAACTTATTCGTTTTTGGACCACTAAAATATATAGATATAGCTAACATATATTATATATTACCCATCCCTACACTAGTATAGTTATTATTTATCATTGTCTTGCTTTTTCTCACTTATTTTCAGAAATTTATTGATATCCTACATAAAAGTATCGTGATTTAATACCACACTAATCTGCATTTAGGTAATAAAAAAGTCATTAAAATATTCCGCAAACGAACAAGGACAATAAACCCAAATATCAAATTCAACCGTGACCTAATTCTATAAATACATAATCAACAAACCGAGACAGTCCGAGAGAAGAACAACCATAACATTGTCACCCTACACATCGTTATACACTGCGCGGGCGCATCTATATAAACCGAATGTACCTCATAAAATGTTTAGTACGTTATCAACCGTGAAACTGATCGCACGTATTGTTCACAGATGTGTGCAGCTATCGATATGCTAGCTTCGGAGCTGTTCTACGGGCATAGCCCACCTGCTAGCTTCCTTACCGACTACACACCTCCTCTCCGGCGGCCCACAAAGCTCACAACAAGAGGCTTTTCAGCGCCATGCTTAACAGTTTTAAAACCTGTACAATTCACATTGAAATCAGCTACACGATCCTGTTTAAAAATGCCCAAAGGCAAGATAAAGAAGAGCGTCGTTTTCGCTGACGACAAAGGCTTAGCGCTTGAACAAGTGAAGGTTATGACAGAGCCTTCCCACGTGCCCCCATATTGGGCCTTAAAAGAGGTCGAAAGTCCAGAACTGGAGAGGAAACCGCCGCCTCACGTTGATGACACATGGGAGATGAAGTTTACCCAGCCAGCGTCAGATTACGTGGAATTTAGAAGAAAAATCACAGAGGACTGTGTTGCATTGGAGAATGTGATAATCAAACAGAACGAGTGTGCAGTGGATGGGACGGTGAAAGTGAAAAACCTGGACTTCACCAAAGAGGTGTTTGTCAGACTGAGTTCTGATGGTTGGGCGACGAGTGAGGACGCATACTGCGCGTTCTTAGAGTCTGGACCTGTAAACAAAAACGGCTCTTCCGTGTATGACACGTTTGGGTTCAGATTGCAACTGCCCATCCATTCGAGGAGAATGGATTTCTGTGTGTGTTTCACCTGCAAAGGTGTACAGTATTGGGACAACAATAAAGGGAGGAATTACACTATAGAAAAGTCTTCAGTACAAAGTGTGCCTGCAGTTGCTTGTGCGAGGATTAATTATGGCAATTCTTGGTCATCGAGGTCGGGCGGTGATGGGGGCACTCCATATTGGTGATACCATACTGGCCTCTCGTCAGTTCACAGCTGTACATTGGTGTTTTCATAGATACATTGTGAATCATTCGATTTATTAGTGCTCTGTGGTTTTAGTGCCATAAAACTTTTCTTGTGCCAAATTCTCGGAGTCTGATCGGCTGAATGCGACAGGAGTTTTGAATAAGTCGTAAGTTAGTATTTTAATTGATTCTTAGTTTTTTTTTTTTTATTTAACACCTTGTATAGGTGTTAGAAAGTGCCTTTTTAGATGCACCAATGAATTTATTGCTATAATAATAGACTCGTTTCTAAACCGCCATTGCTCAAACCTATCTCTTAGTGCTTGAATTCGATTGTTTTTCAAAATTACTGTTTTACGGACTGCTATAAACTAAATTTACAATATATATGAATTAATTCTATTAGAAACTGAGTTCATACTGCTCTTTAAGCTGTGATATCAAATAAAAATTTTAATTTTTAGAGATAGGTTTAAAACAATGGCGCATTCGAATCGATCCCGTTGAATGAATTTGTAAAGCCTCAAATTAATATGCCTATTTTGAATTTTAAATGGAATTAAAGATACTTCTACCTACTCGAGTAATTGAATAATTAATTAGGAGTTAAGAAACGAGTCAGTAACTAAAAAGTGGACCAAAATACCTACACAGTTAGATTAATACCTATATTTTTAACCGCTCGGGTCAATACCCATTACGTTGACTCAAGATAATAAAATGCATTATATACATATTGGGGTCGATCCGAAGGTGTTAATTTTCGAAATCTATCTCTTAATCAAGTGTTTTAATTTGATATTTTTGGAAAATTACTGTTTTAAGGATCATCTGCATGAATAAATACATCGAGTATCCTATACGCCATGCCAGAATATAATCTACCCGTATTCAGTTTCATTAAAATCCGTTTTGTAATTTTTGCATAATATAATCAGAGGGAGACTTTGTACAAAAGTCGTTTACTCGTGCACCTCTGTCCCAATTGTGTTTCTACCCTAAATCAGTTGTTTGCATGGTTGTGTTTTGATTTGAAGGTTTAATTAATGATTATAAGAAACTAAATTTATAATAATTCTGTCTTAAATCTATTAGAAAATTAGTTGAATATTGGTTTTTAGATTAAGTATTTCGCTGTGATATCAAATTGAAATTATAATTTAGATATAGAATTTAAAAAAAATGGCGCCTTCGAATCGATCTCATTGTTGTATTTTTAATTATTTATTATTTTGTAAATACATCAATTAAGGGTTTACCCGTAGCCATATTACGTTTCTTTTGTATTATTTTTTCCTTAAAAGACACTTAGGTGATTGTAATTTTCATGGGCAATTGTTAGAACTAAGTCACCCACGATGTGTCAATGTGATTTCATGGGAATTATGGTATGTAGCTAAATTTTTAGTAGGTATTTTTGTCAATAAATTTAATGACAATTTTACTAGGGAGATATAATGTAGGTACTATTTTTTTTTATATTAATTAATGTAATTTAAAGACATGAATCTAACAAATAACAAGCATAATAATACACACATAAGAGTTTTTTTTTTCTATTGTCTAGTCGTATTGTTTTTATCTATGCAATCGAGATATACTCTTTTACAAAATGGCGGGAAATGTATGCAGACGAAAGACTTGTTCGCGGAGAATTATCTGTGCTGTCTACTGAGAACTTATTGTGGATTCGAATGCGTTATACAATCTGTGTTCTATTTTGATGCATAAATAAACTTCTGTAATAAAAACACAACTGATCTGTAAAAAAAAAATCACATTTAGTAAAGACGCCATTATTAATTCTTTTTACAAAAAAATATAGCTAGATGTCACTAGGGATGGTGCGAATGGTACCCCATCCATATAACAACCTTATTTTATAATTACAAATGCTAGCATGCCATAAAAAGAATGGTGACATTCATACAGTTTGTTTCCTTTGCTTTTCAATGCAGAGATAACAGACTTCCGCTACAACCGCACGCTTCTATTTTTAAAATAGAAAGCACATAAAAAAATTACGTCCCCTTTGTCTATGCCGTACATTTATTTTTAATTCTGTTTAACGCGACAAAAATCTTTCACGTCTGCAGTATTCAACCCACAATGGCTGTCGTAATTTCTAAATAGTTTACGTACTGGCATAATGCCAAATGTTTTCGTTTATCAAACAGCATTGATGCCAGTTTGTTGCAACGGAAATAAATAAAAAAAAAATGTAAACAAATCTATTGATATAGTTAGAATATAGAATTAATTACTTATAATAATATAATTATAATTTATACAAGGTAAAATTCAAATCATTTGGTATTCTATAATTTTATAAAGCAATAGCAACCTGCTCTGGCTTCGCTCGAGTATAATGTAGAATAAATGCGGTGTCAATGTGGAGTGATTTTTAATATATATATATATTTTTTTACAACTCAGAATGGCAAACAAGCTGACGGAAAGTGGTAACCGTCGCCTATAGACATGAGCAGTACCGTGGACATAACAGAGCATACTGTTTCGCCCATGATACCCCCATGTGTTGCCATTCCTGAGGACTCAGGTGTTATTCCTCTGTACCCAGTAAATTCACACCATATCCCACCCTTCAAACCGAAACACAGCCATGCAAACACAACTGCTTCACGGTTGAAACACGAATAGGACAGAGGTGGCCAAACAAACGACTTTTGTACAAAGTTTATCCATCTAAATACCTTTCCAAACTTTATATAATTTGTATAATTTCTTTTAAACATTAAAATTGGTTGTAGAAAGCTATCCGTATAATATAAAATGCCATCGCTCACATTTTTGTGTAGTCCTATAAAAGAGAAACAATTCCATCATACATTATTTTGTTATATTTCAGTGTTTTCGATGAAAACTTTCAGTTGATTTGATTTTTTCCGACATATTGAACAATTATCGTCATATATCAACAAATTAACACCATCTTGATCCATCGCTAATTGTTAATATGCCATAGAGAAAATAAAAAAAATGAATTAAGCGAATCTGAGGCGCCATTTTGTAAATTTATCTTTAAAATTAAAATTTCAATTTGATATTACAGCGAAATGTTTATGGTAAGGACCAATATGAATTAATTTTGTAATAGATTTAAGCCAAAATTATTATAATTTTAGTTTATGATAGTCCATAAAACAATAATTTTATGAAATTATCAAATAAAAAAGTAAATTCTGAATGACGCCTCAGAATTAAACTTTAATATTGACAATAGGTAAATATCGAGTAAGCTTCGGATATCGTAAACTGTTTAAAAATACTTTGATATTGATATATTATTTGATACTATATTTTAACAACATTAAGGAATCTTAAACAATAGACTGTAAACAATATCGTAAATTGATTGCAAGATATTTAATCGAGGTGCCGTGTTTCCCGCCTTTTTGATTACGTATCTATTATCAGTGTATGATGGCATAGGTTAGTTTTGTTAAATGCGGCTCTTATCTGTATACTTGCATAGTGTAACTTTTTTTTTTCTTAACGGGAACACAAATAAATTTATAAAAAAAAAAACAAAGTTGATTTAGTTACAATATTTATAACTCCAGAACGGCTAAACATATAACATATATAATAACCGATAGTTAATATATCTGTTATTGGACCAAATGTGAATAGATATTGTAAGCACAATATATAGTTATCGATGTATATTATCCACCTTTAGTCGTATCAGATCTCGCGTACTGTTAGTGTAGGGCACTTGTTTAATATACCTGTATAAAAAAAAAAAACAACTTTTTGCCACACACCTAAGTAATATTTTTTTTATATATTTTTACAGTGTTTTATTATTTTGTTTACACTGCACTTTTACTTTTTTGAAGGTCCATTTGACTAGCGACGCACGAGACCCTTAGTTCAGGGTTTTATTAAGCCCGAATGATAAATTAAACTAATTAATTTTACTGGCCAGACCGGCGGACAGAAACCAGGTCCGTAGCTGGGCCGTAATTTTGCTAGCTAGATGACATCCTGATTTAGGGTTTGTATAAGTTTATATAGGCATAATACTGCTGAATTATATAGAAATAAATGATATTGCTATTCAGCAATAATATATCTACAGGCTAGGGTTGTTACAGTACATTATAAATGAGTCTAAGCGTACTTTTTGTCCGTCAAAATAACACAAATAACGCACACGAGTCCGCGAAAAGTCCTCAATAAACAAGACGTGGAATTATGTCCCAATGCTGGACATAGTTCTTTTTACGAGAAAAATTTTATCCGAATATTACCTCTCTGGCGAAGCTAGCGTAGAATTGATTTTTTTTTTATTTTTATAATAACGATTAATGAAAACGAAGTAATTGTCATTCAACTTTTTTGTAACAGCAAAAACGTCATGTAATGCAATTGAAACATGTTTTGTTATATTTTGTTTTGTACAGTGGTGATCTATTCTACCTTTAGTTATGTAGGTTATACAAATGGAAAAGTCAGGCATAACCGTCTGTAAAAAAAAGCATTTTTCGGAGACAGAATATTTTCTCACAGCCTAGACAGAGAACTGTAAGTATTATTCTTAATCTAAGTAGTAAAGTTGATGGTCATAGATTAAGAATGGTGAGAATAAATCTGTAACGCCATTTGTCTAAAACTTTAATATTTGATGTCACATTTTTTTAAGCCCATGGACTAATATAAACTAAATTTCTAACAGGTTTAAGTAAAAATTGTTATAAATTTAGTTTATTATATTCCATAAAACAATAATTTCACTATATTTTCAATTTTAAATGTAAAATTAACGAGATAAGTTTAGGGAAATAGCATTTCAGAATCGACCCCAGTACCTGCGATCTCTTTCTACGAGTAAAATTTATATCTATCTACACAGTAAAAAAACGTGGTGTTACTAACAAAATTTAACAACAGATGGCTCTATTCGGAATAAATAAAAAAAATCGGAATTTAAACTGTACGTGATATATAATATATAGGCCCTGTATTGAGTTTTCTAACAGGGCAACCCAGACTTTTCGAGTTGTATGAAATGACCTCCACTGGTTCAGTAAACGATATGATGTATGTAAGTAATTTATTGTATACTGAATGATTAATGTTTGTAATTATATTATATAAGTAATTCATAAAAAAAAAAATGTAAATTGTATAAATAAATTAAGGGTTGGTTTAACGAATGAATTTTAAAGAACTGATTATTTTATTGTTCACTTTACTGAGTTTCAATGTTTGTAATGTATTCTATACTTGATGATTTGATGATTTATTATTAATTCTGATATTAGTTTGTAATTAAAGCGTTCACGCGGATGTTTACTAAAGTGTGGCAACGTCGGAAATATATGTCGATCTTAAGTAGAGATGGGTGATATCCGATATATATATATTGAGTTATTCTAGATATTGATGACTACCTATTGCGGTATCACACATACCAGCCTGATATTCATTACCAGTGGGTTATTCTTTTCGATATTATATTTTCGATAACGGATACTTAATATATCTATTATTGGGTCAATATATATATATTGTGAGTATAGTATTGATATATATTATCCATCCCTAATCTTGAGTACTATAAGTATATTACTATAGGTTTGCATTGACAGTTTTTAGAACGAGGTGTTCTAATATTTATTTATTATATAAATTAGTAAATAAATATTTAATTACTTTAACAATTATAGTATTAACTCAAGTACATACACGAATTCTACAATTAAACGGTCAAGACGAAGAAAACTATTTGGCTGGCAACTTGTCTATTCTATCCATCGACAATTCTTTGAAATTTATAATTACAGAGTAGAATAGAAATAATCTTTATTCAAATAAGTCTTCTTTACACAATCTTTTTGCAAAATTTATTAATTAAAAAAAAAAAGAACTTTAATACTATATATATTATAAGGTTGTTTTTTAAATAATCGTTAAGTAAGATTGAAAGTTATAAATTTTTTTTTAATTGACAGAGAATTCCGATGTTGCCACATTTCAGTAAGTTGATTCGAGAACGCTGTCAAATCTATTTTTTCTTGCGTATCTTTTTACAATATATAATCTTAGTATGTCTTTAATTAAGAACAAGGAATTACATAGGAGTGATAAAATTGTCAATTCATAGCAGGCCAGTGTATAGAAAATGTTATACGGCCGTATAACGCTACCAAATTCAGATACAACCTGTTTGCATACTTTCTACATAAACTGTGCTATATATTGGATATAATCTAGTAATGTAAAATTTGTCATTGACAAATAATTGACATCTCAAACATTTTCTATACACTAGCCTGATATGAATTGAGAAAAATAGCAACTGATGGTGTATCTTTCGTCCTCTTTTCACTCAAGAAAGGAGGTAATCATATGATTTAGTTTTTATTTTATCTTTCCATCTATGTAATTCCTTGTTCTTAGGTTTGTTCCTCAGACTAGATTAACCTGTGTTTTGAGGAACCGGGCAAAGGATATCTGGGTACACTACACAGCTTAGAACACCCGGATTCGAGTAAAATTTGAAAATTTAATTTTTTTAACTTATAATATTGTTAAGAAGACATTTTAAAGTTATGCCACAGATAAGCAAGAAAAAGTAGGTTGTTATGAATGACTGACCGTTGCCTGTAAATTTTTTTGCAATACAATTTTAATACATACGTAACAATGTTTGTTTTATTTCTCACTAGCGACCCGTCCCGGCTTCGCACGGTGCACATCACATTAGAAACCTCTAAATTTATCAGTGTTCCTCTACAATATTATGCATGCATTATACATATAAACCTTCCTCTTGAATCACTCTATCTATTAAAAGAAACCGTTTCAAAATCCGTTGCGTAGTTTTAGAGATTTAAGCATACATAGGGACGGACAGACAGCGACAGCGACTTTGTTTTATACTATGCAGTGATGTACCAAGAGAATGCAGATTTGAATACTTACACAGATAAGACAAGAACATTTTTAAATAAAAAAAAATACTGGTCAGGGATGGCACATTCTATGCCGGAACTACAGGGCAGCTGTTATTATTTTAGTATTGTACCATTGAGGTGGCAAAGAAGCATACAGCCCGTCTGATGGTAAGCAGTTACCGTAGCCTATGATCTCGAGTAAAGCCGCGAGATATAGCTAGTAGCTTAAATAATGTAGTTGCAAAAGTATCAACAGTAACGTGTTTATCGTATCAGTGTATGAGTACATACATACAAGTCATACATTGATTCAAGGCGAAGCATTGATTTTAATGACCTAGCCGTAGGTCAATAGCTACCGCTCAGTTGAGAGAATGTATGAGTGTGTATGTTGCAGTAAATACAAAGAATTCGCCATTTTATGTTGTCAACCGACTTCAATTGGGGGGAAAGGGATTGTTAGCAATGAAGTTCGACATTGCTAGCAATATTCCCTATCAGGTCGACCTCCACGTGGTTCCCCCTGGAAACCATTGTGAACAATTCTTGTTGAATTCGTCACGAAAGAAAGAAAGAAAGAAAGAAAGAAAAATATTTTATTCAGTGCAATGTAAAAAATACAATATAAACAACAAACGAGAAAAAAAATGAGCAAATAAAATGTACATATAATTAAACTTAATTTACCATAATTAAAAATTAACATAAAATAATCATTATTACATCCAAAAATGCACTGAAATGGCTCCACTCAGCTTTAATGTATGTCCTAGGTGAACATACAGCTGGTTTTCAGTGGCACCAAAAATATATATATAAAAAGGGGGGGAGAGAGAGGGCACTATTTATAATATTCATGATAATAATTAAAACAAAATTACAACTAATAAATACAAACCAATCACATATACTAGAAAGAACAAAATAGAATAAAATAACATTAATAAATATAAACATTAAACATATATATACAACTACTTTGCCGTAAGATTTATAGGTTAAATAGTACATAGATAATTCTTGTATAGTTTTTTAAAGGTGAATAATGATTTGGCGTTCCTAACTGGCGGTGGAAGATTGTTCCAGCATTTCGTAGCAGCGTACTGGAAGCTACCACGAAAAACAGCTGTTCTGTATCGTGGACAAAGTAAAAGAGAATTTATTCTTATGTTACGCTTTGAAAAATTTAATTTATCATACAGATATGAGGGCTTTTTACTGTGTATTACGCCAAAAAGCAATGAAGCAAAATGTAAATTTCGACGTGCTGTCATATTTAACAAGTTATTCTGTTCCAAAAAGGGAGTGATATGAGCACGACGAGCAATAGGAAAGCAAAATCGAGCACATGCGTTTTGGATACGTTGTATCATTTTCTTAGTTCGAGCTAAAAGGCACTCCCCAAACACATTATCAGCGTAATTAAACTTAGACAACACTAACGCTTCGCACAGTTTGATTCGAATATCAACAGATAAGGATTCGCGCAGCCTGTACAGTACTTTTAGTCTGTAAAAACAATTACGCATGATATCCAAAATATGTTTTTCGAATTGTAATCTCTCGTCCATAACAAGACCTAAATTTCGTGCATATGTCACTTGTTCTATATGATTTCCAGACAAAACGATTTGTGGTTTACGTGCATTAATATCAGTTACTTGACGTTTGGAGCCCAATAATATGAACTTCGACTTACTGGGATTAACAACTAAACAATTTTGTTCACACCAAGAGGCTAAGCGATTCAGATCTTCATTTATTCTATTTACTACCGACTCAGTTGTATCCGGTTTTACAGATATGTATAATTGAAGGTCGTCAGCATATAAATGATAATTACAATTTTGAATAGTGTAAGTAATATCAGTCGTATACAAAATAAAAAGGATAGGCCCTAGTATAGATCCCTGTGGGACTCCTCTGTTTACAGATAATGTAGCAGAGGTTGACACATTGCCACTGTCATCATTAGTTTCAACATACTGTGTGCGGCCGTAAAGATAGCTGGCAAACCAACGCAAAGCATTATTATCAAATCCATAAAAGGCTAGCTTTGATAATAGGAGTGAGGTATTAATAGTCTCAAATGCACGTGAGAAATCTAGCAGTGTTAATATTGTACCATTACCACCATCCCGCGCAGTCAAAATATCATCCACCACATCCAATAAAGCAGTGGTAGTACTACGAGACTTTCTGAAACCGGATTGTTTTTTAGGTAAGATACTGTTTGATTCGAGGTATCTTGTCATTTGTATACAAATAGCCTTTTCAACAACCTTAGACATAAAAGGTAGAACATTAATAGGCCGTAAATCTTTAAAATCCTTTGGATGTTGCGTCTTTGGAATAGGTCTAACTTTGGCTAATTTCCATAAATCAGGAAACACACCGCTTTCAATACTTTTATTTACTATGGCAGTAATTATATTTAATGTACGGGGTAATGTAATCATAATCATATCCAAAGTTATACAGTCAGCGCCTTGCGCATTCGATGAAAAAGATTTAATTATATTGTAAACTGCGGTTTCAGTTACTGGTTTTAGGGTGAATACAGCAGAACCAAAAGTATTATTTTTAAAATAATCAATTAAATTACTGTCAGCATCTTCTTTTCCAGGAAGATTAAGAAAATGTTGGTTTAAGCTATTAGGTTTATTCAAATATGCGGGAAGTTCAAAATCTTTTTTGTGAAAATTGACTACATTATTTTTGATATTTTTCCATAAGTTACGTGCATTATTTAAGTTTTTATTGATATTATCATTAAAATATGCGGCTTTTTCCCTAAGAATAGCTGTACTAACAATGTCTTTTAATTCTTTGTAGTATTTTTTGTGCGTTTCTAAATTAGTAACTTTACTCCTAGTATGCGCCTTATCTCGCAAATTAATCATTTCTTTAATAGTGTAGGTTATCCAAGGATATGAACGTTGTTTCATTTGTATACGTTTTATCGGAGCATGTTTATCAAAAAGACCCAATATATTTCTATTAAATGCATCCAACATACAATTAACATTTTCATATTTAAAATCCTCCCACGGAATAGAATTAACATCTTCATTAAACCAGTCAAGATCTATGTTCTTTAAGGATCTACAAGTAAACGTCCTGGGACGTGGTTTCAGTTTTCTAACATTAAGAACACAGGTGACTAATGCGTGACTACTAAGTTCAGGAATATAATTTACATCAACATTGGAAACGTTCATATTTGAGAATACCACATCTATTAATGTTTCACTGTGATCAGTGAAGTGAGTAGGCTCTTTAACAAATTGTGTGTGATTAATGCAATTAAAATAGTCAAAAAGTTTCCTTGTGTTAATATCAGAACTGTTTAAAAGATTTACATTGAAGTCTCCCAACAAAACAATATCATCAAAATTACCCAGAGTTGAGATAGATTCACTAAGGGCATCTATAAATGTATCTACATTAAGCCACGGCGGGCGGTATGCCGTTCCAATAGCTAACTTGGTACCATTGAGATTAAGACTCAGCCACATTTGCTCGACAGAAGGTGCGCATGGGTGAGTAATAGTCCGCGCGTTAACTCCTCGTTTAATATAAAACCCAACTCCTCCGCCTCGCGCACGCACGTTAGAGGGTCGCGGGATATGACGTAATCGGTATCCAGGTACTGTGGGTGCACGCGCCTCCTCGCCCTCTCTAAGCCAAGTTTCATTGATAGCAACGATATCCGTGTCATGTCTCAACATAGCAACAATAAATTCATCATGTCGCGTACCGAGAGATCCGGGGTTTAACAACCCAACAGATGGGCTAACTGGCCTGCTTCATCCTCACCTATCATCCTTCACTGGCGCCCCGCCGGTGTATACCGATAGCGCGGGTGGGGTTACCATTCCATTATTAATTGCCATACCAACATTAATCGCCTCTTACGACTTTCACGGAATTGAAAAGGGTAGCTCATTCTATGCCGGGACCAGGTAACAAATAAAATACAAGGCAAAATAGTAGAACGAGTACTTATAAGTTTTTTTATTTATTTTTTTATAACAAAGGGCTCAAACGAGCATGCGTCTCACCTGATGGTAAGTGACTACCCTCGCCCATGATCACCCACAACACTAAAGGCATTGCGCGCTGCCGGCCTTTTAAAGGCCGGCAGCGCGCTGAAAGCTGTTTATTGAAAAAAAAAAAAAAAAACAAGGGAACATTATGACGCGTGAAAAATTATTATTCTTTGTTATTCGTCATTGAACTTAAAAAGTAAAATTGTGTTTTTGATTTCCGCGCGATTTTGATTGATTGATTTGATTTGAGAAAAGTACTATACAAGCCTTGGCCACAACTAGGCATTGATGGACTCACGTATGTGTGCCTCGTTTGCACGTTTGCACGTTCATCCATCAATGCCTCAGTTGCTGGCCGTTGCAGTAATGTACTATTATACATCTTTTTCCTTAGAAACTTTTTTATTGAAATTGGTTAAAATGAGTTGCTTGTATAGAGCGTTTACTGTATTACGTTTTATGTTTTTATTGGGTTTATCAGTTTACATAATACAGTTCGCGGCTCGTAAATAGAAATCAGTTATTGGCTTTCGGTCAATCGACCGTACGAATGATAGTCATGACACAACGTCGACCCAGGCAGCCGGCAGCTCGACTAGTTGATATAGCTGATAATTTATGTATGTCTCGTGTAGTTGCCACGTGCTTTTAAACGTGTAGGGTTGTCAACTAACTTACTTAATACTAGTTAAATTCAACGACTTAACCTACGTATAGTCCAAATGTTGACTGGCCAGCAGTTTGTCATTAAAAAGTAACAAAACTGCAACATTTTCAAAGTTCTTTCTGCAAGAGATACAGTATTTTTTTGGCCACAGCAGAATATCAGTTTTTTGCTCTTTTGAGGGTGAAACAATAAACTGAATCGCGGCCATTTTGTGTTACTGTAGTACTTATAGGCCACTTAGAGACTATTTCTCTACACCTATGTTTAATACAATTTGATATCACAGCGATCTTTATTGTAAACACCAATATGAACTAATTTTCCAATAGATTCAAACCAATAATTATTATATATATTTTTTTTATACTACTAAGATGGAAAAACAAGCATACGGCCCAACTAATTACCGTTACCATAGTAGGCGTAGTACGGTAACCGCTTACCATTACGTGTAAAATATTTTCAATTTTAGAAAAGTGACAACCCTAACACGAAAGCAATATTATCAGGGGGAGGTTATCGAATCGTATATTGTACAACAGACAGGTGCTGGCGGCGTGGAAATTATGTATTTGTGGCAACAAGGGTCATACACGACATGGCACTCGTGCTGGTCAGGGCTGCCTTCAGGTTCAAAGACGTTCAAAGACCTAAGTAGGTACTATTTTTATAAATGGTAATGGAGTAGTAACCCCGCCTGCGCTAATAGTATATACTGGCGGGACACCAGCGAGGGATGATAGGTGAGGATGAAAGGTCAAGTCAATTAGCCCATCGTGATGCATATATACACTACAGATGGAATTCAGCATGATGATCTCCTGGGGGAACTACATGGAGAACGGCCTGATAGGGTATATTGCTAGCAATGGGACTGGTAGTCCGCATTACTAACAATCCTTGTGGAAAGTAGGGGGGAAAGGGGTTGTTAGTAATGAAGACTGAGAATCCCATTGCTAGCAATATACCCAACCAGGTCGACCTCCTCGCGGTTCTCCCTGGAAACTATCATGGTTAATTCCTGACGAATTCATCATGACGGGCTAACTGGCCTGTTTTCATTCTCATCTATCACCCTTCACTGGTGCTCCGCCAGCGTATCCCGTTAGCGCAGGCGGGGTTACCACACTATTTTTATCCACCAAAAAAAAAACCCCCCGTGGAAAGTTGTTGGAATTTTTTTATGCAACTTTAAATGGCAAACAAGCTGACGGTCCACCTGATGGAAAGTGGTAACCGTCGCCTATAGACATGAACAGTACCATGGACATAACAAAGTATACTGTTGCCATTCCTGAGGACTCAGGAATGGCAACCTCTGTACCCTGTAAATTCACTGCCATAACCCATCCTTCAAACAGAAACACAGCCATGCAAACACAACTGCTTCACGGTAGAAACACGAACGGGACAGGGTTGGCCAAACAAACGACTTTTGTACAGTCTCCCTCTGGTGAAATTTGAAAAGAAACAAATGATTTAATGATTAATTGTTTTATTTACCCTTAATTTAATAATATAATTGTACAAGTTTAATATTTAAAAAAGTTCTATTTTTATGGCAGCAATATTTACGGAACACAAAGTTCGTTATACAATATAAACAAAAAACAAAAAGGAAAAACAAAACAAGTCTGTTTAAAATTAAATTTTCAAAATAACAAGCTTCTATATTGCAATCCGCCATTTTGTGGCTGCGGCCATTTTGTATGATTTATCGTCACCTACTTCTTTTACATATTAGCGAAATTGACAATTTACACATCACGCGCCATCTTGTTGTGGCGGCCATTTTGAAAATATTACAACACTGAGTACTAGATATTGTATTGCCGTGTAGTCCAGGCGTAGAACCACCCCTTATCCCGTGGGTGTCGTAACAGGCAACTAAGCTTAATGCTCGAGAGATAGGAAGCAGCGTCCCTCTTAAAACATCACCAAAGGGCAAAAGCACTGGCAAAACCTCCCTTTTGGACAAGACTTATACAGCACAGGACAGTTATCGGTTAATATGACTACAGACTTGTCTTGACTTGTCAACAGAACTACAGATATGTACAGAATTTCAGCAAAACCGATTAGAGTAATTGTTTTTAAATTAACACACAATAATATTGCAAGTAACAATTTGTAAAAACTAACATTTGTGGCATGAACTGTTTCTTTAATGCAACTTAGAATGGCAAACAAGCTGACGGCTCACTTGATGGTAAGTGGTAACCGTCGCCTATAGACACGAGCAGTACCGTGGACATAACAGAGTATACTGTTTCGCCCATGACACCTCCCATGCGTTGTTATGCCTGAGGACTATAGTTTTATGCCTCCATACCTGATAATTTCACTGCCATGGTTACCACTTTCGATGAGGCGGGCAGTCAGGTTGTTTGCCATTCTTTATTGCATATTTTTTTAATATTACTATAATTTATTGAATTACATTCAATAAAAAGAAAAATATGTTACACAATTTAAAATTTGTGCTAAATATATAAAAAAGAAACATTTTGTACTTATATATATATATATATATATATATATATATATATATATATATATATATATATATATATATATATATATATATATATATATATATAGGCCTTTAACTGTCCACTGCTGGACATTAGAGATGGAGATTGGAGATGTTTTAAGAGGGACGCTGCTGCCCATCCCTCGCGCACCCTTAGTCGCCTCTTACGACACTCACGGGAAAGGAAGGGGTGGCCTATTCCATGCCGAGACCACACGACGAACATATATATATGTACTCTCTATTGTTTCCTCCATAAGATTACATTAGTAAACTTATTATAGATACAAACAATTACAAGAAATGATCACAATGAATATGAATAAATTAATAATTTAGAAAGATATAATGACAAATCTCGCTTCAGATGCAAAACCTAACAATATAGTAATAATATAAAAATTGGGAGGTATCATGGGCGTGACAGTATACTCTGTTATGTGCATGGGTACTGCTCATGTCTATAGGCGACGGTTACCACTTTCCATCAGGTGGGCCGTCAGCTTGTTTGCCATTTTAAGTTGTATAAAAAAATAATATGTACTGGAAAATAAATATAAAAAAAAAATACAGTTTTTATTTGGAAATAAATAAACAATATTATAAATCATATATTTTATTTGCTATTTCATTATTACTTACTGTATTATACTATTTAGTATATATAAGCTAAAGTTTGAATCGTTAGCTTAGACGTAATATATAGCAGTATGTATATATTAGGGCAATATCTATGTACAGTATCTATATATTAAATATTAATGATCTAAAATGTAATATTGAAATGAACATAGATATCCGACCGATATGGGCGATATCGAAATGGGTAATGACCTATTTCCCGCTATCAATGTCCAGAGGCACCCAATGTATAGATATCGCATCGGTATCCATATTACCTCGCCTACGCCTAGTTCATCTCGAACGAGCCCTTCATTTTTATAGTATATATTGGATAAATGATATTTTACTACATCCTTGTTAGTCGATTAGAATTATTATGTTTATATCCACTACTATTAGTAGGCGATATTTAATATATCCGTTATCAGACCAATATATATATATATTATAACTGCAATATATAGTATATCATTACTATATATCATCCATTAATCCTATCTATGTTTAGTTGCCATTCTTTTAAGTGTGTTTTACTACTAGTATAGTCTTATACTATGTGGTTCTACGGGGAAACTGAACACTTTCAGCAAAGGAACAGGGAACGAGAAGTGACAAGACATGTCGAGCCTCCTATATCGTCCAGCTGACGAGTTAGTATGGGGGGCTCGAGATTCTTTATAATATTAACTAGGCGATCCGCCCCGGTTTCACACGGGTAGATAGAATTTTCGAAAAAAAAAACGTATGTCCTATGTTATTCGTTGATTGTATTGCTTTGTATAGATGAAAGAATTTGTGAGCGACGACCTCAAATGTATTGTCAAGTCAGTAACGAAATCAGTGGATGCAGGTGGCTAGGGACCGTCCTTTTTCGCAGTCTGTGGGAGGCTATGTCCAGCAGTGGACGGATAACGGCTGACATGATAATGACGATGAACATACCCAGCAGCATGCTCCACGAAGATTGTCTTCAAGTTGAAAATGTTCCGATTCCTGGTAGAACACTTCCCGAGTAACCTATTTTAAACTTTACAAATTGTAACTTCAATGAATTAGTTTTTACAATACAGAGTCATTTGATGATCAGATATCATCATTGGCGTATTTAAGGTCACCGTGTGGTCCCGGCGTAGAATGGACCACCACATCCTTCCTCGTTGGCGTCGTAAGAGCCGACTAAGGGAGAGCGACAGATGAGCAGCAGCGTCCCTCTTAAAACATCTCTAAAGCCTGACTGCGGTGGCTAATCCGCCTGCCAAGCGTGGCAACTACTGGCAAAACCTTTCCTAGGGGAAGGCTTATGTTCAGCAGTGGACAGTTCAAGGCTGACATGATGATGGTGGCTTAGGGATGAGCAGCAGCGTCTTTAAACATCACTGCAGCGTAGCAACTATTGGTGACCCCCCCCCACCCCCAAAATATGGGGAAGTGGACAGCAGTGGACAGTTATGATATGATGTAAATGATGCCTATATCGATGATGAGCCTTACTTCGATTCGTTCTTGATCGATTTTCGGGTGACTGTGACCGTAAACTCTTTGGAGGGCTGGATCACCGCCTGCCCGTGACTACGCCTGTGGATATGGCATGCCACGCTATGCACATTACAGTTTACATTGAGCTCCTTTCCTGGGTATGTTTGCGAACGGCGCCGCGTGAGGGTACAGCCGCCTCCGTGACTTGAACTCGACCAAGTCTGTTATCTTGATTGGCTGAAACAATAATAAGTGCCTCCTAATTTAAACCAATCGCTTGCATCTCAAGCTGGGGGAAAGGGATTATTAGTAATGGGATCAAACAGCACCAATGCTAGCACGATCTCCACGCGGGTCCCCTTGGAAACAATCGTTGAATTCTTCACGATAGGCGAACTGACCTGCTCTCATGGGGGGAAGGAATCGTTAGTAATACAGATTACTAGTCCCATTGCTAGCAATACACAGTCAGGTCGACCTCCACGTGGTCCCCCCTGGAAACTATCGTGTTGAATTCCAAGTTTATTCATCACGATGGGCTAACTGACCTGCCTTTTCATCCTCACCTGTCTCCCTCCACTGGTGCCCCGCCAGCGTATACCGATAGCGCAGTCGGGGTTACCATTCCATTATCATCCATTGAAAAAAAAAATAAACCTAAACATATTAACTAAGTAATGTAAATGTAAAAAGCGAAACAGCATACTCTGTTATGTCCACGGTACTGCTCATGTCTATAGGCGACGGTTACCACTCTCCATCAGCTGCACCGGCATCTTGTACGCTATTCTAAGTTGTATAAAAAAAAGTAAATTGCAAATAAAACTAAAAACTTTTAAGCACTAACCTCTTTCCGGTCCGCTTCCCCATTCTCGACGTCCCCGTTCTCTTGTATGGTGCCCGCGCCGCCCTCTGCCGTCGATATCACGTACACTGACAGTTTCTGCCGCTCGGGGGAGCTTTCGCTTATGTGTTTCTGTGTGAACAATATTGATTAAATCCATATCACGGATATATATCGGTGCTGCTTTGATATATGTATATTGGCTCCCTTTGGATTAGCGATGTATGATATAAAGCAATATATATATATATATATATATATATATATATATATATATATATATATGGTGCAATAACGTATATATTAAAAGTATATTGTCCAAAAAATAATATTGGATAACAGAATTTTAACATATTCGAAAATAGATATCTGACCGATATGGGCGATATTGGAATGGATCAATGTACAGGGGTACCCAATATATAGATATCGGATCGGTATCAATATTTGAGTATTACAGGGTAGATTAGGTTTTTTTTATACAACTCTAAGTTGGCAAACAAGCTGACGGCCCACCCGATGGAAAGTGGTAACCGTCGCCTAAAGACATGAGCAGTACCGTGGACATAACAGAGTATACTGTTTCGCCCATGATACCCCCCATGCGTTGCCATTCCTGAGGACTCAGGTGTTATTCCTCTGTACCCTGTAAATTCACGCCACATCCCACCCTTCAAACCGAAACACAGCCTAACTTCTTCAATCCTTCAATCAATCCTAACAATCCCCCCCCCCCAAATCCGTATTACCAATGCCTACTCTAAATGTTGATGGCGGACCCACTTTAATATCTATATCTGATATATAATGGCTGAACTCACAAAACTACTCAACCGATTTAAAAAATTCTTTCACCTACAGAAAGCTACACTATCAGGGAGTAATATGGGCTATATTTTATTTTAACAAAAAGTCGTGCGACGCCTGGTCGCGTCGCTTAGTTAGTTACCTTATAAAACTCCAGTAGTTCGGCTTTGGTAATCGTATTCAATTGTTCCACTTCGACTCGGGGCCGGTCGAAGTTGTATACCTGAAAATAAATATACCATTTAGACCTTTGTAATGTAATGTAACGTAAATTGGACTCTATTTCCAACGCTTAGTCTCTCATTTGGGCCGTGGTGCATATGAGTCGTGACTAGTACAGTCAGCCCAGCTCCGCCCAGAAGCGCAGAAGCTTCCTGGGATCTTCACAGGCCTCACGGAGCGACCTCACCGTTCCGAGGATTTCTAAACGTTGAGGGGCCAAAGCTTCACATTCCAGGAATACGTTAGCAGCCGTTTCTTCAAAACAGCCTCGATATAGAGGGCTGTCTTAAACCCTTAGATCATTAGCCTTGTTTAAACCTATAGTTTTTAAAGTGGTTCAGGGGGGGACCACCCCCAGGGATCCACGAGAGACTCCACAGGGGTCTATGTTTTTTTTTTATTGGATGAAAATGGAATGGTAACCCCGCCTGCGCTAATGGAATACGCTGGCGGGGCACCAGTGAAGGGTGATAGATGAGAATGAGAACAGGCCAGTTAGCCCATCATGATAAATTGATCAGGAATTAACCATGATAGTTTCCAGGGGGAACCGCGAGGAAGTCGACCTGGTTGGGTATATTGCTAGCAATGGGATTCTCAGTCTCCATTACTAACAATCCCTTTCCCCCCACAGGGGTCTATGTTGGCGTGACAAAAAAAATGAGGATTCACAATTATGTTGTATAAAGACAAAAATAACCCCCGGCAGAAGCACAGTCGGCCGGGGTTAAGGTTTCTATTATTACTTCTCCATTATTGTCTTATTAAAGGAATGAGAATGAATTTGGAGAGGATGGATGAAAGAAGAATTACGAAAGAGATTTATCGAGCAAGAATGAATGGAGATGTCGGTAGGGGCCGCCCTAGATGGACGTATGTCGACCAAATAGGCGACGTGCTGAAGAAGGGCCAAGTTAAAAGTACCCGTAACCGGCGAGCGTGTATGACAAGATTGATGAATGTGGAAGAAGCGAAAGAGGTTTGTTTGTATCGAAGCATTTGGCGTTCCATTGTTTCTGCCTACCGTAATGGGAGACAGGTGTGACAGATATGTATGTATGTATGTATGTCTTATTAAAATGTTGGATTTTTTAAGTTTTAGCTAGTGCATTAGTAAATCTGTAAAGCTCGTTAAAACATGCATTGAAATATTATAAATAAACTAGCTGACTCGACAAACGTTGTTTTACCATATACGTTATTTCTATTACTATACATGAAAATATATCGTACTACAATTATTACATTCGATTGCCATCTTGCAACCCTATTGCGGCATATAAAAATCGCGATTAAACAACAGGGCTCGATGGTAAAAGCGTGAAAATTTGTATTTGTATGTATTTTTCAATGCTTAGTCATAATAAAATAAAAATAAAAAAAATTGTTAAAAAAATAAATAAAAAATATTCAGGGGTGGGTCACCCTTATCATTGAGGTATATGAAAAATAGATGTCGACCGATTCTCAGACCTACCCGATATGCACATAAAATTTCATAAAAATCGGTAAAGCCGTTTCGGAGGAGTTTGGTAACAAACACCGCGACACGAGAATTTTATATATAACAATCGAATCGAGAGCACAGACCTGAGCGGTGATCTCCCCCCACAGTTGCGAGGCGCGCGCCGACATCCGCTTCGGCTTCTCCAACTTCTGTGCAGCGAGGGCTGCCCTGTGCTTCAGGAACTCTTCCTCAGACATGTCCTCCAGGTACGACTGTGGACACACGTGGAAATGGAATGCTGGCCTCGTTTACGTTAACGGCTTGATTATGACTTTACCAGAGGGAGACTTTGTACAAAAGTCGATTGCTTGGGTACCTCTGTCTCATTCGTGTTTCTACCGTGAATCAGTTGTGTTTGCATGGCTGTGTTACGGTTTGAGGGGTGGGATATGGCGTGAATTTACATGGTACAGAGGAATAACACCTGAGTCCTCAGGGATGGCAACGCATTGGGGGTATCATGGGCGAAACGGTACACTCTGTTATGTCCACGGTACTGCTCATGTGTATAGGCGACGGTTACCACTTTCCATCAAGTGGGCCGTCAGCTTGTTTGACATTCTAAGTTGTAAAAAAAAATATTTGTTATTGGACCGGTATATAGATATTGCAACTAAAATATATAAATATTGCTATATATTACACACTTTTTCCGACATCCTCAACATACGTCGTCATATTTTAACCATATTTACACAAGAACCTTGAAGAATTAAACACCTGAATCTTCATCAGGAATCACTGTGTTCGGAAATCCATCCGAGTGGTTTTCGAGATTATCGTGAACGTACAGACAAACAAACGCAGCTGGGACTTTGTCTTATAATATGTAGTGGTTCTTTTTTGATGGGTGAAAATGGTATGGTAACCCCGCCTGCGCTAACGTGATACGCTGGCGGAGCACCAGTGAAGGGTGATAGATGAGAATGAAAACAGGCCAATTAGCCCATCATGATGAATTCATCAGGAGTTAACCATGATAGTTTCCAAGGAGACCGCGAGGAGGTCGATCTGGACCTGGATTCTCAGTCTCTATTACTAACAATCCCTTTCTCCCAATATGTAGTGGTTTGGTGATGGCTCGACCTAAGCCACGGTTTACCTGCGAGCCGGCGAGGAAGGCGTCGATCCTGCGCTCGAGGTAGGCCGGGTGGCGGTCGCTCTGCACGATCACGCGTAACCCTTGGACGCCGTTCGAGCGCCGCACCCCGCTGAAGACTATGTAGCCGAGTTGCTCCTGTAAAGAGGAGAGGACATTTGATTTGTTTTTTTTTTAAACCGGTTTAAAAAACAAGGTAGTTTTCAATTCGGCTGAATTTCATTTTTACGTTTGTCACCACATAACTCCTTCAATTGTGAACCGATTCGGATTTTTTTCACCTAAAATCGTGTTTCCCAACGTGGGGCCCACGCCCCACAGGGGGGCAATTTGATAGTTAGGGGAGGCAATTAAAAAATGGACTAAAAAATAATGCAATTAAAAAAGCCATTTAAATGCAACGCTACTAGTAGATATCGGTGCCAAATTTAACAACAAAAAAAAAGTAAAACAAAAAAAATGCTGTAAATATTTATTAGGTATAATTTCGTTTGACGTTACCAAAATATCAACTGGGCAATTAGAGTCGTCGAGTAAACTTTGTCGGGAAAAATTATGTATGGGGGCGTAAAAATTTTGGAAATGTTCAAGTGGGGCGTGGCATAAAAAAGGTTGGGAAATTGCTCTAAAAAGATATAATTACACATTGGTCTCATACAAGTTTAATCAAAATCGATTCAGCGTTTAGTTTTAAGATCAAAACACAACCACAACACTAATAACCGATTTCGATGTGGTATTTTTTTTAATGGATCATAATGATATGGTAACCCCGCCTGCGCTTTTGGGGGCAAAGGGATTGTTAGTAATGGGGTCAAATAGCTCAATTACTAGCAATATACCCTGTCAGGTCGACCTCCACGTGGTTCCCCCTGGAAACCATCGTGACTAATTCTAGTTTAATTCGTCACGGTGGGCTAACTGACTTACTTTCATCTTCATCTGTCATCTCTCACTGGTGCCCCGCCAGTGTATACCAATAGCGCAGACGGGGTTACCATACCATTATTACCCTTTAAAAAAAAAACCCCGCTTGCGCTATCGGTATACGCTGGCGAGGTACCAGGGACACATGACAGGTGAGGATGTAAAGGTAGGTCAGTTGGCTCATCGTGATAAATACACGTGGAATTCAGCACGATGGTTTCCAGGGGGAGCCACGTGGAGGGCGACCTAATAGGGCGTATTGCTAGAAATGGGGCTGTCAAACAGCATTGCTAACAATCCCTTTCCACCCTCGATATGGTATTATGTATTAATTAGGTAAATATAATGTAATTATTTATATTTATAATAAGTTTACTATTGTAATCTTTTGGAGGAAACAAATAAAGAGTATCTATCTATCTATCTATCTATCTATCTAATCTATTCTCTTTATAGCTATAAATAGATAATATATATTTCTCAAACACGCTTGGAAATGTGAGCATTATTTAGACAATCTTCTTCGAGATAAATCAAAATTGCCGTACTGGCCAGATATACGCGGGCAGCGGCCGGCAAAAGTTGTATGAAAATCCATATCTGTCGTGTTTTGCGGCCAGATAAATTACTATGTAAACTCATATCTGTCCAGTAATTTAAAAATGGAATGACCTTTTACTTCGAAACATGGCTGCCAAGAAGATAACTAATAAAAGGTTTTATTTAAATTTCAAACTGGCTTGCAAATATAATGCTGTTTATTGAAAAAAAAAAAACAAAGGAACAATATGGCGCGTAAAAGATTATTATTGTACGTTATTCGTCATTGAATTTAAAAAGTAAAATTGTGTTTTTGATTTCCGCGCATTGTTTGAGAAAAGTACTATACAAGCCTTGGCTACAACTAGGCATTGATAGACTCACGTATGTGTACCTCGGCTACTCCTCGGCCCACATTTGTACGTTCGTCCATCAATGCCTCAGTTGCTGGCCGCTGCAGTAATGTACTATTTTATAGCCTGGGGGGGCCTGGATTCCTGAGATCCGATCTAGTTTAGGGTCCAGTCGCCCACAAGTTTTACAGACCATTGTAATCATACATACATATATGGTTGTATTTTTTTCTCATGTAACTGTATTTTTTGTAAAATATCGTATTGTCTAAACGACGCATACGGAAAACCCTTTACATAAAATGCAAAAATAATAAAATTTAAATGTAATTTGATTTGAGTTTGTAATCGACTTTTTTTATACCACTGAGGTGGCAAACAAGCATACGGCCTACCTGATGATAAACGGTTACCGTAGCCTATCAACACCTGCAATACTAGAGGTATTACGCGCGCATTGCCGACCCTGAAAAAACCTCTTTACCCCCCTCCTGAATTGACCCGATTAACTGAACCCCTAGTTTCTTGTAAAACCCCCTTAAGAGGGAAGCTTATGTTCAGCACAGTTAAAGGCTATGACGATGGTGAGGGAATGAAAAATGAGTGAGAACAGGCCGACCTTGGTCCTGAGCACGCTGAAGCAGGGCTCGGCGAGGGTCTGCGCGAGCAGCTCGAGCGCGACGTTGTGTCGCGTGGCCCGCAGCCCGCACGCGTAGTACAGCGACGCGCACGACGACTTGTGCACCGGGTTCACGGCCTCGCGCAGGTACCATGCACCTGGTGCACATAGCACGTCCTTACCAATACGTAGTTAGCAATAAAATTCTATTCTATTCTATTCTACTAGCGGCCCGTCCCGGCCCCGCCCGCCCGTGTACATGGACGACAATGGAATAGCAACCCCAGCTGTGTTAACGGTATACGCTTGCGGGGCACCAGTGAGGGGTGATAAGTTCTTTTTTGCAAGTTGGAATGACAAACAAGCTGACGGCCCACCTGATGGAAATTGGTAACCGTCGCCTATAGACATGAGCACTATTATAGACATATTTATTTATTTATTTACAAGAAACATGGTAAGTGTATAGATGTTACAATAAGTCCTCATATTTCGCCATAATTAGCCACGCAAATATTAAAACTTAAAAAGAATAAATTTTAATAAATAAGTCATTAAAATTCGAAATGTTATATAAAAAAAAAATACATCAAAAACGTCAGACACTTGTCAACAATAAAAAAAAAAGAAATGTCACTGTCAAATCATGGAGTATTGATGACAGGTGCATTGTAACACGACAGGTAATACAAGTAGGTTGTTTACCTTTTTGTATCAAAAACTCTTGCACACTGTAAAAGGACTCCTCAACAGGCCGATGTTTTAATGAATCTTTAAATTTTCTAAATGCGAGTTCTCGTATACTTTTTTGGTATTTCATTATAAATTTTAATTGTCATCGAATAACAATTTTTATGGGAAAGTGTGCTTCTACAGGATGGTACCACCAATTTTGTTGGGACCCTTGACATTAATTTATTGTATTATATATACAAGCATAATACATAACAGTGTATATACTAGATGTACCCGTTCACGAGTATGACGGTATGACGAATAAATAAGTATATTATGATATCGAGTCTAACTCGCGCTTCCTGATGCCATTAAGAGACTACCGACTAAACCGTCTTTCAAAAAAAGCGTTCACGCTCACTTTTTATTTTTATCCGAGCAGTGAGTGCTTTATATTATTCTCAATTTCGTGTATAATATAGTATATGTCATATATGTGTAAGTATATTTGTTATTTATATATATTTATTCGTTTATATATGTAATTTTAGTATGTATGTATATCAATAATTACTAGTACCGCATTCGAGTATTCTGACACTTGCCTATGGTCGACTGGGAGAGAATGCTTTTAGCATTAAGTCCGCCATGTACACATATTTGTACTAATGAATAAATAAATAAATAAATAACTCACCTTTCTCCAATTCAATCTCTCTATGCAATAGTAATTGCTGAGCCAACAGAGGGGTCGCGTCCTTCGGCAATCTGAAAACAGATACAACATTTATTTGATTTATTTAAGCTTTAAACTAGTCGTTTCCCGCAGCTCCGTCTGCGTGAAACATTCAGTACATACAGCACCAGAGGGAGACTTTGTACAAAAGTCGTTTGCTTGAGCACCTCTGTCCCATTCGTGTTTCAACCGTGAAGCAGTTGTGTTTGCGTGGCTGTGTTTCGGTTTGAATGGTGGGATATGGCAGTGAATTTACAGGGTACAGAGGAATAACACCTGAGTCCTCAGGAATGGCAACGCATGGGGGGTATCATGGGCGAAACAATATACTCTGTTATGTTCACGGTACTGCTCATGTCTACAGGCGACGGTTACCACTTTCCATCAGGTGGGCCGTCAGATTGTTTGCCATTTAAAGTTGCATAAAAAACATATGAAAACTCACTTGTTCTCCAGATTGTTGGCGATCTTGAGCGCCCTCTCGCGGGTCACGTTGCCGAATATGAACCCTTCCACGTGCACCTTCCTTATCAGCCTAGACGCGAAGTCATCCAGCTGTTCAGCGGTCATTTCTGATGGAGCGGAATAGGAATTAAATTTGCCTGTTGCTGAACGAGAACTCTTGTGGAGTTAAGCTCGCCTTTGTACATTTGATGATAACAGAGGTAACTGTTATTCATCATGTTCATCATCATCAGCCTTTAACTGTCCACTGCTAAATATATGCCTCCATGGGGGGAAAGTGATTGTTAGTAATGGAGAGCGAAAATCCCATTGCCAGCAATATACCCAACCAGGTCGTCCTCCTCGCGGTTCCCCCTGGAAACTATCATGGTTAATTCCTGATGAATTCATCATGACGGGCTAACTGGCCTGTTTTCATTCTCATCTATCACCCTTCACTGGTGCTCCGCCAGCATATCCCGTTAGCGCGGGCGGGGTTACCATACCATTTTCACCTATAAAAAAAAAATTAAGCCTCCCCCTTGGAGGGTTTTGCAGTAGTTCCACACTTTGCAGACGCATTGGCAACCGATGTTAGCCAGTCCCTCGCCCTCTCTTAGTCGCCTCTTACGACACACACGGGAAAGGTAGGGGCGGCCTATTCTATGCCGGGACCACACGACCAAGTGGTGGAAGGGTGGGATATGGCAGTGAGATTACAGGGTACAGAGGAATAACACTTTAGTTCTCAGACGGAAAGGGATTGTTAGTAATGGGATTTACTAGCCCCATTGCTAGCAATATCAGGTTGCTAGCAATACCCTATCAGGTCGGTCTCCACGCGGTTTCCCCCTGGAAATCATTTAACTGAATTACAGGTGTATTCATCATGGTGGGCCAACTGATCTGCTTCATCCTCACCTATCATCCCTCACTGGTGCCCCGCCAGTGTATACCGATAGCGCATGCGGGTTTACCATTGCATTATCACCCATTAAAAACAAAACGGTTTTGGCGCGCTCGAAGTTGGTGTTTTTATTTATTTATTTATTTTCATTTTGGACGGCATACCTTGAGCGGCGTTTAGAAGCTGACATCTTGTCCATACGATGTCGGAGAGGCACAACGCTTGCTGGTACACTGCGTGCTGCGAAAACAAACAAAAAAAAATGCTTAGGTACAGTAGACATTGCGTCTAGATGGCGTATCGAGATGAAACATATTGGGGTTTGTCTCGCCTTTGTGCACTATTACGTGTTTTTTTTTTTTTTTATTTTAATAACCTTTTGTGTACAATAAAGAACAAACATACAGCAGATTTTTAATTAGACCTTCGGGAATACAACTGTGTAAACTGCATCTAGTTTGGTACAGTAGATTTTGTTGCATTTTTTTTACACAACTTAGAATGGCAAACAAGCTGACGGCCCACCTGATGGAAAGTGGTAACCGTCGCCTATAGACATAAACAGTACCGTGGACGTAACAGAGTGTACTGTTTCGCCCATGATACCCCCCATGCGTTGTCATTCCTGAGGACTCAGGTGTTATTGCTCTGTACCCTGTAAATTCACGCCATATCCCACCCTTCAAACCGAAACACAGCCATGCAAACACAACTGCTTCACGGTAGAATCACGAATGGGACTGAGGTACCCAAGCAATTAACTTTTGTACAAAGTCTCCCTCTGGTATTTTTATATTTCTGGTGCAATAAAGTGTTAAATAAATAAATGTTTCTTTCTATACCTGATAGGGTTGCTCCGCTTCGAAGTTCTTGATGCCGCGAATATGGTTTTCCTTCATAATCTCGAAGCGTTTGGGGTCAGCCCTGAAGTTGACCATGTGGTCAATAATTTTATCTAATAACACGTGCTGCTTATCATCGTACCCGTCTATTGTTACCTGCAAAGAGAATATAATATTAAAACGCGGTTTTGTTTTTTTTTTTATGCGGCTTAGAACTGCAAACAAGCTGACGGCCCCCCTGATGGAAAGTGGTAACCGTTGTCTATAGACATAAGCTGTACCATGGACATAACAGAGTATACTGTTTCGTCCATGATACCCCCCGTGCGTTGCCATTCCTGAGGACTCAGGTGTTATTCCTCTGTACCCTGTAAATTCACTATCATATCCCACCTTTCAAATCGGGGGTGGGGGGGAGGGGGAAGGGGTTTTTAGCAATGGAGTTTGACAGCCCCATTGCCAGCAATATGCCCTATTAGGTCGACAACCACGTGAACAATTCTTGTTGAATTCGTCACGATGGGCTAACTGACCTGCTTCATCCTCACCTATCATCCTTCACTGGTGCCCCGCCGGTCTATACCGATAGGGCGGGTGGGGATACCATTCCATTACCATCCATTAAAAAAAAACATACATAGCTACATAAGACCTATCTAAAAAATCGTCGGAACAGTGAAGTCGCTTCGTGAGGCCTGTGAAGATCCCAGGAAGCTTGTGTTTCCAGACAGAGTTGGGTTGGCTGTACTAGCCACGACTCATACGCACAACGGCCCAAATGAGAGGCTAAGAATAGAGTCCAATTTACATTACATTACAAGACCTATGTAATGACAAACATAGGCCATTGTAAACCTAACTGCCACCAAACATAGGCCACTCGGGACCAGACCGAGTCCAACTGGAGCCACGTGAACTCACACTGAGCCCGTACTTGGCGTTGCCGATACTCCACCGGAGGCCGGCCAGCTCGGCCGCGTACGCGAACTGCTGCAGGCTGTCGCGGAGTAGCAGCACCCACACCGATGTCAGGTTGCAGTTCAGCGGGTCCGCATACGCCAGGGGACTGGAATGGTCAATATTCATTTAATATACTACTGGTCGCCCAATGGTCGAAATTTGACCATATATATATATATATATATATATATATATATATATATATATATATATATATATATATATATATATATATATATATATATATATATGTCGGCGCAAAATAGAAAAAAAAGACATTCTATTGACTCGAGACACAAGCGCAAAAAATGGAGGGGAGCGCTGACAAAACGTTGCGAGCGATAATGAAAGGAAGTGGGGCCACATTCGTCTGTCGGACATCGCGCGACTTTAACGGATCGTTGTGTCTCGAGTCTTAGCTGATATTGTTTTAATTTAATTCTAGTTTTATTCGATATTATTTTATTAGTTTCATTTCTTACATTAACGAAAATGATTGTAGTTTGAAAATAAAGTGTGATTTTGTAATTGCTCTAATTATCGGTTTGAAGGGTGGGTTATGGCGTGAATTTACACGGCACAGAGGAATAACACCTGAGTCCTCAGGAATGACAACGCTTGGACCCCCCATGCATCATGGGCGAAACAGTATACTCTGTTATGTCCACGGTACTGCTCATGTGTATAGGCGACGGTTACCACTTTCCATCAGGTGGGCCGTCAGCTTGTTTGCCATTCTAAAATGTATAAAAAAAACTAAGGTGGCTCAGCATTGTGCCTCTTCTATTATCTATATAGTATTAATAAAAACAATATATTTTTACATACCTGACAAAGTCGAATGTGATGACAGCTTTTGGCAGCAGAAACTCATTGTCCCTCTTGAACCACAACCTCATCAGCGGAGTGTCCTGCGAACGGAATATTTATATATATATATTCTTTATTGCACTAAAACATACAGTAACAACAATAAGTTAATAGCAAAGGCGAACTTATCTCTAAAAGAGATCTCTTCCAATCAACCTAACACAGTGGCATAGCAAGTAGTGAGTGGGCAGTGGTAGTGCTAAGCAGAAAGTAAAATAAATATTTACATAAATTATTATATATATATATATATATATATATATATATATATATATATATATATATATATATCATCAAAATCAGCCGTTAACTGTCCACTGCTGGACATAGGCTTCCCACTTATATGTTAAGACCTTACTTAGAGATTATATTGATAGAGTGTCTTCATACAAATGCTTCGAGAAAAGCGATTCAACTTTTTCATACAATTTTGCGTGTCAAATAGTTACGAGTGATTCCTTTATAACTTCTATATTTATTTTGTCTTATAATTTATGCATCGTTTTAATGCGTAAACACTCATTTTATTTATTAAATAATTAAATATAGATACGTCAAGATACATTGTGTGCGTAAGTATATAGAACACTGATAAAAAAAAATGAGTCGGCTAATTTTAGACAATTTAGTTGGGATTTAATTTAAAGATATTGTTTTTTACAAATCTATTTTTTTTAACGCGCCACCTACCTATTTATGCTTTAATCCTTTCTACCCAAAGGTTGTCTGAAAGAGATTGTTTAGCAATAAGACCGCCTTTTGTACTACACTATACGTATTGAAAATTGTTCAACAAATCATGTTATGTTGGTGCAATAAAGTGTTAAATAAATAAATAAAAAAATAAAGGGAGGGATTATTTAGTAATGGGATCTAATTTCCCCATTACTAGCAATATACCTTCACACGTTTCACCTAAAAATTATCGTGGTGAATTCCAATGAATTCATCACGATGTACCAACTGACCTGCTTTCGTCCTCACCTATCATCCTTCACTGGTGCCCCGCCGGTGTATACCGATAGCGCAGGCGGGGTTACCATTCCATTTTTTTTATACAACTTAGAATGACAAACAAGCTGACGGCCCACCTGATGGAAACTTGTAACCGTCGCCTATAGACATGAGCAGTACCATGGACATAACAGAGTATACTGTTTCGCGCACGATACCCCACCATGTGTTGCCATTCCTGAGGACTCAGGTGTTTTATTTATTTATTTATTTATTGTTATTCCTCTGTACCCAGTAAATTCACGCCATATCAAACCGAAACACAGCCATGCAAACACAACTGCTTCACGGTTGAAACACGAATGGGACAGAGGTACCCGAGCAATCGACTTTTGTACAAAGTCTCCCTCTGGTTTTAAATTTATTAAATTAATTTTAAATACCTTGATTATGGAAGGCGCGATGGCGTCGATGGTGGGGTCGTCGGCCGTCTCCAGCTGCAGTCTCGACGGTATGAACTCGTTGGGGGGAGGCAGCCGAAGCTCAGGGCACGGCTTCACTGATTTCCACTCCTGTATTGACAATTTGTTTGATTACTAGCCATTTCCTGTGGCTTTGCTCGTGTAAATGCTTACTATTATACATGTGAAAGTGAGTTTGTTTGTTACCTTATAGTGCCTTAGCGCCTAGCTTACGTTAAATTGTATGGAGACGAAATTCAGTAGTTGTTATAAATCTGAATGAATCATGGTGACAATGGTCGAGTCGTTAAGACGCTGAACGCTGACAAACATACAAACTCACTTTTATATTTATATATCACGAACGTAACCTTCGTTCCAATAATACTCTCCAACTATCTGTCCCCTCTCACCGTACTGGTTACGCTTCAAACTCTTTTCTCCTACATTCTTCACGACTCTGGAACGCGCTTCCTGATGCCATTAAGAGACTACCGACTAAACCGTCTTTAAAAAAAAGCGTTCACGCTCACTTTTTATCTTTATCCGAGCAGTAAGTGCTTTATATTATTCTCAATTTCGTGTATAATATAGTATATGTCATATATGTGTAAGTATATTTGTTATTTATATATATTTATTCGTTTATATATGTAATTTTAGTATGTATGTATATCAATAATTACTAGTACCGCATTCGAGTATTCTGACACTTGCCTATGGTTGACTGGGAGAGAATGCTTTTAGCATTAAGTCCGCCATGTACACATATTTGTACTGATGAATAAATAAATAAATAAATATTAGTATTATGGTTGAAATACCTTTATTTTCGATTCCTCTATATCTTCCTGGAGGTATTTGGTTCCGTACCACGGCTCTATCTGTGTACACTTTTCTGCGAAACATCTAGAAAAAAAAAATTATAAAAAGTAAAACAAAATTTAGTTTAATATGAATGATTGATTATTTATTTTGTTACTTTCCGTGTGGTCCCGGCATAGAATGAGCCACCCCTTCTTTTGCCATGGGTATCGTAGGAGGCGACTAAGAGAACTTAATTGTAGAGGGACCAACAGTGTCCCTTTTAAAACATTTCTAAACCCTAACTGATTCATGCATGACAAATCTATATAAAAATGAGCAATTATATGTAAAAGTAGTTTTCTCAAACATGCTTGGAAATGTGAGCATTATTTTGACAGTCTTTTTCGAAATAAATCAAAATTGCCGTACTGTCCAGATACATGCGGGCAGCGGCCGGCAAAAGTTGTATGAAAATCCATATCTGTCGTGTTTTGCGGCCAGATAAATTACTATGTAAACTCATATCTGACCTGTAATTTAAAAATGGAATGACCTTTTACTTCGAAACATGGCTGCCAAGGAGGTATTTCTAAAAGGTTTTATTTAAATTTCGAACTGTCTTGCAAATAGAAACTGTTTATTAAAAAAAATCAAAGGAACGTTATGGCGCATAAAAAAATATTATTGTTCGTTATTCGTCATTGAACTTAAAAAGTAAAATTGTGTTTTTGATTTACGCGCATTGTTTAAGAAAAGTACTATACAAGCCTTGGCCACAACTAGGCATTGATGGACTCACGTATGTGTGCCTCGGCTACGCCTCGGCCCACATTTGCACGTTCGTCCATCAATGCCTCAGTTGCTTGCCGGTGCAGTAATGTACTATAAATGTAATCTAACATCTAAATGGACACTAATGCATGTACATTAGCTAGCTATCAACATAATGTTGCTACGCCCAAACAGGGCTCATGTACTTAATCTACATAAGAACACTGTAACAACTATATTATGTACATGAATGCATGCATTAAAATAATAAATCTTCTATACTTATAATAAATCTGTAAAGAGGTCAATTCTAAACATGAAATATATTTCCAAAATAACTATCAGGCGGTGATTAGTGATCGATACTGATGCCAAAAATGTAATCAGTAAAATTTTTATCTATCTGTCTGTATGTTCGTTATAGAAACAAAAACTACTCGACGCATTTTAACAAAACTCGGTACAATTATTCTTCATACTCCCGGGCAGATTATAGTATACTTTTCATCACGCTACGATCAATAGGAGCAGAGCAGTGAAGGGAAATGTTGGGAAAACGGGAGAAGTTACTCTATTTTTAAGCTTCCGTCGCGTGCGCAGCCTTAATGGCCACTAAAATGTAAAAATGTAGTAAATAATAAACCGATTGATAGAATGAATGATTGATTGAATGAATGACTGGTCGATTGAACGCATGAATTATTGATTGAACGAATGATTGAATACTCACTTGGCCACAATGCCAACTCGCACATTTTCCGGCGTGAGCAACGCCAACAACTCGTCGATAAGCTCCGGCTTCCACTCCGTCATCAAGTAGTATGCACTCAGGACGTCCTCCATTGGGAACTCCTGAAAAAAGAAACATTTTTATTTAAATGAATAATAATGGAATGGTAACCCCGCTTGCGCTATCGGTATACGCTGGCGGGGCACCAATGACGGGCGATAGGTGAGAATGAATAGGCCGGTCAGTTAGTCCATCGTGATGAATACACCTGGAGTTTGGCACGATGGTTTCCAGAGGAGACCACGTGGAGATGGACCTGACAGGGTATATCGCCAGCAATGGGGCTGGTAGGCCACTCCTTCCTTTCCAGTAGGTGTCGTGACTACTTTACGCCGGGACCACAAGGCCATTAAATCGCATAATTCCATAAAAGCAAGATAAAGTGGCAACAATTGGATTGGGAAAAATCATGTTAAAATTGTTATTGATATATTTGTTTTCTTTTTTTTATTGTTAAGTATATATATGTGTGTATGTGTGTGAGTGTGTGTGTATGCATACGCACATATTTACATGTGTGTGTGTGCGTGTGTGCGTGTGTGCGTGTGTGCGTGCGTGCGTGCGTGCGTGCGTAATCGTAATCGTAATCATCTGCTCTCGATTATTTGGTTTAGTTTATTGTGGAAACTTTACTGATTTATGTTATGGTTATGTATACTATTTTATATGTTTTAGATATTGTATGTTTCCCTTTCAAAGTAAAACAAAAATAAAAAAAAAAACAATGGGCGGCCTTATCGCCAAATCTCTTATAGGCATGCTGATTACCACTTAATTAACGTTCCAGTTTCCTAAATTGCACATTTTAAATAACCAATCAGAAACGTTGGAACTTTTTTTTGTTATACAACTTAGAATGGCAAATAAACTGACGGCCCATCTGATTGAAAGCGGTAACCGTCGCCTATAGACATGAACAGTACCGTGGACATAACAGAGTATACTGTTTCGCCCATGATACCCCCCATGCGTTGCCATTCCTGAGGACTCAGGTGTTATTCCTCTGTACTAGGTTTCTTCAGGGTCGGCAGCGCGCGCGCGTAATACCTCAATACCTCGGTGCCATAAAAATTGAGAGGTATTTGCGATGTTGTCACACTGTCAAGCTAAAACTCATCATCTTTATTTCGACTATTATTCGTCCACTGCTGGGCATAGGCCTCTCCCATAGACTGTTACAAGGAACGGCCCTGCACCACCTGCATCCACTGATTGTCTGCAATGCATTCGAGGTCGTCACTCCATGTAAGGTTTTTTTTACAACACATGGTGCAAACGAGCATGCGGCTCACCTGGTGGTAAGAGACTATCGCCGCCCATGATCACTTTTTTTTATACAGCTTAGAATGGCAAACAAGCTGATGTCCCACCTGATGGAAAGTGGTAACCGTCGCCTATAGACATGAACAGTACCGTGGACATAACAGAGTATACTGTTTCGTCCATGATACCCCTCATGTCTTACCATTCCTGAGGACTCAGGTGTTATTTCTCTGTACCCAGTAAATTCACGCCATATCAACGCCGTAACACAGTCATGCAAACACAACTGCTTCACGGCAGAAACACGAATGGGACAGAGGTGGCCAAGCAAACGACTTTTGTACAAAGTTTCCCCCTGGTAACAACCACTGCAGGCACACGGCACTGCAGGTGTGCTGCCGGCCTTTTAGGAATATGCTCCTGAAGGTGTAATGATGAGTAGCCGCGGAGACCTGCAGCAGGTGCACGTGTGCGGCGACCAGGCCGCGCGGCTCCTGCGCGTCCTTGAAACGGAACTCCGTGGCCAGCAGCTCGCGCTGTTCCTGCCACACCCAGCGTCGCGCGCCTTCCGCCCGCAGCATGCCCACGTACTGCCCCAAGCAACACCACAGTTACAACTACACGGACACACCTACACACGGCTCGCCTTCCACAGGGAGTTCACCCAGGGCCGTCTTTCATCTATTAGAGGCCCTGGCCACATTAGGATAATAGGGTTCCTATGACGATAGTATTAAAGCATAGGTTATCGTTTAGTATTGGAGTAGGAACTAGACTAGGGGGCCCCAATCCAAGTGGGAAAAAGGGGCCCGAGTTCACCATCATATCCTAGGGCCTAAATGGTCGTGTACAGCGCGGTTTCAGAGATGTTTCCTCCCACGAACACTCAGGTTATGGAATGAGCTCCCTGCCGAGGTTTTCCCAAGAGTACTACAGCATGGGGTTCTCCAAAAGGGGGGTAAAGAGGTTTTTTTTTATACAACTTAGAATGGCAAACTAGCTGACGGCCCACCTGATGGAAAGTGGTAACCGTCGCCTATGGACATGAGCAGTATCATGAACATAACAGAGTATACTGTTTCGCCCATGATAGCCCCCATGCATTGCCATTCCTGAGGACTCAGATGTTATTCCTCTGTACCAGGTTTCTTCAGGGTCGGCAACGCGCGCGCGCGTCTGGTGTTGCAGGCGTTCATAGTCTACGGTAATCGCTTACCATAAAGTGGGTCATATGCTTGATTGCCACCACAGTGGTATAAAAAAAAATACTTCAGTCGGGAACACACACACACACACGAGAGAAAGAGAGAGAAAGAGAGAGAAAGACTATGGAGCCAATATGTAAATATATCTTTTTAGAAAAAATTAGAATTTCCAAATTGGTTTACAAGTAGCCAGATACATGAGGAAACAAACAAAAAAATATACAACCGATTTGATACCATTTCCTTTTTAAAGTCTTATATTTTCATAATTTAATTGACCTTTAGTTTAAAAATTTCAAAACCTGAAGAAATATTTTGAATAATTGTTCAATTTCAATCGCATATTGCATAGTTTTATATTCGAAGATACAAAAGTACCAACCTGGAACACCAGGGAGATGATGTCGTCGACGTGTTCGACTCCCTGTTCGGTCAAGTCCACTTGCACGCCGAAGAAGCCGAACCCTCGGGCGCCAATACGCGTGCCACCCACTAAACTGATAGAAAAATGTGGATTAAAACTTGTAATTCGTTTCAGTTTGAAGGGTGGGATATGGCAGTGAATTTACAGGGTACAGAAGAATAACAACTGAGTCCTGGGGGGAAAGGGATTGTTAGTAATGGAGACTGAGAATCCCATTGCTAGCAATATACCCAACCAGGTCGACCTATCGCGGTTCTCCCTGAAAACTATCATGGTTAATTCCTGATGAATTCATCATGATGGGCTAACTGGCCTGTTTTCATTCTCATCTATCACCCTTCACTGGTGCTCCGCCAGCGTATCCCGTTAGCGCGGGCGGGGTTACTATACCATTTTCACTCATCAAAAAAAAAATTTGTATTTGTAACTATAAATTAAATATATGAATAAATAAAAAAAAAAAAAAACGCTTGCCAAGCTTGGCAACTACTGACTAAACCTTCAGAAATGAGACCTATGGACAGACGGCTCATATGATGATATGCCTTCAAGAACTCACCTATTGCACCATCCCCTCTCTTTAAGAGCTGACAGCAGACTCCCTGGACCCTCGTGGCCGAGAAGGTGGGACAGGTAGTGGCCGGGCTGTAGACATATTAAAATAACTTAATTTTTTAATACTAAGGTGGCAAACAAGCGTACAGCCCGTCTGATGGGAAATATAGATTTTTCTTTTATACAACTTAGAATGGCAAACAAGCTGACGGCCCACCTGATGGAAAGTGGTAACCGTCGCCTATAGACATGAGCAGTACCGTGGACATAACAGAGTATACTGTTTCGCCCATGATACCCCCCATGCGTTGCCATTCCTGAGGACTAAGGTGTTATTCCTCTGTACCCAGTAAATTCACGCCATATCCCACCCTTCAAACCGAAACACAGCCATGCAAACACAACTGCTTCACGGTAGAAACACGAATGGGACAGAGGTATCCAAGCAATCGACGTTAATTGTTATTTATTAGCTATTAACATTGTTAACGTTAATTAAACTGCGTATCATTCATGTTGTGTTAACAAGTTTTAGGTTTTTTTAATGGGTGATGATGGAATGGTAACCCCACCTGCGCTATCGGTATACACTGGCAGGGCACCAGTGAGGGATGATAGGTGAGGATGAAAAGAGATGTCAATTAGCCATCGTGATGAATACACTTGGAATTCAGCACGATGGTTTCCAGGGGGACCACGTGGAGATGGTCGATCTTTGGTTGGGTAGATATATTGCTAGCAATGGGGCCTTCATTATTAACAATCACTCCCCCCCCCCCAAACACACGTTTTAGGGTATCAATCTTGTCCAATGGCTTTTATATCTATAATGAACTATGTACATTTTTTATTATTACCTGTAGTGTTTTCCAAATAAAATAAATACATAAATAAATAAACGGTCACTGTAACCTACGGACGCCTGTAACACTGTATAAACTAGTTTTCACCCGCGACTCCGTCACCATATATTTACTGACCGGGATAGAAAATAGACTGTGTACAGAAGTATAGAGGAATAACACCTGAGTCCTCAGGAATGGCAACGCATGGGGGGTATCATGCGAAACAGTATACTCTGTTATGTCCACGGTACTGCTCACGTCTATAGGCGACGGTTACCAATTTCCATCAGGTGGGCCGTCAGCTTGTTTGCCATTCTAAGTTGTATAAAAAAAAATCTATATACCAAAATATACTACATTTCATAGTGATTTATTATCAGGCAAAAAAACCTGTGACACTGCGACCTCTCCGTGATCTTTTGTGCTCGCCCCTTTTCTAAAGTTCGCTGCTAATTGCTACCAGTGATGGGAACTTTAAGACGTTCCTTGTAGCGATGTTTTTATCACCTCAGGATACAGAGTGTGTTTTCCAAAGGAGATATATCGTTTATGTACGAATGGGCTACAGCGACACATTCAGTGCTGCGGCGTTTCTTCCTCACTGTGACAAAATCTGCAAACACTTTTTGGGCATAAGCCTAGTTGGGTCTTTTTTTTTTATAAGTGAATATGGTATGGTAGCCCCGCCTGCGCTAACGGGATACGCTGGCGGAGCACCAGTGAAGGGTGATAGATGAGAATGAAAACAGGCCAGTTAGCCCATCATGATGAATTCATCAGGAATTAACCATGATAGTTTCCAGGGGGAACCGTGTGTAGGTCGACCTGGTTGGGTATATTGCTAGCAATGGGATTCTCAGTCTCCATTACTAGCAATCCCTTTCTCCCCGAGCCTAGTTGGGTCATATGCTTGTTTAATTTGCAGTGTCCAGTGAGAGGCAACAAAACTGTTTAAAGTCGATGGAAAACCCAACCCTACATCTTGGGTTTAGCTGAATAAACTCACCCCACTTTTGTAATGCTTCCTCGTGTCCGGGATAGGAAAGTCGATGGATAAAGACCGAAGATCCTTCACGGGCACACAGTAGGCACGTTTTCGCCGCAACTGCGACGGGTACGGGTGCTCCGGCCACTGGGGCGCCTCCACCGACCGGTCCTCCACCGCCGAGAACAGAGGCACCACTGTCGCTTGCAGCTCGTCGAGGGACTCTGGGGTACAGTTGGGGGTCACATTAGTATAGTCATAATAGCGGGGGTCACTTAGGTTTTCTTTTTATGCAACTTAGCAATGGCAAACAAGCTGACGGTCCACCTGATGGAAAGTGGTAACCGTCGCCTATAGACATGAGCAGTACCGTGGATATAACAGAGTGTACTGTTTCGCCCATGATACCCCCCATGCGTTGCCATTCCTGAGGACTCGGGTGTTATTCCTCTGTACCCTGTAAATTCACTGCCATATCCCACCCTTCAAACCGAAACACAGCCATGCAAACACAACTGTTTCACGGTAGAAACTTTTTTTTATACCACTGAGGTGGCAAACAAGCATACGGCCCATCTGATGGTAAGCGGTTATCGTAGCCTATGAACGCCTGCAATACCAGAGGTATTACGCGCGCGTTGCCGACCCTGAAGAAACCTCTTTAGCCCCCTTTTGAAGAACCCCATGCTGTAGTCTCTTGGGAAAACCTCGGCAGGGAGCTCATTCCATAACCTGAGTGTTTGTGGGAGAAAACGTCTCTGAAACTTAAGTATAAGAGCCACGATTGTTGGGGCGCTTCAGTTCAGAAATCTTGATGATACGGTTGTGCGTGTTTGTATCCGTGCGTGATGCGTGTGTGCACGCATGTGTGCGTGCGTGCGTGCGTATATGTAATTCGAGCATAGATGTGTGTAGGCAGTAACACGATAGTGCAGCGTACCTTTGCCCAAAACGACAAGGGTCATGATGTTTGAGGAGTACCACTCCTGGTGGAACTTGAGCAGCTCCTTCCGTACATCGATGCCTTTCGACTTGGGGATCGTCTCCAAGGTCTCCCTGTTGCCTGGAGAAAATATACACATGAAAAAGTTAAGTAAACTCAAATTTTGCATTTTTTAATAGTAACATTTTTATGCCGTGTGGTTCCGGCATAGAATGGGCCACCGCTCCCATTCCCGTGGGTGTTATAAGAGGCGACTAAGGAAACTTATTAGTCGAGGGACGGGAATCACCGTCCCTCTTTAAACATTACCAAAAGTTTAACTGATCCATTGATTTATTACTTAATCGATCGATTATCTAAGCTATTGAGTGACGAACCAATCGATCGCTTCCGCCGTCCCCCAACTCACCAGTGCCGAACTTGTGGTAAGGGTGATCAGGCGAGGCTGTGCTCTTGTTCAGCTGGTCCAGCCTCCACGCGTCCAGGCAGGTGTTCTTCTCGTGTTCAGAGTTGACGGCGCTCAGCTCCCGCCCCGTCGCCGACTCCGTGAACAGGGGCGATATGAAGAATTGAGCGAAACTGGACACACGGACAGATTTACAGTTATTAATAGTTTTCAAAAAGCTAATTGTATCAGCTGTCCACTGCTGGACATAAGTCTTCCCCCTTGAGGGGTTTTGCCAGTAGTTGTCAAGCTTTGCAGCCAGATTGGCAATCGTAGTCTGGGATTTCGAGATGGTTTAATTTGTATTATACATATTAGTAAGAGACTCACATGTCTAAGGCGCCGGCTAGGTGCTCGGGCAACACGTCGAAGTAGTAGGTGGTGTGGTCTGATGACGTGGACGCGTTCGAGTAGCCGCCGTGCGCTGACAGGAACTTGTTGTACTCGTTCTCCTGCGACATGACATCCATCATGTAATGTAATGTAAATTGGACTCTATTTCCCGCGCTTAGCCTCTCATTTGGGCCCTTGTGCGTATGAGTCGTGGCCAGTACAGCCAGCCCAGCTCCGCCCAGAAGCACAGAAGCTTCCTAAGATTTTCACAGGCCTCACGGAGCGACCTCACCGTTCCGAGGATTTCTAAACGTTGATGGGCCACAGCTTCATATTCCAGGATTACGTGAGCAGCCGCTTCTTCTGCGACATTCATCATATCAGCCTAGCAATCTTACTAGTCAGTTTGACCTCCACGTGGTTCCAACTGGAAACCATCGTGGCTACTTCTCGTGGAATTCTTCAGGATGGGCTAACTGTCCTGCTTTGATTCTCATCTATCATCTCCCACTGGTGCCCAGCCAGCGTATACTTTTTTATGGTTTTTTTAATAGATAGAGTGATTCAAGAGGAAGGTTTATATGTATAATACATGCATAATATTGTAGAGAAACACTGATAATTTTAGAGGTTTCTAATGTGATGAGATGTAGTGTCCACCCGTGCGAAGACGGGGCGGGTCGCTAGTTACAGATAAAAAAAAAGAATTTTCCAAATCTGTTTATAAATAATAAAGTTATGAGGTAACAAACATAAAAACATAAAAAAACGCGACCAAATTGAAAATTTCCTTCTTTTTGAAGTCAGTTCAAAATAGCAGAATAATCACCTCGGGGTATTTCTCTGTGCCCAAGAACAGCATGTGCTCGCAGAAATGCGCCAAGCCTGGCAACTCGTCCGGGTCGCTTAGGTAACCTGAAATTTAATAATTTAATAAGTATTCCTTTCCGGCGAAATAAAATCTAACTGCGGTTGCTAACCCGCCGCTAAACATGGCATCTACTGGGGGGAAAGGATTGTTAGTAATGGAGACTAAGAATCCCATTGCTAGCAATATACCCCCAACTAGGTCGCGACCTCCTGGAAACTATCATGGTTAATTCCTGATGAATTCATCATGATGTGCTAACTGGCCTGTTTTCATTCTCATCTATCACCCTTCACTGGTGCTCCGCCAGCGTATCCCGTTAGCGCAGGCGGGGCTACCATATCATTTTCACCCATCAATAACCCTCTTTGGGTATGCATTTGTTGGTGGTTTCCACCACCTATAACAACTGATATGTATAAATATACCCACCCACATTGACATCCAGTGCGGCGGCCGACTTATCAGTGGTGGGGTCACTGACCAGCAGTACTTTGAGGCGATTCGATAACACCAAACCCCTGTGAGCACACAGAACAGAAATTTATTTTATTTATTTATACAAAGGTAGTTAGTTACATTACAGGGTTTGGTATCTCCTATTATATATATATATATATATATATATATATATATATATATATATATATATATATATATATATATATAATAGGAGATGCCGAGGTTTTCCCAAGAGACTACAGCATGGGGTTCTTCAAAAGGGGGGTAAAGAGGTTTCTTCAGGGTCGGCAACGCGCGCGTAATACCTTACCGCTACGGTAACCGCTTACCATCAGGTGGGCCGTATGCTTGTTTATCACCTCAGTGGTATAAAAAAATATATCATCGTAGCACTACAGCTGGCCGCTAACGACATGTTTTCCAACTATATCGGGTTGACTGGAAGAGATCTCTGTCAGAGATAAGTCCACCCTTGCTCACAACGTTTATAAATACATTGTTTTATATGTAACTTACAAGTGCAATAAAGAATATATATATATATATATATATATATATATATATATATATATATATATATATATATATATATATATATATATATATATATATATATATATATATATATTATATTTATATGCTTTTTTACATTCACTTTTAATATGGATGTTACGTTATAACTTCAGATTATATAGATAAAATGTCTCCGTACAAATGCTTTGAAAAAAGTGGGTCAACTTTTTCATACAATTTTGCGTCGGTGTATTTGTGATTTTTTTTTTCAACACTGACAACGTCTTAATTTATCATTTAATATATACCAACCACAAATTTATAATATTTTATTTTTTAGTAGTTTATTTTATTTATTTATTTATTCATTAGTACAATGGGGGCAAATCAGGGGGCAAACGAGCATGCGGCTCACCTGATGGTAAGTGACCACCGCCGCCCATGATCACCCACAATACCAGCGGCATTGCAGGTGTGCTGCCGGCTTTTTAAAAAGGAACATACTCTTTTCTTGAAGGTTATGTTGTCGTATTTCATAGTTTTTTACACAATACACTTTAAGCACACCACTGTGTTAGTCAGACTTATTCAAACATTATTGTTATTATTAGGACCCCGCGGGTTGGCGAGGCTCGTGCTGAAAATCAGCGCTGTAGTGTCCCTCACACTACAGCATAATGCTGAGCATGGAGCTCATTTAGCAGGTATTGCGACACACGCACACACACACTCATTTTGGATGAAACTGTTATATTACGAATTGTTTTTTTTTTCTTTTTTTTAAATTTTATATTCTCTTTTTTTATATATATAAATATTGTGTGTAGTTTTGTTGTTATAATTCTTAATATTTTTTTTTAACCCCTGTGTGGGTGTAGCCGCATATTTCTGTAGAATCAAGTTTCTTTCTTTCTTTCTCCACGAAGTCCCCGCTGAAAACCGTCGTGCTGAATTCCAGGTGTATTCATTACGATGGGCTGACTGACTTGCTTTTTCATTCTCACCTATCATCCCTCACTGGTGCCCCGCCAGCGTATACCGATAGCGCAGGTGGGGTTACCATACCATTATTACCATTAAAAAACCCCTCCTATAAGTTAGAAATGACACACCTTTTACAGAGGAATAACACCTGGGTCCTCAGGAATGGCAACGTAACTGCGTCATGGGCTAAAAAAAATTGCGAACCTCTGATCTATAGGATTTTTTTTAATGGGTGAAAATGGAATGGTATCCTCGCCTGTGCTATCGGTATATGCTGGCGGGGCACCGGTGACAGATGATAGGTGAGTCAGTTAGATCCCATTACTAACAATCCCTTTCCCCCTGAAAAATAGTATTAAATTAGTTAGACATACCTGTACTCTCTCTTATCCTCTTGTGATTTCACTATATCATCGTATCTCTTTAGTATCCCAAGGTTGGGTGACTGAGGGGTTGGTGAGGGAGTACCCCGGGAAGGAGGCTGCCGCGGCAAACACTGCGGGGACGACATGCTTGAGTGGAGACGTTTCTGGCCGAAGGTCACACTGTGGATATCAATTCATATCATTATTAACTGACCCAACAAGCCGTGTCACCCACCAGGTGCATTTTTTAAATGTCCATACATGAAAAGGAAAAACTGAACACTTACAGGATCGATTGCTTGGGCACCTCTGTCCCATTCGTGTTTTAACTGTGAAGCAGTTATGTTTTCAAGGCTGTGTTTTGGTTTGAAGGGTGGGATATGGCATAAATTTACTGGGTACAGAGGAATAACACCTGAGTCCTCAGGAATGGCAACGCATGGGGGGTATCATGGGCGAAACAGTATACTCTGTTACGTCCACGGTACTGCTCATGTCTATAGGCGACGGTTACCACTTTCCATCGGGTGGGCCGTCAGCTTGTTTGCCATTCTAAGTTGTATAAAAAAAAATGCTTGGACACAATAGCAGTTGGAGATTGATGCCTAACATGGAAGGTTGTAGAATTTCTAATAATAATAGTCAATATTCCAGTGTTGACAGTCACATGCATACTAATGGTAACAGAATTAAACAAAATCACTCTAATTAAATAACCAGTAATACGGAATGCCACATAATAGTACCTAGTTCAGTGAAATAATTATAAGGTAACATTTTTATGTGTTAAGATTTACATAACTAAGAATGGAAAGACAGTGCAAATTAAAGACAGAGAATTAATAATAATAACTCTTGTGAAATTTGTCACAATGGGCTAACTGACCTGATTGCATGCTCACCTATCACCACTTACTGATGACCACTAAAATATACCAATAGCACAGGCGGGGTTACCATTGCTTTATCATTTATTATAAAAAAAAATATATTTTTATTTATTTACACATATGTACTCACAACAAAACAATGTCACTATTGGAAAAAAAATTAAAGATATTCTTTATTTTTAATGTGTATAGATTAAAAAAAAAATTATACAGTCATGTTTTTTTATTGTTTAAATACATAAATGTTATCTATGTCATTATCTTGTCTCAATTATAAGAATTCATATCTTTTTAAAATTAATTCCCAATAAATGAAGATAAAAAAAATAATCAACATACCAAGTATATTGAAAAGAGATAGCATATGGATGAATTTAACATTCTATTAGTATAAAATTCATTCTTAATTATAAAAAACAAAAAATTACTAAAAAGAAACAAGGCAAAGGACAAATATATTTCACAGAGATCACAGATAATAATGTGTAGTTCATTTTCTCTCTGTTTAAAACCCTCTATTCTGCCCCTTTGTGCCAAAGCTTGAAGATATAATATTAAAAAATATAACCTATGAAAATTGGAGCGATATGCTGGAGGCGAGAAGCTGTGGAAGCCAATGAGCAAAAATCTTCTTGATGCCAGCTTGCTAAATTGAACTTAGACTAGAATAATTTGAAAATTATTATTATTATTCATAAGATAATTTAATCAATTGACAAATTTGCTAGTAATAAAATTTGATTGTTACATCAATGACTGACAGCTTGACAGTAGACATAACAATATTAATATTGACATTTGTAGCTAGTGTTGCCAATTTGCTGTTGTGCTTTCAAGCTTAATGTAATGAAAAACGAAGTAAATCAATAAAAAATTGGGATAAATTATTACCTAAGCACGTATAATTTAGACATGATAGTGTAGAAATAATTTATGATGGAATTAACTTTTCTAAAAGACGAGTGAAAGAGATTGATATGATATTAATGTAATTAATACAGGGACGTGTAAAGGTTATATATGGTGCTATGACTTAATTTTATAGGAGTTTTGGAGCAAATAAAAAGTTTTAAATTCAATATCTTTGATTTTTTCCTTACAATCCTACATTTGCGTAGTTAATAAAAAACTCAACCTGAAGTAAAACTAAAATAATAAAGTAAATAGAATTTATTTGAAACTAGCCCTTTTTATGATATTTCATGTAATTTTAAAATATATTTATTCCACCATTTAGCTTAATAAGCATTTCGGTCTAAGTTGGCAACCGCATCAATAAAAATGAAATTCTTGACATAAGGATCAAGTCAAGCTGTCAGTCATATAAGTCAATCAGATATAATATAGCTAAAAATAATTATCATTACGGTAACAGGAATTTCTATCTTATGTAGTCATTTCCATTTTGTTTGGTTATAAATGAACGTTCCTTTAAACGCAAAGATTTGTTATATTTGCTTAAGTAGAATTTTATTTCAACACATTTTATTTTGTCACAATTGAAGTAAGCTTTTTTTTTATAGAGCACGATCTAATTTATTTTGTAACGGAAATATTTAGTTATATTTTTATTTCTTATTAGTTATAATTATAGTTTTTGTACGTTCTGTACTTTGGTATTTATAAAGATATCTTCACGTTTCTTGCACAATCATAAGGTGACCAACTATACTCATTTACTGAGTTTTGTACTCTTTTTTCGCAAACCGTACTCTTTTCAAATCCTGTACTATGAAAGTACTCATTTGTATAATTTTACACTCATTTGTATTTCTAAAACATTTTTTTTAAATTAGTTTACTTCAATTTTATTAATTAAATATTTAAAAATATTTCGACAGTGATTTGAATTGTATATATATATAATACATATACATGTATTATATCTCTTATAATGAAAAGAAGAGTCAAAGAATATTTCTTTATATATTTATTATATCCTTTTGTTGGCGACGGACCTCTTTTTTTAAATCTAAACCGCCTGAAACTATATAAAGCTCAAGTGAGGCTACACATGGAATACTGTTCTCACCTGTGGGCAGGAGCGCCACAGTACCAACTCCTTCCGTTAGACCGCATTCAAAGTTGGGCGGCTCGAATTGTTGACGATCGGCGTCTTACTGTCCGGCTCGACCCACCGAAACTGCGTAGAGATGTTGCATCTCTGTGCATCTTCTACCGAATTTATCATGGGGAGTGCTCTGAAGAATTGTTCGGATTGATACCTGCTGCTGATTTTCACCATGTACAACCCGCTATAAACATAAAATTTCATCCCAACCATCTGGACGAGTGGCGGTCCTCCACCGTGCGTTTTTCAAGGCACTTTCTCCCACGCACAACCACTCTTTGGAATCAACTTCCAGCAGCAGTATTTCCGAACCGATACGATAACATAACCTTCAAGAAAAGAGCATACTCCTTTTTAAAAGGCCGGCAGCACACCTGCAATGCCGTAGGTGTTGTGGGTGACCATGGGCGGCGGTAGTCACTTACCATCAGGTGAGCCGCATGCTCGTATGCCTCCTGTGTTGTAAAAAAAAAAAGATGAAAATTTAATACAGTTGTTACAATTTTGATTCATAAATGTTTTATAATATACAAAATTGTATATATATTATATACAAATATGTAAAAAATATAATCTAACCTCTTTTTATATGAGTTTACCTTTTTAGATTTATATTTTTATATTTGGAATAAGTCCCTTGATAACTTCTTTGTTTTCTTACTTGACTGACATATTGTACACATCTTGTCAAGGAAATTATACTGGTAAGCCTGTTGAATATTATTATTTTATTATTGTCGCTACTCTTCTCTTCTATCAGCGCCGTAATATCTTTCTTACTAGAGGCAGATATTCATTATATCTAAGGTATATAGAGGAAGGAAGGGATTGTTAGTAATGGGGAGGTTAGTCCCTATTGCTATCGATATACCGTATCAGGTTGACCTCCACGCGGTTCCCCCTGGAAACTATCGTATCTAATTGATCGTTGAATTCGTCACGATGGGCTAACTGACCTGCTTCATATCTATACCTATCATATTTCACTGGTGTCCCGCCAGTGTATACCGATAGCGCAGGCGGAGTTATCATGCCATTTTCACCTATTAAAAAAAAGGTATATTTTTTATACCACTGAGATGTAAAAAAGCATACGGCCCACCTGATGGTAAGTGGTTACGGTAGCCTATGAACACCTGCAATACCAGAGGTATTACGCGTGCGTTGCCGACTCTGAATAAACCTGTTTACCCCCCTTTTAAAGAACCCCATGCTGTAGTTGGGAGAACCTCGGCAGGGAGCACATTCCATAACCTGAGTGTTCGTGGGAGGAAACATCTCTGAAACCGCGATTATTGTGCGCGATTATCTAGGCTGTAAGGTATGAGGGTGAACTCCCAGTCGATGGCGAGCCGTACGATGGTAGAAAGTGGCCGTGGGCATCATATTGAACAATTCCTCTGAGCACAATCCATTGTACAGGCGGTAGAACACGCAGAGTGAGGCAAAATCTCTTCTAAGACTTAAGGGTTCGATACCGCTTGTAAGCCTGGGAACATCGACAATTCTCATAGCTCGTTGCAACGAGTCGAAAGGTTCAAGCTACCAGAGGGAGACTTTGTACAAAAGTCGATTGCTTGGGTACCTCTGTCCCATTCGTGTTTCAACCGTGAAGCAGTTGTGTTTGCATGGCTGTGTTTCGGTTTGAAGGGTGGGATATGGCGTGAATTTACTGGGTACAGAGGAATAACACCTGAGTCCTCAGGAATGGCAACGCATGGGGGGTATCATGGGCGAAACAGTATACTCTGTTATGTCCATGGTACTGCTCATGTCTATAGGCGACGGATACCACTTTCCATCAGGTGGGCCGTCAGCTTGTTTGCCATTCTAAGTTCTATAAAAAAAAAAAAAAAAAAAAAAAAAAAAAAAATATTTAGGTGCTCCGGCCCATAAGTGACAGCAATACTAGATATGGGGCCGGATTTGCGATGATATAGATGTGGTAGTCATAAGGGATCTCTAATACCGTGTGGTTCCGGTATAAAATGGGCCGATCCCTTCTTTTCCCGTGGGTATCGAAAGAGGTGACTAAGGGAACTCAATTGTCAAGGGATGGGCATCAGCATCTCTCTTAAAAATCACTAAAGCGGGGGGAAAGGGATTGTTAGTAATGTGGATTTGCCAGCTCCCGTGTTGTGCCGTAGGTGTTGTGGGTGACCATGGGCGGCGGTAGTCACTTACCATCAGGTGAGCCGCATGCTCGTTTGCCCCCTGTGTTGTAAAAAAAAAAAAAAGCTCCATTGCTAGCAATATACACCCTATCAGCGGTGGTTCCAGGGGGACCTCCACGCAGTTCCCCCTGGAAACCATAGTGGTTAATTCTTGTACCAGTAGAATTTATCACGATGGGTTTACTGGCCTGCTTTCATCCTCACCTATCATACGTCACTGATGCCCCGTAAGCGTACCTATACCGATGCGCAGGCAGGGTTACCATTCCATTATGATCCATTACAAAAAAATCACTAAAGCCTAACTGCAATTTCCAACCCGGTTGCCAAGCGTGGCAACTACTGGTAAATGGGGGAGGCCTATGGATACTGGACAATTAACGGCTGATATAATAATAAACAAATAAGTAATAATATAAAATAAAATAAAAAATAAATAAAAAAGCTGAAAACTTGTCTTTAAAATTACTATTTCAAAATATTGGTATTTGTATTGTTAGTATATTCATTTATTTTAACATTTATTATATAAGTAGGTAGATATTTATGCAATATTTTATTATATATTTTAATATTTTATTCAACTGTATATTTGTTTATGTATTAATAGTTGTAGCACTACAGCTGCCCGCTAACAACGTGCTTTCCAACTGTATCGGGTTGACTGGAAGAGATCTCCGTCAGAGATAAGTCCACGCTTGCTTACGACATTTATAAATGCATTATTTTATATGTAACTTACACGTTACAGTTACGTTAGCGCAGGCGGGGTTACCAATCCATTTTCATTCAACAAAAAAAAAACCGTTTTCTTAAGATTTATCGAGTAGTTTCCTTGGTCCTTTGGTCATTTAAAGAAATTATTAAACTAATAATAGTAATAAGGTATAATTCCAGAAGGTCATAACCTGGCAGTTTACGTCATACAAGTAAACACATGCAAATGGCATAAATCCGAAGGTCGACAAGAAAGGTTCTCAAACTCATTTCCTCCATCACCCATTTTGAGAATTAATTATTTTTTAACGACCCCTTTTTTATTTTTTAAATAATACTTGAACTAAGTATTTATGTGTGAGGCCTCGAATATTTCGATCTACCCTCGTAATAACATAAAAATTCAAGAAATAACTATGTTAATCTCTGAGCTGCTTTATTCTAACCTATTTGTGTTGAGGACGGGGGAAGGAATTGTTAATAATGGAGTCGGACAACCCCATTGCTAGCAATATACCCTATTCAGTCGAGGGGGGGGAAAGGATTGTTAGTAATGGGGTCTAATAGCCCCATTGCTAGCAATATATCATCTCAGGTCGACCTCCACGTGGTTCCCCCTGGAAACCATCATGGTTAATTCTTGTCGAATTCGAATTCATCATGGTGGGCCAACTGACCTGCATTCATTTTCACCTATCATCTTCCACTGGTGCCTCGTCGGTGTATACCGATAGCGCAGGCGGGGATACCATTCCATTTTTACCTATTAAAAATAAATATACCCCATCAAGTTAACCATCGTGGTTAATTCTTGGTGAGTTCCTCACTATGGGCCAAATGATCTGCCTTATCATCACCTATTACCCCTCACTGGTGCCCCGCCAGCGTATACCTATAGCGTAGCCGGGATTATCATTCCATTTTCAAACATTAAAAAAAACCTATAATTTCTCACTGTTACTCTCTCAATGTATACCAATAGCGCAGGCGGGGTTTTTTTTATGGCTGAAAACGGTATGGCAACCCCGCCTGCGCTAACGGGATACACTGGTGGAGCGCCAGTGAAGGGTGATAGATGAGAATGAAAACAGGCCAGTTAGCTCATCGTGATGAATTCATCAGGAATTAACCATGATAGTTTCCAGGGAGAACCGCGAGGAGGTCGACCTGGATGGGTATATTTTTAGCAATGGGATTCTAAGTCTCCATTACTGACAATCCCTTTTCCCCCTGCGCAGGTGGGGTTACCGTTTCATATTCGCCCATTAAAAAATCGTGTTTCTGTAGGGCTATAGGTTCCACAAGGGGGTGTTATCGCCCACTTTGAGAATAAACGTGCTACAAGAAATGCAGGCTTGTTAATATGAATCCCAGTATATTATCGTTTCGAATACATTCCACACGTCCGACATTTAATTTTATAATTAAATATTTAAATTATTAAAAATAAAACACGAATAATATTTGGCATGGTTTTAAAAAATATCTTTTATTTTATAATAATGTGGAATATATTAGCTTTTTTATTATTTATGTGCGTTTCCGTTAACGGCGACTCGAAAGAATTGTTTGAAGGTATTTATTCATTTTTATTTTTGTAATTAAATATTTTACTTGTTGTTGTTGTTTTAAGATTTGTCAAAAAGGCGTAAATGCCTTTTTAAAAGGCCGGCAGTACACCTGCAATGCCGTTGGTCTTGTTGATGACCATGGGCGGCGGTAGTCACTTACCAAAAGGTGAGCCGAATGCTCGTTTGCCCCCTGTGTTGTAAAAAAAAAAATAAGAATAATCTATACTTATAATAAATCTGTAGAGAGGTCAATTCTGTACATGAAATATATTTCCAAAATAACTATCAGGCGGTGATTAGTGATCGATACTGATGCCAAAAATGCAATCAGTAAAATTTTTGTCTGTCTCTCTGTATATATATGTCTATTCGTTATAGAAACAAAAACTACTCGACGGATTTTAACGAAACTTGGTACAATTATTCTTCATACTCCTGGGCAGGTTATAGTATACTTTTCATCACGCTACGATCAATAGGAGCAGAGCAGTGAAGGGAAATGTGTCTGTTACATCAAAACCACTGAACCGTGAGGAAAGACATAGGCTACTATATTTTATGGAAAACGACGAAAACGCGGACGAAGTCGCAGGGAACAGCTAGTAATGAATAATTTTTATTCGACTAATCATTTTTTTATAAACTACTAGTTGACTCGGCAAACGTTGTTTTACCATATACGTTATTTCGAGAACTATACATGAAAATTTATCGTACTACAATTATTATATTCGATTGCCAACTTGCAACCCTATTGCGGAATATAAAAATCGCGATTAAAAAACAGGGGTTGATCGTAACACGGTGAAAATTTGAATTTGTATGTATTTTTCAATGCTAAATCATAATAAAATAAAAATGGAAAAATTTATCAAAAAAATAAAAAAAAAAATATTTAGGGGTGGGTCACTCTTATCATTGAGGGGTATGAAAAATAGATGTTGGCCGATTCACAGACCTACCCGATATGCACACAAAATTTCATAAAAATCTGTAAAGCCGTTTCGGAGGAGTTTGGTAACAAACACCGTGACACGAGAATTTTATATATTCGATTATATAGGACAGGCATCAAGCATGGCTCATACAGCCTAGTCATAAGTCGTTATCAGTTCTTCATAAATGGGGTGGAAATTATTTCATACGTATTTTGTATTAATCTTCATAGAACTCGTAACTACCAAGCGTCAGGGTTCTTCATCTCGTATGAAGTAGTCTCCATATTAATTTACGCATGTATGGGTATAGATTAATAAATATATTTACACACATACATACATATCTGTCACGCCTCTCTCCCATTACGGTAGGCAGAAACAATGGAACGCCAAATGCTTCGATTCAAACAAACCTCTTTCGCTTCTTCCACATTCATCAAAGTTTTCATACACGCTCGCCGGTCACGGGCACTTTTAATTTGGCCCTTCCTCAGCACGCCGCCTATTTGGTCGACATACGTCCGTTTAGGGCGGCCCCTACCGACATCTCCATTCATTCTTGTTCGATAAATCTCTTTCGTAATTCTTCTTTCATCCATCCTCTCCAAATGACCAAACCAACGCAACATTCCTTTTTAGATTTTTGTCACTACATCGTCTTTCAGTCCACACTTCTCTCTAATCACACTGTTTCTTGCTCTAATAAATATATTTCTTTATTAAAATTATGTAAACCGTGTAAAAAAGTTAAATACTTTAGTGAAAACTAATTTTGGTAAAAAATTGGTTTTCATTAAAATATGTTCACTAAAGTGTGGTCGTCCACAGAGCAATGAAGAATATAGAGTTAGCAGATATGCTATGCTGTTTGCCACCTTCGTGGTATAAAAAAAAACAAACCTAGCATAGTCTATAATTTTTTTTTTAATTACTACATAAATAAAATACGTAGATTAAGGATAGTACTTATTGTATGAAATGTCTAAACTAAATTATTTATAAATAAACAGTATTTCCTCAAAAGAGGTTGGAAAACTGGTTGCACGTGAAGCCGTCATTCGATAACCTGGAACTGCTGGAAACCACATCGGTTAGTTCTTACTGAATTTGTCACGATAGACCAACTGGCCTGCTCCCATCCTCACCTATCATCCCTCACTGGTGCCCCATTAGCGTATACCAATAGCACAAACCGGGTTATCGTTTTATTTTCCTTTTTTTTTTATACCACAAAAGTGGCATAGAAGCATACAGCCCGTCTGATGGTAAACGGTCACTGTAGCCTATAGACGCCTGCAACACTAGGGGTGTTATGTGTACGATGCCGATCCTGAAAAAACCTTAATATAACCTTTTTGAAGAACCCCATTTCCTAGTCTCTAGAAGAAAAACCTGGGCAGGGCAATTCCTTTGAAACCGCACTGTGCGTGACCATTTAGGTTCAAGCGTGTGAGGATGATTTCCCTGTCGATAACGAGCGGTGCGATGATAAAAGGTGGCTCTGGGCATCATTTCAAACAATTCCTCAGAACACAGTCTATTTTGATCCAATAAAAAATCCCTCCCGAAGTTATTAATGAATACTATGTAGTAATTACATGTTTATACCTGTCCAGGTGATCTCTGCGATGCCGGGGCAGGTCAGCAGGCGTTCTGTCTACACATACAGGAATGCATGGGCGCCGTAGCCGCTGCCAAAAATGGGACACCATACACTGTAAGATATCGGGGTCCCTTTGCTAAAGTTTTGTGAAATGACGTATCGTAATCGATCCCAATTAGGTTTACAGTCTAAACCAGAGGGTGACTTTGTTCAAAAGTCGTTTGCTTGTTTTTTTTTTTATGCGACTTAGAATGGCAAACAAGCTGACCGTCCGCCTGATGGAAAATGGGAACCGTCGCCTATAGATTACATTTATACAACATTTTATTACATTTATACAACATTTTACAATTTGCAATTCACAACAATTTGCAACATTTTACAATCCAATTTTACATATTACAATATTTTTTTTTAGAATCTATTGTGATGTTTTCGCCGTGTTTTCTTTTTATACCATTGAGGTGGCAAACAAGCATACGGCCCACCCGATGGTAAGAGGTTACCGTAGCCTATGAACACCTGCAATACCAGAGGTGTTACGCGTGCGTTGCCGAACCTCTTTACCCCCCTTTTGAAGAACCCCATGCTGTAGGCTCTTGGGAAAACCTCGGCAGGGAGCTCATTCCACAACCTGAGTGTTCGTGGGAGGAAACATCTCTGAAACCGCGCAGTACACAACCATTGAGGCTGTAGGACATGAGGATGAACTACCTGTCGACGGCGAGCCGTACGATGGTAGAAAGTGGCCGTGGGCATCATACTGAACAATTCCTCTGAGCACAATCCATTGTACAGGCGGTGTGAGCCCCGGCATAGAATGGGCCGCCCCTACCTTTCCCGTGGGTGTCGTAAGAGGCGACTAAGGGAGGGGGAGGGATGGGCAGTAGCGACCCTCTTAAAACATCTCTAAAAGCCTAACTGCGATTGTCAATCCGTCTGCCAAGCGTGGCAACTGCTGGGAGAACTCCCTTTATGGGGAAGGCTTATGTTCGGCAGTGGACAGTTAACGGCTGAAGTAATAATAATATTATAATTTTTTTTTACATTTCAAGTATGTTTCGTGTACAGATCTGTACATATCGTGGCAAAGATCCAATCGTGTGCTGTTTGGACGCGTTACTCAAGTTTACGCCAATAGCGGTAGAGAGGTAAATGAATTTTGTTTTTTAAATTGGCTTGGATTTGAGAAGTAGATTCCAAAGTGCTTTTTTACCACTATTCACAATAGTAATGGGTAGTAATGCGGACTACCAATCCCATTACTAGCAATATACCCTGTCAGGTCGACGTCCACGTGGTCCCCCCTGGTAACCATCGTGCTGAATTCCAGGTGTATACATTACGGTGGTTATCTGCCTTTTTAGGGGGAAAGGGATTGTTAATAATGCGGTCTAACTGACCCATTGCCAGCAATAGACCCTAGCAGGTCAACCTCCACGTGGTTCCCCCTGGAATCAATCATGAACAATTCTTGTTTAATTCGTCACGATGGGCTAACTGACCTACTTTATCTTCACCTATCATCGTCCACTGGTACCTCGCCGGAGTATACCGATAGCGCAGGCGCGGTTACCATACCATTATCGCCCATTAATAAAACTGCCATTTCATCTTAATCTATCATCCATCACTGGTGCTCTGTCAGCGTATACAGTTTTTTTTTTTTAATTTATTTATGAACATAGATACAAGTCCATCAGTCGCAGGCATAAATGATATTTACAAAAAAAGGTACAAATTACAATATAAAAAAAAAAAACAACAATATTGATAACATATGAAATTCTTAAATTTTATCTACAGTATTTGTAATGAGGTTAAAAACGGGCGTAAAATAAGCTTCGTTAGATAATAAATCTTGAACGCGGCGTATACCGTTAGCGTAGGCGGGGTTACCATTCTATTATCATCTATTAAAAAAAAATACTAACGAGTACCTACTCATTCATTACCATAGACAATGCCAGATAAAAAAGTGTTTTAAAAAAATTAAACGTCACCGCGAGCGCGGGAAACGGTCGAATTTCTAGTCTATGATTTTAATAAGGAAGATGGAGATATTATTATCGAGCTATTTTAAGTTGTTTTACAACGAAACAAGTTCTGTGAATTCTATCGAGTAATAATATCTTAAAACAATTATCGTCTTCTGCCATTATCCGGATTATTTAGCGCGTAATATTATTCATTTTATACTAGTGGTTGCCCCGTGGTCGAAATTCAACCATAACATATTATATTGTAATAAATGAATTTATTATGGTTACGTTTGACATTCAGTGAGACTATAGACAAATAATACTAAATACAAACAATATTAACCTATTCTCAATTTGACCACAGACTTTAACAATAAACAAAAGAGTATATATGCGTGTGTGTGCCAAATACATGGTAGTGTGTGTAATGTTTTTTTTTTGTTGATTTAATGTTTTTTTTATGCATAAATTAAAATAATTTATTATCATTCTGCACTCCTTCTCGATACAAACTATAAGCGTGCCAAATTGCATATTCCTCCATCCGCGTAATTTTCATAAAAAATGGATACAAAGTTTTTGCTTCACGTAATAATATATAGATTATGTACGTAGTTTTATCTTTTGGTGTTTCGACCGGCCACCTGTTTAACGTCAGTTGTCCTTGGAATGGGGGAAAGGGATCGTTAGTGATGTGTTCTAACAGCATTATTGTGAGGGGAAAGGGATTGTTAGCAATGGAGTTTGACAGCCCCATTGCTAGCAATATGCCCGATTAGATCTACCTCCACGTGGTTCCCCCTGGAAACCGTCGTGAACAATTCTTGTTGAATTCGTCACGATGGGCTAGCTGACCTGTTTCATCCTCACCTATCATCCTTCACTGGTGCCCCGCCGGTGTGTACCGATAGCGCGGGTGGGGTTACCATTCCATTATCACCCATTAAAAAAAAAACAGCATTATTGCTAGCAATACATCTTATCAGTTCTCGCAGTTCTCCCTGGTAACTATTATGGTTAAATATTGTTAAATTTGTCGCGATGTGCCAACAGACCTGCTTTCATCCTCACCTATCATCCCTCACTGGTGCGCCCCCGGTGTGTACCGATAGCGCAGGCGGGGTTACCATACCATTATCACCCATAAAAACTCTTTTTAGGAATGCATTTGTTGGTTTTATCATGCCACGTATATAATTTAACATTGGGATCCAAAAAAAAATTAGGTTCAATCATAGCAAAATCAAATATTTTTATTAAAAAAAATCCAGTATTTTGATTTATAAACTAAACTACTTTTTTTTTATGCAACTTAGAATGGCAAACAAGCTGACGGCCCACCTGATGGAAAGCAGTAACCGTCGCCTATAGACGTGAGCAGTACCATAGACATAACAGAGTATACTGTTTCGCCCATGATACCCCCCATGCGTCGCCATTCCTGAGGACTCAGGTGTTATTCCTCTGTACCCTGTAAATTCACTGTCATATCCCATCCTACAAACCGAAACACAGCCATGCAAACATAACTGCTTCACGGTTGAAACACGAATTGGACAGAGGTGTCCAAGCAAACGACTTTTATACAGTCTCTCTCTGGTAAATCGATTTTGATAACATGTCTATAGAACCAATCTAAAAATATGAGTATATCCTTTTAAACAATATAAAGAATTTTTCGAATCGGTCCAGCCGTCTTGGAATAATCGAGGAACATATATAAAAAATAAAATAAAAAAAAAGACTTCCACGAATCAAGATCTTCCTTCTTTTTTCAAATATAAATAGGTTAAATATAAAACAAAATAAAAAATAACAATAACAAATTCCGCATCGCCAAAGGATACTTTAATTAATTATATACCTCTAAAAGGTCAAGGTCACCTCTAAATATAGGAATTTACAAAAATAACTTGACACTGTTTAGGTACCTGCGATTTTGCCTTTGCTTTCATCGCCTCATATCTCGTCACAGTCGTAGAATACTGACGGATCTGACGAAGATTACATATAAAGATCCGTCAGTATTCTACGACTATGACGATATGTTGATATCGTGTTCGCTTATGAAGCCAATTGGTAAACTATTAAACTCCCATAGTTGATAAATATAAATAATTAAATAAATAAAGAAATAAATATTACATACCTAGAGTACAGATACAAATACATTGCCAAAAATAGGACAACTTTTTTTTTTATACAACTTAGAATGGCAAACAAGCTGACGGTCCACCTGATGGAAAGTGGTAACCGTCGCCGCGTTGGCTGAAAGAGCGATCTCTTGCAGCCAACTTTTGGATGGAGAGGAGTAATTATAAACAATTTGGTGGGAGGCACGATGAAAAATTTTGTTAGTTCTAAATATGGGAGATGTGATACATAATACATAGTATGTGTGTGACTGGCAACACTCGAAGATTATTACCAGATGTTCCACGACTTGTTCGAAACATAATGTAGTCTGAAAGAGATTGCTTAGCAATACGACAACTTTTTGTACTACACTATACTTAAAAAAATTGTTCAACAACTCCTGTTTTTTTTTGATGGGTGAAAATGGTATGGTAACCCCACCCGTGCTATCGGTATACACCGACGGGGCACCAGTGAAGGATGATAGGTGAGGATAAAGCAGGTCAGTTAGCCCATCGTGACGAATTCAACAAGAATTGTTCACGATGGTTTCCAGGGGGAACCGCGTGGAGGTAGACCTGATAGGGCATGTTGCTAGCAATGGGGCTGTCAAACTCCATTGCTAACTCCTTTCCCCTCTAATACCAAGTTTAGTGAGATATTTAGATTTTAGTTTGTGTATTTTTTTTTTGTATTTCTCAGGAGCGACTACCAAGATCAGGATGGTTGCATTGTGTCTACCAAACGCACTGGGCTACAGATTGGACAGAAGGCGTTGGAGAGTGAGTTTTTTCAACCAATTTCATAAAAAGAGGACGTTCTCAAGTCGGCTGTATTTTTTTCTTACATATCATCATGTCAGCCTTTAACTGTCCACTGCTGAACATAATTCTCCCATTTGGAGGTTTTGCCAGTAGTTGCCACGCTTGGCAAGCGGATTGGCAACCGCAGTTAGTCTTTAGAGATGTTTGAAAAGGGACGCTGCCCATCCCTCGTCCTACCTTAGTCGCCTCTTACGACACCTACGAGATAGGTAGGGTGGCCTATTCTATGCCGGAAGCACACGGCCATTTCTCGTGTGTGTTACTCGGTCAGTTCTAAACCGATTTGGAGTATTCTTTTTTTATCTGAAAGGATATACTTATAGTTGGGGTTCGTAGAAATTTTATCAAAATCAGTTGAGTAGTTTTTTTTTTATACAACTTAGAATGGCAAACAAGCTGACGGCCCACCTGATGGAAAGTGGTGTGAAGCAGTTGTGTTTGCATGGCTGTGTTTCGGTTTGAAGGGTGGGATGTGGCGTGAATTTACTGGGTACAGAGGAATAACACCCGAGTCCTCAGGAATGGCAATGCATGGGGGGTATCATGGGCGAAACAGTCTACCCTGTTATGTCCACGGTACTGCTCATGTTTATAGGCGACGGTTACCACTTTCCATCAGGTGGACCGTCAGCTTGTTTGCCATTCTAAGTTGTATAAACAATAAATAAAAAAAAAAAACAGTTACTAGACAACTCGCAGTAGGTGTCACGCCGCATCATAGTCTTGGACTAAACAAAAAGTTCTAACAATGTTTAATTGCAGAATGCTTGAAATATCAGCAAAACACGTGCCCATGCAAGACGGGTGCAAGCGGTATATCTTTCGAGGACATCATAGCTCATGGGGAGAACGCTGAACTAAACGAATTTAGTAACATGGTAAATATTTTTTTTTATTTTATTGACCTTCTTTTTTTATTTAGATTGATGAGTGTGGAAGAAGCGAAACAGGTTTGTTTGTATCGAAGCATTTGGCGTTCCATTGTTTCTGCCTACCGTAATGGGAGACGGACGTGACAGGTATGTATGTATGTATAACTGATAAAAAAGCCGACTTCAAATATGGCAAATAATTGAAGTCGGCTTTTTTTGTTAACGTTTTCAGGTTTATTTATTTATTTACACTTTATTGCACCAAGTAAAAAGAGATTTAACAAATACAGTAAATATTAATGAGAAGTGATACAAAAGGCGGCCTTATCGCTAAGCAATCTCTTCCACACAACCTTTGGGTAGAGGACATTGAGAAAAAGACAAAGGGTAGGTGGCGCACTATTATATAAATATTATCATATACAAACATATATACATACATACATACATACATACATACATACACATACATACATACACATACATATATAATATATACACAATTAAGGTTATTATTAAAACTTTGATTCCATCCCCAGGCTTTGCTTGGCTACGGTGACAATATCACGACAGCGCAGTGGTCGTGTGGAGGCAGCGTGATCAGCGAGCGATACATCCTCACCGCGGGGCACTGCATCAGCGGGAGGGAGATGTGAGTAATTGACAACCTTATGGTCTTTACAATAAACACTAAAGTCGCCTAACGAGGGGATGACATTATCAGTAATAGGAAATAACTGCCCCATTGCTAACCAGAGGGAGACTTTGTACAAAAGTCGATTGCTTGGGTACCTCGGTCCTATTCGTGTTTCAACCGTGAAGCAGTTGTTTGCATGGCTGTGTTTCGGTCTGAAGGGTAGGATATGGCGTGAATTTACAGGGTATAGAGGAATAACATCTAAGTCCTCAGGAATGGCAACGCATGGGGGATATCATGGGCGAAACAGTATAGTCTGTTGTGTCCATGGTACTGCTCATGTCTATAGGCGACGGTTATCACTTTCCATCAGGTGGGCCGTCAGCTTGTTTGCCATTTTAAGTTGTATAAAAAAAAACTTGATTTTTATTTCAGCGGGGACGTGAAGTTCATTGCCCTGGGTATACTAGCGCGCACGGACCTAAAGAAGGATGTGGTGTACAGTGTGGAGAGGATCATACGGCATCCTGAGTACAAGCCGCCCGTCAAGTACCACGATATCGCTTTGCTGAAAACGGACCGCGAGTGAGTATTGTCATTTATTATATGGTAAATCGTATATATCAATACGTGCATAGCATTTGGCGTTTCATTGTTTCTGACGGAATTAAACAAAAGAATTATTTTGTTTAATTCCGCCATCATTAGTTAATACGTGCATAGCATTTGGCGTTCCATTGTTTCTGACGGAATTAAACAAAAGAATTATTTTGTTTAATTCCGTCATCATTAGTTAATACGTGCATAGCATTTGGCGTTTCATTTTTTCTGACGGAATTAAACAAAAGAATTATTTTGTTTAATTCCGTCATCATTAGTTAATACGTGCATAGCATTTGGCGTTCCATTGTTTCTGACGGAATTAAACAAAAGAATTATTTTGTTTAATTCCGCCACCATTAGTATGTGTGTAACTGCCAACACTCGAAGATTGGCCACTATTATTAATACCAAAAGTTAGCCATCAATCTCCGACCGCTATTCAGTCCACGCACGTTTTGCGACACGTTTCACCTCTAAATGAGACACCTTCAAACAAATAGATCGCTGTTAATATATATATCCAAAATGATGGAAATAATACCCAATCCGGTAAAGCTGGCTCATTCTATGTTTGTATGCCAGAGATAGTGTATGTATATGTATTTATATGTATTAGTAATCTACCCCGGCTTCGCTCAGGTGAGCGTTCTTTAGATTGATATAACTTTTTTTATTTATGTACCGGTTGAAATGGAACAAACACTAAATATTAAGAGACAAAAACCGCAATGCATTAGTGAAAACTGCATCCAAATCGGTTAAGTCGTTTCTCAGATTAGCGTACACAAATGTACAGACAGACAGATATACAGTCAAAAATTCTAAAAATCATTATTTCGGGTTGTATTGCGTTCATAAAGCCCCTCTATAATAGTTTTTCTTATATACCTTCCATGTACAGACAGCGTCCAGTTACGATTTTATCATATCGATCAATCAAGATATAGATCATCGTCATCATTCCAGCCATTGTCCGTTCACTGCTGGACATAAGCCTCCCCCATAGACTGCCATAAAGAACGGTCCTGAGCCACCTGCACCCACTGATTCCCTGCAGGATATAGATACCCTCCACAAATGCTACAGTGGTGGGGGAAAGGGATTGTTAGTAATGGAGACTGAGAATTCCATTGTTAGCAATATACCCAACCATGTCGACCTCCCCGCGGTTCTCCCTGGAAACTATCATGGTTAATTCTTGATGAATTCATCATGATGTGCTAACTGGCCTGTTTTCATTCTCATCTATCACCCTTCACTGGTGCTCCGCCAGCGTATCCCGTTAGCACAGGCGGGGTTACCATACTATTTTCACCCATCAAAAAAAAATTTTACAGTGGTAATTTCATTTCTCAGCATATCCTTTTCGCTGGCAATCAAACCGGCTTGCTTGGAAGTGGATAATATTCAACGGGAGGGTCACGAGGCGACGGCCATCGGTTGGGGGACGCTGGGAGACGGAGATGACACTGCTAATACTCTCCAGAAGGTGGGTTAAAAGTTTATAATATATATCCCTTAGGATCTTCATATTATAATAATAAAATCTTTATAACAGGCCACGATGGTCCAATTAATTAATAGCATTTTTTATGCAACTTAGAATGGCAAACAAACTGACGGCCCACCTGATGGAAAGTGGTAGCCGTCACCTATAGACATGAGCAGTACTATGGACATAACAGAGTATACTGTTTCGCCCATGATACCCCCCATGCGTTGCCATTCCTGAGGACTCGGGTGTTATTCCTCTGTACCCTGTAAACTCACTGCTATATTCTATACTTCAAACTGAAACACAGCCATGCAAACACAACTGCTTCACGGTAGAAACACGAATGGTACAGAGGTGCTCAAGCAAACGACTTTTGTACAAAGTCTCCCTCTGGTAATATCCAGCATAATCTTAACCTATCGCCTATTTCTAATGGTGGTTATTAATTTATAATTTTAGATTAAAATCTTAAATAGTTACTATAATAGATACACGCAATTATTTTTATTCATTTATTTATATTTAGTTCTTTTTTGTCAAGAATTCTCGCGGCTGGTTGCGAATGGCGGCTGCCGAGTTTTTGGCAAGCAAGGCCAAAAGGCAAAAACTTTACGCAAAAACTTGCCTTGTGGATAGAGCAATAAACTGAGTAGCGGCCATTTTGTGTTACTGTGGCACACACACGAAAAATTGTTACCTCTTTTCAAGTGCTTTCCTTTTGTTTTTGTTTTTGTCTATGTATTCTTTTATTTCTTTTTTTGAGTATGCACCAATATTTTTATTTGTGTGCTGTAAATGATGGGAATAAATATATGTCTATCTATCAGGTAGAGTTCCCTCTGGAAACCATTTTTCCATGACTTGCTTTCATCCACATACATCATCCTTCACTGGTGCCCGACCAGCTTTTACCGATATCATAAGCAGGGGTTACCATTCCATTATCATCCGCTAAAAACAATCCCTTGCACCTCTCTCGCGTAACTCAATAAGGGGTTATGGAAAGGATTATTCCCCCTTCCATCTGGAGTAGACAGAAGTATATAGATGCTGGTAAACCCTTTTCTTCTAGACGAAGCTGTACCAGTTTCCTCATCAGGAGTGCTCTGACCGGTACAGACCTACCAGGCTTCTGAGAAACGGGATCAATCAGACCATCCAAATGTGCTACGGACACAAAACAAGACCCACCGACACTTGCCAGGTATTTAAGGCGGGACCGGGTGGGCATGCCCACCCAAAAATTCTTTGGTGCCCACCCCAAATCCGAGTATATGCCAACCCGTAAAGTAATTTTAAATACAACAATGATCACACGAATTCATACATTATCATACATTCAACGCTGTTTACGAGGAATAACTGTTCCATACATTTTTAGAATTTAGTTTTTTTTGTATACTTTTTTTAGACCACGAAGATGGTAAATAAACATACAGCCCGTCTGATGGTAAACGGTCACTGTAGCCTATAGACGTCTGCAACACTAGGGGTGTCACGTGTGCGTTGCCAACCCTGAAGTAACCTTTTTGAAGAACCCTATACTGTCTAGTCCTAAGGAAAATCTAGAATGGCAAACCAGCTGACAACCTGGCTGTGGTAACTGTCGCTATAGACATGAACAGCACCGAGGACGTAACACCAATGGCACCTCTTATGCATTACCAATCCTGAGGACTAAGAAGACTCTGTACTTCGTAATTTTATTGCTGGGATATATTCCACCCTTCAAACCGAAACACAGCTATGTAAGAATAACTGTTTTACGGTAGAAACACAAGTGGGAAACCCTTTTGTACAAATTCCTTCTTCTTTTTGCAGGGCGACAGCGGCGGGCCCCTGTTGATCAGCAACAAGTTCCGCTGTCTCCACTCCATCGTCGGAGTGACCTCTTTCGGCTCCGCTTGCGGCCATACTGGCATACCCGGGGTCTACATCAGGCTAGTCCCATACCTGCCCTGGATAGAAAGTGTTGTATGGCCTTAAGTGAAATAAATGCTTTGATTTATTTTTGTGGGGTTTTTATTCTGTACCTTAACTTTTAAGTTTCCTCCAAAAACTTATGGAAATGCCGTGAACAGTAAATACCGTCAGGTATTAAATAATAATTCGTGGAAAAGTCTTTCTTTCAAGCATTTTACGTTTAATTTGTAAACTGGATTAGAATCAATTCTTGAAATCGTTTGAGCTCAAATTTTATACATTTAAGAGCTTTGGAAGAGATCGTTTTTAGCTATAAGGCCGCCCGTTGTTTTCTCATTGTGATTATTTCTTGTTATTGTATCTAGTTTACTGCTGTAATCTTTTGTAGTAAACAATGACTATCTGTCTTTTTGGTGGCAATACAATACGCTCTACATGGCAATATATGCAATCAAAATGGCCGCCGCTACAAAATGGCGGTTCGTGTATTTTTTCAATCTCCTCAATATAGGTCAAATGATAGGGCTTGAAGGGTAGAAAACGATAATGTTAGTGGCATCCAAAGATAAAAATAGGTTGGATGCATAGGGCACCCATAGGACCCTACGTGAACTTGGCAGTTAGGACAGTAAGCAATTATAGCCACAGTAGTAGAAATGCATTTAACTTTGTGGCACTTTTTATTTTATTTTATATCGACTCATTCCGCTACCTATTTTAAACCGTGCCAACAAATTTTGACAATAATATTAACACTCTTTTTACTTTAAATCTAAGAACAAGGAATTACATAGAAGGAATGATAAAAACTGTACATCATATAGTTGCCTCCTTTCTTCCTATGCAAATATAATTAGTAAAAAGAGGACGAAAGATACACCATCAGTCATCATTTTTCTCAATTCATAACAGGATAGTGTATAGAAAATGTATAACGTTTTCTATACACTGGCCTGCTATGAATTGACAATTTTATCATTCCTTCTATGTAATTCCTTGCTCTTAGGTTTGAATCGATAAGAAAAAAAGTGACGTTTTGTTTAAATTACTTCATTCTTTCTGTCTTTCCGATCCTATCAAATGTGTAATATTAAATTCTGTTTAAATGTTTCTATTGTTTGCTGATTACTGGCTTCGTTCTGTCCTTCAACTGGGAGATTCATCAGAATCCTTCTTCAACCACTACAATTTGATTTTGGGATTAGATCTTGGTATTCCCTTGGTATTGGATATTTGGTAGTTACTGTTCTAGTTACATCACCATCACCATCGTTATTATCATCTCTGTGTTTTGCTCTTTTGATGGCAAAGCAATAAACTGAGTTGTGACCATTTTGTGTTACTGTGGCAAGTGCATGAAAGAAGGAAAGTATTGTTTTATATATTTTGCTTTTTGTTTTTTCTTTTGTTGTTGTTTTTTTTTGTTTTTCATTCTTTTATCTTTTTTTTACAACACAGGGGGCAAACGAGCATGCGGCTCACCTGATGATAAGTGACTACCGCCGCCCATGATCACCCACAACACCAACGGCATTGCATGTGTGCTGCCGGCCTTTTAAAAAGGAATATGCTCTTTTCTTAAAGGTTATGTTGTCGTATCGGTTCGGAAATACTGCTGCTAGAAGTTGATTCCAAAGGGTGGTTGTGCGTGGGAGAAAGTGCCTTGAAAAACGCACGGTGGAGAAGCGCCACTCGTCCGGATGGTTAATATGAAACTTTAGTTTATGGCCGGTTGTACGATGGTGAAAATCAGCAGCAGGTATCAATCCGAACAATTCTCTTTTACTGTGTACGCCTATATTATGTGTATGTTTGTATTGTTATTTGTGTGCTGTAAGTAATGCAAATAAATTATCTATTTATCTATATATAGCGCAGGCGGGGTTGCCATGCCATTTTCACCCATAAAAATGAGCGCATTAACCCGTATCTTATAAAAAACAAAACTAGTAACACGAAAGTCTAAAAATATAGACGTATCCAAGGTTGTAGAGTCCTCATCACCTGGTGACGTGAATAGGTACACTTTGATAGCTTACAATTTAGTATCGACTCTCCTTAGGAAGAGATTACACGGTCACTGATAAATTGTATAGTATTTCTTTTTAATAATAAATTAATTATACGGCGTAATAATTATTGTAATAGTTAACTTTTTTTTTTAATTTATGTCATAATCTAAATATGTTGATATTCTTTATCTATGTATACAATGTATTATAACTAATTTTTTTTTTTAATTTATATACATTTAGATTACTAAAATTAAAATAGAAATTGTTCAATGAAAATGTATTAGATCTAGGTTTTTTTTTTTTTACTTTTTTTATGTACATAAAAAAATGTGGAAAGAAACTTTAATTTGTATGTCTTGCATGTTGTTGTATGTTTTCGCAAATGGTAACTCAACGGAATTGAATGAAGGTAATTATATTTTTTTTTTAATATTTTTTTTTATTAAATCCTAACTAGAACAAAACATTCCTAGAAGTATTCGTATAATATTGCATTGTTTGGGGATAGTGTTATTGGAAGTGGAGTGAATTAACAGGGTGCAGGGTGCATAACACCTGAGTCCTCAGGAATGGCAACGCATGGGGGGTATCATGGGCGAAACAGTATACTCTGTTATGTCCATGGTACTGGTCATGTCTACAGGCGACGGTTACCACTTTCCATCAGGTGGGTCGTCAGCTTGTTTGCCATTCTAAGTTGTATAAAACAGCATTAGAATTGGGACACTCACAGCATCAGCTGAGCCATTTCTTTTTGCCTGATATGAGTAATATTTTTTTTTATTTTCTTTCGTATTTGTGTTTTTCTGGTAATATTTTCTATTCTATTCTATTCCCCTTATTTATAAAAACGTGATATTTCTCATAAACCTATTTTAACTACTGAAGTGTTTTGTTTTTTCCCAATTGACTTCAAAAAATAAGAAGGTTGTCGATTGGGTTGTATATTTTTTCTGTTTGTCACCTCATAACTCCGTCAGTTGTAGACGGATTTGGAAAATTCTTTTTTTATCTGAAAGGATATACTTACAGGTTTTTTTTTTGTATTGGATGAAAATGGAGTGGTAACCCCGCGTGCGCTAATGGGATACGCTGGCGGGGCACCAGTGAAGGGTGATCGATGAGGATGAAAACAGGCCAGTTAGCACATCATGATGAATTCATCAGGAATTAATCATGATAGTTTCCAGGGGGAACCGCGAGGAGGTCGACCTGGTTAGGTATATTGCTAGCAATGGGATTCTAAGTCTCCATTACTAACAATCCCTTTCCCCCCTATACATACAGATTTTTTTAGAGGTCCCCAAAGAGACGACTTTTGTACAAAGGAGCTCTCTTCTATTTTTTTAAGTAACCATTTTGGAAATCGTTACTAAAAAAAAAAGCAAAATCGGATTTTAATTTCAGGGGACCCCTGCAAAGCAGACGATGATAGTTCGGCATTCTACGTTCACATATCAGTAGGCATCGGAGCTGCAGAAGACGCTGACGACGATGACGACGATGACGACGATGACGATGATGACGACGGAAAAGCATTAAATGTGAGATGATTTTAATTTTGTTTTTTTATACCAAAATAATAAACAAGCATACAGCCGACCGCCGAATATATATATATATATATTCTTTATTGCACTTGTAAATTACATTGTTAATGCATTTATAAATATTGTGACCAAGCGTGGACTTATCTCTGACAGAGATCTCTTCCAGTCAACCCGATACAGTTGGAAAGCATGTCGTTAGCGGGCAGCTGAAGTGCTACAACTATTAATATTTAGAATACATAAACAAATATACAGTTAAATAAAATATTAAGATACATAATAAAATATTACATAAATACATACACTATAAATAAATATAACACCTACCTACTTATACAATGGATGTTAAAATAAATGAATATACTACTTACATTAGAAATTTAGATTTTAAGGTTTGACAGTTCAATTAGAAAAATAAATAAACGAAACTAATGACTCAAAAAAACTCGAAAAAATGACTCAAACGAAAGAAAATGTAACTTCAACCTTTTCTTAAAAGAGGTAATTGAAGGGCTCTTTTATATGTGGGAAGGGATATATATATATATATATATATATATATATATATATATATATATATATATATATATATATATATATATATATATATATATATGCATATAAGCAAGCTGAATTGGCAATGGGTCACATAACTCGAAGAGCCTACAACCAACGGAGAAGAAAGGTTCTTGAGCGGCGACCGCAGTGTGGGACGATCCCCCCACTAGATGGAGTGTCGACCTAAAATGCATTGCACGAAGTCAGTGAATGCAGGTGGCTCAGGACCGTTCTTTATGGCAGTCCTATGTCCAGCAGTGGACGGATGGTGTCTGAAATGATGGTATATATACGTGGGACACTCAAAAAGTTTTGCGACACTAAAAAAAATGTTCTGTAGGTAAATATATTTATTATATATTTTAATATTTTATTCAACTGTATATTTGTTTATGTATTAATAGTTGTAGCACTTCAGCTGCCCGCTAACGAAATGCTTTCTTACTGTACCGGGTTGACTGGAAGAGATCTCTGTCAGAGATTAGTCCACACTTGCTCACAACATTTATAAATGCATTATTTTATATGTAACTTACAAGTGCAATAAAGAATATATATACATTTTTATTACATCTTTTCAAGGTACTCTCCACCAGCCTCTATACAAAGTTTCGTGCGTCTAAACCAGTTTTCGAAACACTTTTTCTAGTCCGCCTCAGACACCACGTTTACAGCCTAATTATATAAGTTAGCTAGCTGACCCCGTAAACGTTGTTTTACCATTTATTGCGAAATATAAAAATCGCGATTAAAACACAGGGGTTGGTCGTAAAACGATGAAAATTTAAAGTTGTGTGTATTTTTCAACGCTAAATCATAATAAAATAAAAATGGAAAAAATTTTTAAAAAAAAATTAAAAAAAAAAAATTTTGGGTAGGGTCACCCTTATCATTGAGGGATATGAGAAATAGATGTTGGCCGATTCGCAGACCTACCCGATATGCACACAAAATTTCATAAAAAACGGTAAAGCCGTTTCGGAGGAGTTTGGTAACAAACACCGCGACACGAGAATTTTATATATAAGATTACCATATATCAATAACTAGCTTTCGCCCGCGGCTTCGCCCGCGTGGATCTTGGTTATCGCAATATGCAATTTTTGAAAATAGTAATATTTTAATTTCGCCATAACTTCAAAACAAAACGTCCAATTTTAATCATTCACAGACCAATATTATCAACATAAACTGTACTTAGTGATGAAAAAATTTATTTTGATAAGGATTAATGGCATGAGTAAAATAAACGCGTTTAAATGTAGTCCAAAAAAAATTCAAGATTTTTAAATAAAAATGTGGTTGTTGTGCCTCACTCGACATAGATAGGTATAGTGTGTCGCGGACTTTTTTGTAGATATTTATAAGATCTACAATTAATTATAACATTTTATGCTTCTATCTTTTATAGTTTAGACAGCGTACGCAAAATAAGTAACTTTTCTGGTTGATTTTTTACACCTTGTGTCCGAAAAACCCAAATATTTTATGGAACCCTATTTTTTTCCAAAATAAAATTTATCCTATGTCACTCGTGGATAATGTAGCTTTCGAATGGTGAAAGAATTTTTGAAAAAGGTCCCGTAGTTTTTGAGCCTATTCATTACAACCAAACAAACAAAGTTTTCCTCTTTATAATATTAGTGTAGATAAACGACGTATATATGTATATATATATATATATATATATATATATATATATATATATATATATACATATTTCACACTGCATAATAAGCTTAATATTTTGTCCACAGGTATGTAAAGAACGTGATGATAATTCCATGGTATGTTGTTCCAAATCGAAGATTGAATCCCTCCAAGATGATAGCAAGCAGAGGTAAATTCTAACCTTTTTTTGTTGAAAATAATAAGCTCAGTTCTATAAATTTCTATAATAATAAAATAATAAAATGTCTGTATTTTGTGAAATTTAGAAGAGAATAGAAAACTGTCAGATAAATTATTATATATATACTAGCTGACTCGGCAAACGTTGTTTTACCATATTACATTATTTCTAGAACTATACATGTAAATATATCGTACTACAATTATTATATTGGATTGCCATCTTGCAACCATATTGCAGCATATAAAAATCGCGATTAAAAAATAGGGGTTAATCCTAAAAGGGTGAAAATTTGAAGTTGTATGTATTTTTCTATGCTAAATCATAATAAAATAAAATAGAAAAAATTTTGTTAAAGAAATAAATAAAAAATATTCAGGGGTGGGTCACCGTTATCATTGAGGGGTATGAAAAATAGATGTCGGCCGATTCTCAGACCTACCCGATATGCACACGAAATTTCATAAAAATCGGTAAAGCCGTTTCGGAGGAGTTTGGTAACAAACACCGCGACACGTGAATTTTATATATATAAGATATTTTTATATTTTATATTTTGATTACAGAACATTAATAAAAAGGACTATAGAGTTTTTACAACATTTTTTTATTGTTGTTCAGATTTTTATTTTCTTTTTTTACATTTTACGTAAGTTACATTATAACTGACCTATGTTTGTAATATATTATTTTTTTTTTCTCTAACAGACATCACCGTAAATTAGGTTTTGTTTTTTGCTGGGTGAAAATGGTACGGTAACCCCGCCTGCGCTAACGGGATACGCTGGTGGTGCACCATTCTCATCGATAGGATTTTTGAAAAAAATATATAGCCCATATAATTTGCTCATAATGTAGCTTTTTATAGGTGAAAGAATTTTTAAAATCCGTTGAGTAGTTTTTGAGTTTACTCAATTTAAAAACAGAGAAATAAACCACATGGTCCCGACCACTGCTTCCTTTCCCATGGGCACGGATAATACTATGCCGTGGGTATTGTAAGAGGTGTAAATATATTTGTTATTTATATATATATTTATTCGTTTATATATGTAAATTTTAGTATGTATGTCTATCAATAATTACTAGTACAGCATTTTTTTTAAACGAGTTAGAATGGCAAACAAGCTGACGGTTCACTTGATGGAAAGTGGTAATCGTCGCCTATAGACATGAACAGTACCATGGACATAACAGTACACACACGTACTGTTTCACCCATGATACCCCCATGCCATTCCTGAGGACTCGGGTGTTGTTCCTCTGTACCCTGTAAATTCACGCCATATCTCACCCTTCAAACCGAAACACAGCCATGCAAACACAACTGCTTCACGGTTGAAACACGAATGGGACAGAGGTACTACAATCGACTTTTGTACAAAGTCTCCCTCTGGTTCTCCCTCTCATTCGAATATTCTGACACTTGTCTATTGTTGACTGGGAGAGAATGCTTTTAACATTAAGTCCGCCATGTACACATATATGTACTAATCAAAAAATGAATAGATAAAGTCTAGTAATTTATACAGACTCATAAATTTCTGACCGGTTTTCCTCGCCAGCATATTTCAAATCTGGTTCTTAAAAAAATATCCAGATTGCAAACAAGTCAGGCTAAATATATAAAGGTTATGAGTATTTCTATTTATAGCTAATTATGAGGAGTACAACTGAACGACTCAAAAAAAAAACGAAAATTATTAAAACTAATTTAAATCTATCAATAAAGGTTATAATTTAAAATTACTTTATTTAATTATTACTAAAATGAATGCCCAGTTCGATGTGTGAACTAGAAGTGCAATTCCTATGTCTATAACTAAAATGAATGCCCAGTTCGATGTGTGAACTAGAAGTGCAATTCCTATGTTTATAACTAAAATGAATGCCCAGTTCGATGTGTGAACCAGGAGTGTAATTCCTATGTCTATAACTAAAATGACTGCCCAGTTCGATGTGTGAACTAGAAGTGCAATTCCTATGTCTAATTATAACTAAAATGACTGCCCAGTTCGATGTGTGAACCAGGAGTGCAATTCCTATGTCTATAACTAAAATGACTGCCCAGTTCGATGTGTGAACTAGAAGTGCAATTCCTATGTCTAATTATAACTAAAATAAATGCCCAGTTCGATGTGTGAACTAGAAGTGCAATTCCTATGTCTAATTATAACCAAAATGACGGCCCAGTTCGATGTGTGAACCAGGAGTGCAATTCCTGTGTCTAATTATTATTAAAATAACTGCCCAGTTCGATGTGTGAACCAGGAGTGTGTTTTCAAGTCGTTGCGGAGACCACGCTCGTGCTGCAGCGTCAGTAATTACCTAGTTACGTCATTTACACGAGTTTTGGACTCGATGCGGCGTCAACGGTCTCGATAGTGGCTCGCTGTGTAACTACTTATATTTTTTCATGTTGCATGCAGTAGAATACATTAATTTGGCTTTATTTTTAATCGAACAGGTTTTATTAATTTTGTAAATATTTATGATATCATCGATAAACGTTTTTTTATATAGTGAACTAAACCAAATCTTAGCTACAATCCACGACAAATATATATAAGACCATATTCATTACCTGATGGAGACTTTGTACAAAAGTCGTTTGCTTGGCCACCTCTGTCCATTCGTGTTTCTACCGTGAAGCAGTTGTGTTTGCATGGCTGTGTTTCGGTTTGAAGGGTGGGATATGGTAGTGAATTTATAGGGTGCAGTGGAATAACACCTGAGTCTTCAGAAATAGCAACGCATGGGGAGTATCATGGTCGCAACAGTATACTCTGTTATATCCATGGTACTGCTCATGTCTATAGGCGATCAAAATCGAGTCCAAAACTTCTCAGCCAATCTTGAATTAATATGTGATTATAGCTGATTATTGCTTGACAATTTATTTTCCAGAACTAGTTATCCATTTAAATATGGCTGCATCATGTCTACCAACCGCACTGGCTCTCTTTTAGGACAGAAGGCGTTAGACAGTAAGTAACATTATCATCTTGCACTTAATCCAATTATATATGATCGGCGTAATATATTTTAAAGACTCCTTCCTCTTTCTTTTCCGTGGCTGTCGTAAGAGACGAATAAGGGAAATGAGTAGTCGAGGAATGGACAGCAGTGCCCCTCTTAAACATCACCAAGGCCTAACTGCAGTTGCCAATCCGCTTACCAAGTGTAATAATTACTAGCAAACCTCGCAAAGGGAAAGTCTATGTTGAGCAGTGGACAGTAACAGCTGATGTCGTACTCAAAGTTTAGGCTTTTGGTTTGACAATCGCACGTCTGCCTGACGTCAATGCTTCTTAAAAATATATGACAAAAAATTGATTAAGGGAACTTAATGATTGAGGGATGAACTGCAACGTTTTTCTCAAAAATCACCAAAGCCTAACTGCGGTTGCATGCCAAGCCAAGCATGGCAAATATTGGCTGGGAAGGCTTATGTTCAGCTGTGGACTGAGGGCTGATAAGTGTTTAAAAAGTAAATAAAATTATTTCTTTCTTTTCATCTACGACAACTTGAAACGCAGAGTGTTCCGCATATCAGCAAGAGATATGTCCATGTCAGTTAATACGAGAAACGAGAAGCATTAACGTGTCTAAAATAACTGTTATCGCCAATGGTGAAGACGCACAGCCTGAGGAATTTAGAAACATGGTGATTAAGAAATACTTACTTACTTAGTGTAGGGTCTTATACTTTAACTACCGGTTTAATTTACCTGAAATGATGACCAGAGCCACCTTTTATCATTTCACCGCTCATCATGGTCAGGGAATTTATTCTCACACGCTTGAACCTACACCACGTACAGTGTGGTTTGAAAGGAGTTTTCTCCCGTGAATACTCCGGTTGTGGAATAAGTTCCCTGCCGAGGTTTCCCTAGAGACTACAGTATGGGGTTCTTCAAAAAGGGTACGTTAAGGTTTCTTCAGAATCGGCAACGCACATGTAACACCTCTAGTTTTACAGACGTTCATAGGCTACTGTCAAAACTGTACTGTACTGTAAACGGTCACTGTTTACCATCAGACGGGCTGTATGCTTGTTTGCCACTTTTGAAGTATAAAAAAAGTTTGGTCAAGAAAACTTGACTAATTTCGGGAACTTTCGGGACCATTCGGGGCCTTTAGTTGAGCCGCGAGCGCGAGCTGTAGGCGTTCGCAGTACCGTCAAAAACAATAAATATATTAATGAGCATTTATATAAAAACGATAGCGGACTGTAAACATTTATAATAAGTATAAGTTAATATAAATCAAAGGGAAATGCACATGCGCGCTCTGATCTTGATGGGGATGTGATGCCACTGTCGTGAAGTCGACAACGTGCACCCGCATCCATCCGCGACCTTCTGTCGTGCGAACTGACGACGTTCAAACACTTAAAACAGCAAACAAGCTGACGATCCACCTGTTGGTAAGTGATAACCGCTACCGTAGGCTATATACATGAACAGCATCGTCAACTTACCAGAGTATACTCATACTGTGATATCCATATATCTTATAGGCAGAGAGAACCAAGTATTAAAAACCTCTATGTCCACATATGTCTCTCACTTTCTGCAAAGTGCAGAAACATGAAGGAATAACTCGTCTCATGACGGTTCCGCAGATTCTTGACTCGTTTCTTAGACAGAATATGGTCTTTTTGATGATAATAGGTTAGTCTAGGTCTTTTTTGGTATCTACATCTATCTACTTTCAAGAGTTACCTCCAAAATATCATCCTCAGGCTCTACTTGGCTACGGTGACAATATCACGACAGCGCAGTGGTCGTGTGGTGGCAGCGTGATCAGCGAGCGATACATCCTCACCGCCGGACACTGCATCAGCGGGAGGGAGATGTGAGTAGCGAATACCATGTTTTTTATGACTAAAAATACAAGGATAGCTCCGCCTGTTTTATTTAAATACGCAACCAGGGTACCAGTGAGAAGTGATAGGTGACGATGAAGCCAGGTCAAAAGACACATCGTGATAAATTCACCAAGAATTAACCAATTGCTTCGCATAAAAAAAATTTAGGACTTCAATCGTAAATACATATAAACCGAGATATTTTGTAAATATCTACATCATATGGAAAACGTAATACTGTATTAAAAAATATATTAATTGTTTGAAAATATTTAAATTTAGAAAGCAGAAGTAGATTTTGCTCCACAAAAACCTGTTTTTTACAAAAATAAAAAGCAGCTTCAATCGCCATAAATTAAATATGATAACAACACAAGAGTGAGCTTTATCGATTGCAAAAAGAATTGTCGAAAACGGTTAGAATCGACTTCTTGATTGATCCGGCTCGAAGGACCAAATTACGTTAAGAAGATCTTTTTATTTATTGTAGCTTCTTTTCAAAGTGTCTTGAGAATGACATCTATTTTCAGCGGCAATGTGACATATATTGGTCTCGGTATACTGTCCCGCTCGGAACTCAAAGATCCAGACCTAGTATACAGAGTGAAGAGGATCATACCGCACCCCGAATACAAGCCGCCCAGCAAGTACCACGACATTGCGTTGTTGGAGACGGAACGCGAGTGAGTATTGAAGTAACAATAAGGTACATGAATTAGGAACTAGTTGTATACCGTGACTTTGTCCATATGAATTAGGAAGATATCTTGAATCATTTGTCATTTAAACATCTTGGATTTTTTTAATGAATGAAAATAAAATGGTGACCCTGCCTGCGCCTGGATACGATGGCGGGGCACCAGTAAGGGATGAGAGGTGAGAGTAAAGTAGGTCAGTTGGCCCATCATGACAAATCCATCAAAAATTAACCACGATGGTTTCCAGGAGGAACCGCGTATAGGTACCTGTTAAGGTATATTGCCAGTAATGGGTCTGTTGGATCTCATTACTAACAATTCCTCTCCCCGCCTCCCTCCCTCGACATTTTGGATTTTAAAAGAATTATCTATTTGTATATATTTTTCAGTATTGTCTTCTCGGATGCAATCCAACCAGCGTGTTTGGATGTGGATAGCGTTGAACAGGATGACCATGAAGCGACGGCCACCGGCTGGGGTACTCTGGGGTACGAATCTGAAACTGCTGAAATTCTTCAAAAGGTAAGGTAACCAAAATTGTTCATAACTTAAGCTTGGCAAAGTATGGCAATTATCTGTTAATTTTCAAAAACAATTTTTTTTGTACACCACTGAAGTGGCAAACAAGCATACAGCCCACCTGATGGCAAGCGGTTACCGTAATCTATGAACGCCTGCAATACCAGGGGTATTACCGACATTGAAGAAATCTCTTTTTTTTAAGAACTCCATGATGTAGTCTCTTGGAAAAATCTCAATAGGGAGCTCATTCCATAACATAAGTGTTCGTGGGAGAAAACATCTCTGTAACCGCGCTATACGTGGTCATCTAGGCTCTAAGGTGTGGGGGGTGAACACCCTGTCGAGTGCGAACTGTACGATGGTAGAAAGTGGCCGTGGGCATCATATTAAATAATTCCTTTGAGCACTGTCCGTGGTACAATGTTTCTAATTGATTATTTAAAAAATTCTGTGTCTACGAAGTAAAACATTGTTTTCCTTTTTTAATTGAAATGAAAAATACTTAGGGTCTGTCCTGTTGGAAAATGGTAACCGTCGCCTATAAACATGAACAGTATCATGGACATAACCGCCCATGATACCCACCATGCGACCTTTGCTGAGGCCATTCCTGAGGCCATTCCTCCCTACCTTGGGGGGAAATGGACTATTAGTATTGAGGTTTAACTGCATTACTGAATAGAGGAAAAATAATGCAATACTTGATATATATACATATATATATACACACGTATATATGCATGTTATCACAGCGGTTTTTATAAAGCGTCTGCAACTACCAATAAATTCTCTTTCTACGCAGACGAACCTGTTCCAGTTCTCCAAGGAGGAGTGCTCCTCCAAATACAAACCCTACCGTCTACTGAAGCGCGGCATCGACCACAGCACGCAGATATGTTATGGACACCGGGAGAGACCCACCGACACTTGCCCGGTAACTGACCCTGGATATCTGCAGCACCGGCTTTAACCAGGCGCCTGTAGGCAAATTTGGCAACAGAGTGTCTTCTGAGATCTCTAGAAATAGATTCAGCATCATCATGTCAGCTGTTAACCACTGCTACATATAGGCCTTCCACGTAGAAGAAGGTTTGGCTATTAGTTACCACGTTTGGCAGGCGGATTGGCAACTGCAGTTGTTTTTATAACAGAGGGAGCAAATGAACATGCGGCTCACCTGATGATAAGTGACTACCGCCGCCCATGATCACCCGCAATACCAGAGGCATTGCAGGTGCTGCCGGCCTTTTAAAAAGGAATGTGTTCTTTTCTTGAAGGTTACCATGTCGTATCAATACGGAAATACTGCTGCTGGATATTGATTCAAATGCGTGATTATGCGTGGAAGAAAGTGTCTTTAAAACCGAAGGTTGGGGGACAGCCACTCATCCAGGTGGTCAGCAAAGTTATTGCACATCGATTCATTGGGATCGTTTGTGCCTCTTTTTTTATACAACTTAGAATGGCAAACAAGCTGACGGCCCACCTGATGGAAAGTGATAACCGTCGCCTATAGACATGAGCGGTACCGTGGACATAACAGAGTATGCTGTTTCGCCCATGATACCCCTCATGCACTGCTATTTCTGAGGTCTGCTTCTGTAAGATGTTATGCTTCTGTACCCTGTAAATTCACTACCATATCTCACCCTTCAAACCGAAACACAGCCATGCAAACACAACTGCTTCACGGTAGAAACACGAATGGGACAGAGGTACACAAGCGATCGACTTTTGTACCTCCTTCTGCCATATACCATCATTTCATAGATTCTATGTGTTACCTTTAGGATACTCCGCGGTTTAAAATAACTATAGTCCCCTGGCTTCGGTTAAGTCGTTCCCAGTAGACTCATACGCATACTTGTCAATGAATTAAAACATCAGGTGTTTCATAGATAGCAGCAAAGGATAACAGCAATAAACTTAGCAAAAACAAGAAAAAACAATACAAGAGAAGATCATACCGAGAAAAAATGGACAGCAGTATTGTAAATGGGGTTTCTTTGTCCATTCTCTTCTAGAAAACTTTTAGGCCAGTCAAGTTTCCAAATACTCAGCGGCTTCTCTTATGTAACTTGAGATCTTTGCAGGGCGACAGCGGCGGGCCCCTGCTGATCAGCAACAAGTTCCTCTGTCTCCACTCCATCATCGGAGTGACCTCGTTCGGCTCCGCGTGTGGTCAGACGGGCACACCCGGGGTCTACACCAAGCTAGTTCCATACTTGCCCTGGATAGAGAGCGTCGTGTGGCCTTCACTGAAATAAATGTTCTGGTATAATTTTACGATGTATTTATTTCTTGACCGTTTCTTTTTAAGTTACGAATGTTCTAGAAGGCTTCGTTGCCAGGGTTATTCTTCTCTAGTGATCTGTCCAGCTCTAGAGTGAGGGCAGACTCTGATCACTATTCTCTCTGCAACTGCAGTGTCCCCTTTTCCTAATAAATTCTTCATTTCCTATAATAAATATAGATGTATTTTATTTATATTTTTCTTTTATTATATTTTTTCTATGGAATTTCACAGCTCACTTTTGGCCACAGCAGAATATCAGTGTTTTGCTCTTTTGAGGGCAAAGCAATAAACTGAGCTGTGACCATTTTGTGTTACTGTGGCACACGCATGAAGGGAAAAATAATGTTACTAATAAAGGATAAAAAAAAACAAAATGCATGAACATTTTGTTTTTTTTTATCCTTTATTTTTTGTACATTTTTTTTTATCTTTTTTCACTGTGCATGTCTATCTATATCTGTTGTAATTTGTGTGCTGTAAGTAATACAAATAAATTATCTATCTATCTATCCCTTTTTTCCTTCACTCTCATCAACGTTCTTCTCCTTTTTCCTCAACCCTCACCTCCATACCGTAGGTGACGGATACCACAAACAAATGCATTCCCAAAGGGAGTTCGCGTCAGGCATGCGCCATAATAGACGTGAATTTTTTTTAGATTGTGTTAAAAAAAACTTCGGTTGTGGCAAAACCAGTTTCTTTTTTATTCAAAAACTTAACTGCTAAACCCATTTTGATAATATTTGTAGTCTATCAGATAAAAAAAGAACATTTCAAATCAGTTTATAACTGACAGAATTACAAACATAAACTATTGGGAGGGAAGGGATTGTTAGTAATGGAGAGGTTAACCCCTATTGCTATCAATACACCTTATCAGGTCGACCTCCACGTGGTTCCCCCTGGAAACCATCGCGACTAATTCATCATTGGATTCGTCACGATGGGCTAACTGACCTGCCTTGTCTTCCTCATCTATCATCCCTAACTGGTGTCCTGCCTGTGTATACCGACAGCGCAGGCGGGGTTACCATTCCATTATCATCTATTAAAAAAAAATATAAATTACTATGTTTAACAGTTATCGGCTGGTATGGTATGGTAAACATAAAAACATAACTGAACTAAAATCCCTTTTCTTTTCAAAGTCGGTTGAAAAGTGCAATAATTTCGGCACATGTTTGTTTTATACAACTAAGAATGGCAAACAAGCTGATGGCCCACCTGAAGGAAAGTGGTAACCGTCGCCTATACACATGAGCAGTAGCATGGACATAACAGAGTATACTGTTTCGCCCATGATACCCCTCATGCGTTGAAATATTCAGCACATTCATTCGGCACATTCAGCTACAAACATCACTTGTGCACTATTTTTAATATTGTGCATCTTGACCTTTTGTGTATCGATGTTTACAAATTCAAGTAACCTTACTCCATATTTTAGTGTCGACACAATATTGATACAGGATACACGTACACACATTATTTGAACAAGTTTTAAATAATAATTAAACAAATTTTAAAACGTAAACAAATTTTAAAACATAATTAAATTTTAAAACATAATTAAATTTTTAAACGTAATTAAACAAATATTAAAGCGTAATTAAACAAATTTTAACACATAATTAAACATTTTTTAATTAATAATAAAAATAAAGATAGAAATAATTAAAAAAGTAAATTTGATCATTTTATCCATTCATTATTGTTTTGTTGTAAACTTAAGATTTATTTGAAAAAAAAAAGCAACAGCTGTGTTCCTCGCCCGTTCTCAGCTGAAATTGCATTCTCAACTGGGCGGTAGTATAAAAAAATGCTTATTATTAAGTTTATTTGAATAAAAATTATTTATTATTATTATTAAAAAAAAATATATAAAAATTGACATTTCACACTTTTTGAAAATTTCATAAAAAATATTTAAAATAAAGAAAAAAATATGAAATTGACCATATATCTATTGCATGACGATAAATATATAAACTATGTTAGTAATAAAATAAATAATAATATAAAATATTTTTATGTACAATAAAGAATAAATAAATAAATAAATAATAAATTAATAATAACAAAAATAAGTAACAAATAAATTATGACATTATAATTAATTATTATAAATACACATGCGTGAAGAAAATTTTTTCAAAAATAACATATATCCTATATTACTCTCTATTAATGTAACTTCCTATAGGTGGGAGAATTTTCAAAATTAGTCGAGTAGTTTTTGAGTTTATTCATTACAAACAAACAATCAAATCTTTCCTCTTTACAATATTAGTGTAGACACACAAAATTATCAATTTTGAAAAAAAAAATTAAGTGATTATTTATGGATTTATAAAGAGTTTTTTTTTTTAATTAAATTAAAATTATGAAAATGTGGCGTGAAATATTGATATGTTTTGTGTTTATTAAGTTACATGAAGTTATTTACGGACAATCTGAAGAGTTCTTTTTTTTTTTTTTTTTTACAACACAGGGGGCAAACGAGCATGCGGCTCACCTGATGGTAAGTGACTACCGCCACTACTACAGTTGTTTGAAGGTAAACAATTTATATATATATATATATATATATATATATATATATATATATATATATATATATATATATATATATATATATATATATATATAAACCGAAACACAGCCATGCAACCACAACTGCGTCACGGTAGAAACACGAATAGAATAGAAGGGCTCAAGCAAACGACTTCTGTACAAACTCCGGTTTAAAGGGTGGGATATGGCGTGTATTTACACGGTACAGAGGAATAACACCTGAATCCTCAGGAATGGCAACGCATGGGGGGTATCATGGGCGAAACAGTATACTCTGTTATGCCCATGGTACTGCTCATGTCTATAGGCGACGGTTACCACTTTCCATCAGGTGTTCCGTCAGCTTGTTTGCCATTCTAAGTTGTATAGAAAAAAAAAAATAAAAAAAACTGGTTTTACCACAATTAAAATCACTCTTTTTTACGGAACACAATCTCATCGGTGGCGTTTTTATGAATCTAGACTTTTTTTTATCAACGATACAATATTCGTAACTGGTACGTATTCAGAGTATAGCATTTCCTACGCTAGTATCAACTTACAATACCCACAGAGTAAACGTTCACTCGATACTTCGACAAATTTTTATTTATAATAAAACAAATACAGAGTAATTACTTGACTTTATAATAAATAAAAAATAGACTGTCAACTGACATGACTTTACAGTTCTTAAAAATTGTTTGTTCTTAAAAATATTTTTTATAATTGTTCGAATAATAATCGTGTTAACTTTATTAGTAACAGAATAAATTAATAAATTAATAAATAAATGGTGAATTTATTAAATAATAAACAAAATAATGTATTAAGAAGTTATATGTGTTTATTTATGTGTGTTTTTTTTTTCAAGTAAATTTAAATAATGAAAATGTGGCGTGAAATATTGATATGTTTTGTGTTCACATGTGAAGTTGTTTTTGGACAATCTGAAGTGTTGTTTGAAGGTAAACAATTTATATAACAACTAAAATACAGTATAAATTAATTCAGTCGTTGTTACATTAAGATATATTGTGTTTTTTTTTTTAATAATAATAATAATAGCCTTTATTAACAATCTTACAATATAGTTATAATAATTTAATTAATTGTTTGACACCGGCACGTGAAGATTGTCTTGCTGTCCAGCATAGGCCTCCCCTAGAGTTCGCCATTGAGTGCGATTCCGCGCTCGCCTTTTCCAGGTGTGTCCCGCTATTTTTTTGATATCGTCCTCCCATCTACGACGCTGTCTCCCTTTTTTTTTTTTCTCTTATATCGTCTCGGACACCGCTCTGTGACATCCTTAGACCATTTTCCTTCATTTATTCCAACCATGTGTCCTGCCCACCTCCATTTTAGTTTCTTGATACAGTAAGTAACATCCGTGAATGCAGTTCTCTTCCTTATTCAGTCCAATTTTACTTTATCTTTTAATTTGAAGTTCAGTATACTTTATGTTGTGTACTTACGAAACATTTAATAATAAAATCAATCGAACGTTTCCATTGGTTTCCGCGATGGTCCTAGCATAGAATAGGACAACCTTTCTTTTCCCGTGGGTGTGGTAAGAGGCGACTAAGGGAGGGCGAGGAATGGGCAGCAACGTCCCTCTTAAAATCTAACCTAACCTAACTGCTGTTGAAGGGGGGAAAGGGATTGTTAGCAATGGAGTTTGACAGCCCCATTGCTAGCAATATGCCCTATTAGGTCGACCTGTACGTGGTTCCCTCTGGAAACTATCGTGAACAATTCTTATTAAATCTGCCACGATGGGCTAACTGACCTGCTTCATCCACACTTATCATTCTTCACTGGTGCCGGTGTATACCGATAGCGCGGGTGTGGTTACCATTTCATCATCGACCATTAAAAAACTGCTGTTGAAAATCCGCCTGCCAAGCGTGGCAATTGTTACCAAAACTCCTTTTATGGGAGAGTTCAGCAGTGAACAGTTAAAAGCTAATATGATGGTGATGATGATGATGATGAGCGTTTAGATATGTTAACAATTACATTTTGTGACTGTTCCTGTGATAATTAAAAAAAAAAACTTGCTTTTTCATTAATTTCATTGAAATAGACAGATACAAAGTCTTCTAATCGTATTATACGAATAACTAAGAAATAGTTCTTTTTTTTTATACATTTTAGAATGGCAAACAAGCTGACGGTCCACCTGATGGAAAGTGCTAACCGTCGCATATAGACATGAGCAGTACCGTGGACGTAACAGAGTATACTGTTTCGCCCATGATACCCCCCATGCGTTGCCATTCCTGAGGACTCAGGTGTTATTCCCTGTAAATTCACGCCATATCCCACCCTTCAAACCGAAACACAGCCATGGAAGCACAACTGCTTCACGGTTGAAACACGAATGGGACAGAGGTACCCAAGCAATCGACTTTTGTACAAAGTCTCCCTCTGGTAAAGAGTGAAACTTTGTACCTAAATTTTATTTCAAATCGTATACCTTTTCAGGTGATCCCTGCAAAGCTGATGACGGTAGTACGGCGTCTTGTACTCATATCTCTAACTGCATGGAGGCAGTCAATGCAGTAAAAAACAGAAGACCTTTCAAAGTGAGATATTTGTTCTATTTACTGCAAACTACATTATTATAGATACTGTTCTCTACCGTAAAATGGATCGAGCAAAGTTTACCTTGTCATAATCCAAGGAGTACTGACACCAACACTCATGTATGGAAGCGAATCGTGGGTGGAAGAAGCATGAAACTAAAATAAATGCTGTACAGATGAGAGCTTTGAGAAGTATGTGTGGTATTACATTAAAAGATAGAGTAAGAAACAGTGTGATTAGAGAGAAGTGTGGACTGAAAGACGATGTAGTGACAAAAATCGAAAAAGGAATGTTGCGTTGGTTTGGTCATTTGGAGAGGATGGATGAAAGAAGAATTACGAAAGAGATTTATCGAGCAAGAATGAATGGAGATGTCGGTAGGGGCCGCCCTAGACGGACGTATGTTGACCAAATAGGCGACGTGCTGAAGAAGGGCCAAATTAAAAGTACCTGTAATCGGCGAGCGTGTATGAGAAGATTAATGAATGTGGAAGAAGCGAAAGAGGTTTGTTTAAATCGAAGCATTTGGCATTCCATTGTTACTGCCTACCCTAATGGGAGAGAGGCATGACAGATATATATGTATGTATGTATGTTCTCTACCCTTAAAAAGATGAAAACAGAAAGGGAATTAAAATGGCATGCTTTCCAACTGCATTGGGTTGACTGGAAGAGATCTCTGTCAGAGATAAGTCCACCCTTGCTCACAATATTTATAAATGCATTTACAATGTAATTTACAAGTGCAATAAAGAATATATGTATATAAAAAAATAGGTCACCCATAAACGAGTATATTTCTAGGAATGAACAATAGATGTAATATCTATACATTTTAGTTACAATATCTATATACTGTTTTTTTTTTGGATCTGTATTTGCTGTTAGCTGAGATGGCCTTGACAGCTTCACCGGACGCGTGTGCAGGGGCGAGCTGACAACATTCCAAGCCGCAAGAGGGGAGCGACAGAGTGTCGACTCTTACCAATGGACTACGGCGTATGCCCAAAGGCTTAAGAGCGGCTCGCGCCTCGGCTTAGGCTACCGCACTTCGACCCCCGTCAAGAAACGGAGCGTCGGTTTGTCGTGTCGAGAGAGGGGGTATCGGAGAATTGATGTCTAACAGTTGTAAAAATCGATTAATTAATCGATTGAACGTTTCGATTCGGTCCTAATTTAATTTAGATATTCCTGTGATAATCACAACAGATCTTGGTTACTACTTCATCATTCATTTGTATTATTATTAACAACCCACTCCGGCTTCGCACGAGAGCAATGCTTATACTGAATAGCGCCGCCGGTCCCTGGCCGGTACCGCCGCAATCGCTATGTCCCTGCATTTTAAATCTGTAATATCTTCGGAAATATTCATTTAAATTACATGCAGTAAAGGGCCATATTGATCTATATTAAATGTAAAATGTACTTACAGTACTTAATTGGATAAGGATTAATATTGTATTGTTTAAAATCGCTTTGTAATTAAGCCATTATTTCTAGTAAAAAGTAAAGTATAAAAAATGGTTATTGTGGGGTATCCTTAAGAGATAGACATATACCATCGCAGACTTTTTTGTAGGCCTTCTTAAGGTGTATAATACTATTGTACACTATTTTGATCTATATTGTAGGGTTCAACTAACGTTTGCAATGTACAAAAATGTGTTTATTTAAGACATCACATTAGAAACCTCTAAAATTATCAGTGTTTCTCTACAATATTATGCATGTATTATACATATAAACCTTCCTCTTGAATCACTCTATCTACTAAAAAGAATGCATCAAAATCTGTTGCGTATTTTCAAAGATCTAAGCATATATAGGGACAGACAGACGGGAAGCGACTTTGTTTTATACTATATAGTTATTTTGTCTGCAGATTTGTTCGTTTAACGCAACGGATCCTATAGTATGCTGCTTGAGAACAAAGATGGGAACAAACACAACAGCAGAACGGTGAGTTTATTTATTTATTTATTACTAGTGGTCGCTCCGTGGTCGAAATTCGATCATAACATATATTTTATAAATGAATTTATTATGGTTACGTTTGACATTCAGTGAGACTATAGACAAATAATACTAAAGACAAACGATATTAATCTATTCTCAATTCGACCACAGACTTTAACAATAAACAAAAGAATATATATGCGTGTGTGTGTGCCAAATACAGTGATACCTCGACATACAAGTTTAATTCGTTCCGTAATCTTGCTCGTATGTCAAATCACTCGATATCTCAAAGCAATTTTCCCCATTGAAATTAATTGAAATGCTATCAATCCGTTCTAGCTCTCAAAAAAAAATTGAATAAAAACAATAAATAAAAGCTTCCAATTATAATGAAGGTGAAATAACCAAATATTATTTGCCGACGAGGTCATTTCAAGTCGTGTGAAACCCGTTTCGTTATTAATAAAACAAAATAAATGCATTTCTGTGTATATTGTTATCAGAACGTCTGAGCTATGTTTTTACATCTGCAGTAACTGATATGCCGCGCGTGTAGTTACATCATTCACCATGCCAAGGTCACTAGGTCACGTCTCGATCATTACAGCCACAGATAACATAATACTATACAGCTAATCTCTCTATAAATACACTCTAAAGAGAAGGCGAGATAGAAGACGGACATAAAAAAATAAAACTGGGGCATACGTACCTTTTTTCCTGTGGGTTACAGGACGGGGTATGTTTTTAAGCCGACATAAGTTGAGAAGGTGAAAACTTATAATATTATCTTACCTTACTAATAAGTAATTATATTACTAAAGTTTGATAAATCTTTTTTTATACAACTTAGAATGGCAAACAAGCTGATGGCTCACCTAATGGGAAATTGTAACCGTTGCCCATAGACATGAGCAGTACCATGGACATAACAGAATATACTGTTTCGCCTTTGTTATCCCCCATGTGTTGCTATTCCTGAGGACTCAGGTGTTACTCCTCTGTACCCTGTAAATTCACTGCCATATTCCACCCTTCAAATCGAAACACAGCCATGCAAACACAACTGCTTCACAGTAGAAACACGAATGGGACAGAGGTGGCCAAGCAAACGACTTTGTACAAAAGTCGTTTGCTTGGCCATTCTAAATTGTGTAAAAAAAAGACTGCCGTTTACCATGGTCACGCGGGGGGAGTCGCGTGTCTGAATTAGTTATGTATAAATATGCAACAATATAGGGGGGGAAAGGGATTGTTAGTAATGGAAACTAAGAATCCCATTGCTAGCAATATACCCAACCAGGTCGACCTCCTCGCGGTTCCCCCTGGAAACTATGATGGTTAATTCCTGATGAATTCATCATGATGTGCTAACTGGCCTGTTTTCATTCTCATCTATCACCCTTCACTGGTGCTCCGCCAGCGTATCCCGTTAGCGTAGGCGGGGTTACCATACCATTTTCATCTAATAAAAAAATATGCAACAATTTACATTTCAGACATTCAAAAGACGACTATTGTAATTTGTATGGCAACATGACTGCAGTACAAATAGGACGGAAGGCTTTGGACAGTGAGTTTTCAAACATCTTTACTGCTTTTTTTATCTTTCTTTTTTTTTATACAACTTAGAATGGCAAACAAGCTGACGGCCCACCTGATGGAAAGTGGTAACCGTCGCCTATAGACATGAACAGTACCATGGACATAACAGAGTATACTGTTTCGCCCATGAGACCCCCCATGCGTTGCCACTTCTGAGGACTCAGGTGTTATTCCTCTGTACCCAGTAAATTCGCGCCATATCCCACCCTTCAAACCGAAACACAGCCATGCAAACACAACTGCTTCACGGTTGAAACACGAATGGAACATAGGTACCCAAGCAATCGACTTTTGTACAAAGCATACAGCCCATGTGATCGTAAATGGTCATTGTAGCCTATGGAAGCCTGTAATACTTTTTTTAATGGGTGATAATGATATGGTAACCCCGCCTGCGCTATCGGTATACACTGGCGGGGCACCAATGAGGGATGATAAGTGACGATGGAAGCAGGTCAGTCAGCCCTTCGTGACGAATTCCACTAGAATTAACCACGGTGGTTTCCAGGGGGAACCACCGCGGAGATTGACTTGATAGGCTGTGTTGCTGGCAATCTATTGCATCCAGTCTACTGGGGTCAGTTAGACCCCATTACTAACAATCCCTTTCCCTCCCCAGTGAGGTATGATAGGTGAGGATGAATCAAATCAATTGCCACATCATGATCAATTCGGCAAGAATTAACCGAGATTGTAGTGATGGTGTTCAGGAGGAGCTATGTGCAGTAAAACCATATAGGATACATTGCTAGCAATAAGGCTGTTACTACCTCGAAGATAAGGTGAAGCTGGCATCCAAAAAACTCGATATGCTCAATAAAGCGAAGCATTACTTCACGCCGGATCAGCGATTAATGCTCTACAAATCCCAAATCCGGCTCCACATGGAGTATTGCTGTCACTTATGGGCCGGAGCACCTAAATACCAGCTTGAACCCTTCGACTCGTTGCAACGACGCGCTATGAGAATTGTCGGTGATCCCATGCTTACAAGCGGTATCGAACCCTTAAGTCTTAGGAGAGATTTTGCCTCACTCTGTGTGTTCTACCGCTTGTACAACGGATTATGCTCAGAGAAATTGTTCAATATGATGCCCACGGGCACTTTCTACCATCGTACAGCTCGCCATCGAAAGAGAGTTCATCGTCATATCCCACAGCCTCAATGGTCGCGTACAGCGCGGTTTCAGAGACGTTTCCTCCCACGAACACTCAGGTTGTGGAATGAGCTCCCTGCCGAGGTTTTCCCAAGAGCCTACAGCATGGGGTTCTTCAAAAGGGGGGTAAAGAGGTTCGGCAACGCACGCGTAACACCTCTGGTATTGCAGGTGTTCATAGGCTACGGTAACCTCTTACCATCAGGTGGGCCGTATGCTTGTTTGCCACCTCAGTGGTATAAAAAAACTCCATTACTAACTCCCACTCCTCCCCTCCCCTCTAGTTTAGTAATAATTATGCTTTCATCCAATATTCTTTAAAACCAGAGTGCCGGCAGTACCAGCAAGAGATATGTCCATGCAGACTGATCAGAGTCAAGAGAGACGATGACGGTGACTATAATGCAGTCAAGGAGCCTGAGGTCGTCCACGGAGTAGACTCTAAACCGAATGAATTCACCAACATGGTTAGTTATAACTAAAGTTTCATCCCAACCATCTGGACGAGTGGCGCTTCTCCACCGTGCGTTTTTCAAGGCACTTTCTCCCACGCACAACCACCCTTTGGAATCAACTTCTAGCAGCAGTATTTCCGAACCGATACGACAACATAACCTTTAAGAAAAGAGCATATTCCTTTTTAAAAGGCCGGCAGCACACATGCAATGCCGTTGGTGTTGTGGGTGATCATGGGCGGCGGTAGTCACTTACCATCAGATGAGCCGCATGCTTGTTTGCCCCCTGTGTTGTAAAAAAAAAGTTATATTTGAATCTTAGAATGGCTAAAAATCTAACGGCTTTATGGGAATCATTAACCGTTACTACTAGACACGAACAGCACCATGGACATAACAGAATACTCTACTACATGGTATATTTCATAAGTTACCTTTCCTGTGAAGTATGGTTTTTTTGGGTAATGATGGAATGGTAACCCCATTTGCGCTATCGGTATACACTGGCGAGGTACCAGTGAGGTGTGATAAGTGAGAATGAAAAAACGGGTCAGTTAGCCCATCGTGATGAATACACTTGGAATTCAGCATGATGGTTTCCATGGGGGACCAAGTGGAGATCAACTGGTAGTCCGTATAACTAACAATCCTAAGTATGGTGTTATGTCTTCCTACCCTGTAGATTCACTGCCATATCTCACCCTTCAGACCGAAACACAGCCATGCAAACACAACTGCTTCACGGTAGAAACACGAATGGGACAGAGGTGCCGAAGCAAAAGACTTTTGTACAAAGTCTTCCTTTGCTGGTAGCAAGTAGGTAGCAACTATGGTAGCTCATAAGTTGTCTTTCCTGAGGAGTATGATATTATGCCTCCGTACCCTGTAGATTCACTGCCATATTCCACCCTTCAAACAGTAACACATTCAAGCAAACAGCAGTGAAATGGACCAGGATTTGAGTTCCCTAAAATATGGTTAACTGCAATGATGGCTGGCTTATCCGTCATACTCGTGAATGGATGCTGCTTGTGAGGACTGGTATGCTCATGTTTCCATGTTTATTTTCTATTTATCTATACATATGGTAAAATAAAACTAAAGAGGTCGAATGTCTGTACATACGTACAGAAAAAGAAAACGCTAAAAACCGAGTCAGTGGGATGTTAGAAGTGAAATAGAACATATTTTCTTTGAATCTAGGCCTTGCTTGGCTACGGTGACAATGTCTCGACAGCGCAGTGGTCGTGTGGAGGCAGCGTGATCAGCGAGCGATATATCCTCACCGCCGGACACTGCATCAGCGGGAGGGACATGTGAGTAGGAGGACAAGACTATCAGTAAATTTACAAGAGTCTACGGTAGAAGGTCATAACTACGATCTTTGTATTGTACGAATTTTGTTTTGGAAATAAATATTATTCATTTTACAAACAAGCGTACAAACCGGCTGATAGTAGACGTTTACCATATCTTATAAACTCTTACAATACCAGAGAGAGACTTTGTACAAAAGCCGATTGCTAAGGCACCTCTGTCCCATTCGTGTTTCTACCGTGAAGCAATTGTGTTTGCATGGCTGTGTTTCAGTTTGAAGGGTGGGATATGGCGTGAATTTACAGGGTACAGAGAAATAACACCCGAGTCCTCAGGAATGGCAACGCATGGGGGGTATCATGGGCGAAACAGTATACTCTGTTATGTCCATGGTACTGTTCATGTCTATAGGCGACGGTTACCACTTTCCATCAGGTGGGCCGTCAGCTTGTTTGCCATTCTAAGTTGTATAAAAAAAAAGTATTACGCACGTATTGCCAACCCTGAAGCTTCTTCGGCATGCCAATTTTGAATTGAGGATCTTTTTTCAGAGGCAACGTAACTTTTGCGGCCCTGGGTATACTGGCGCGCTCAGATATCGTCGAGAACTTGGTGTATAAAGTGAAGAGGATCATACCGTACCCTGAATACAAGCCACCGAGCAAGTACCACGACATCGCACTGTTGAAGACGGAGCGCGAGTGAGTATTCTCTGAATATATTTTCGAACCATAAACGAAGATAGATAGATAGATAGATAATTTAACCTACAGATATACATAAAAAGCGAGATAAGAGAAATGTTGAAGCTTCTAAATCGATACGATCGAAAGGCACGAGTGTTTATGTTCCAATTATATTGCGTATTTTGACAATCACAAAGCGTATCAAAAACTGTAGCAAGAATAAATGTCCTAAATAATATGGCAAGAAGCAATGTCCGAAAAATTTTCGAAAACTATAAATTTGTATTTATTTACAAAACAAAATTTAAACTTGAAGACTTGTACTCTCGATGCGCGAGGCCAACTCGCACTTGACCAGTTTTTCTTTTTTATTTATATTTCTTTTTTATCAGCATCATGTTCTCGCAACGAATCCAGCCGGCCTGTTTGGACGTGGTCGGTAGTGTGCCGGACGGTAATGGCGTTACGACCACCGGTTGGGGCGTGCTGGGCCGCGGGGCTGACACTGCCAATATTCTTCAGAAGGTACCATTTTTACTAGAGGGAGACTTTGTACAAAAGTCGTTTGCTTGGATATCTCTGTCCCATTCGTGTTTCAACCGTAAAGCTTGTAAAACCGTAAAAGTTGTGTTTGCATGGCTGTGTTTCGGTTTGAAGGGTGAGGAATAACACCTGAGTCCTCAGGAATGGCAACGCATGGGGAGTATCATGGGCGAAACAGTATACTCTGTTATGTCCGTGGTACTGCTCATGTCTATAGGCGACGGTTACCACTTTCCATCAGGTGGGCCGTCAGCTTGTTTGCCATTCTAAGTCGTATAAAAAAAAGGTAGGTAATGATTTTCCAATACTAGCACTTTTATTTGAAATGAGAAAAAGCAAGATCCCGGAAGCACACCCACTAAATCTCAACCCTACTAGTGAAGTATAAATATGGCAACAGGGACGAATATAAATAATAATAATAAATCTCTTTAATTTCAGGTATATACCCATAGTTTACAGTTACATTATTAATTATACAAACTATTATTTTTTTTTAAATACACATTAATTATAAAATACTAATTTAAATTATTTCATTATAGAATCTTTTGTCGTCAGGTATGCAGCGAGGAATACAGTCTTTACAATATAATTACTTATTGTCATTAAACTTTCATGAAATTTTGCCCTATAATTACGTAAAATAGCAAAAAAATCATTAACCCTCTTCTGTGCAAACATGCCAGACGCACTACACCGCCATGGCAAGTTGAGCATCGCTCGGAATGCGTTATGCGGAATAAAATCGAATATAAATATTCCATCCCCTCAGAGAGGGGACGTGTGATATCTCACGATAGCTGTGAGTCATTTAAAGTCTGGACGCTGAACGGTCAACACTACGCTTCGAGTGGCAATCTGTTAATTACCTGGTGATGCCTCATTTAGTCAAACGTTTAGGGTTATTAGTAATGCGGATTACCAGTCCCATCGCTAACAGCATACCCTAACAGGTCGACCTCAATTAGTCCCCCCTGGAAGCCATATGCTGAGTCCCAGGTGTATGTATCACGATGGGCTAACTGACCTGCCTTTTCATTCTCACCTATCCATCATTGGTACTCCGTCAGCGTATACCGTAAGCGCAGGCAGAGTTACCATTCCATTATCATCCATTAAGGAGAAAGAAAAAAAAAACATATGTCACTACGTGTGCGTAAACTAAATAGCGGTCAGAGACGAATATAGGAAAGGTCTTAGAACCTCCACTAATAATAACAATTATGTGTCTTTAAATATTACCAGACGCATACTAAAGGTAGACGAATTAAACAAAACAATTTTAATCTACAATAACTGTATACTATTCCATTTTCCTTAGCTAAAACTGGGGTCTCTCTCTCTCTTTCCTATCTCTCTTCTCTCTTCTTTCTCATCTCGCTTTCCTCTCTCTCTCTTTTATTTCTGTCTCTTTATCCTCTCTCTCTCTCCTTGGTCTCCTCAGCTAAAGTCTTAAGAGTGTGACGGAATAATAAACATGGCTCATCAAAATTATTTCAAGCGGTGGTGTTACAAACCATCTAATAACTCGAACAATTTTATAAATCTACTAAAATTTAAAATTCACACTATAGCAAATTAATCATTCCTTGCAGACAGAACTGTTCCAGTTCTCCAAGGAGGAGTGCTCCTCCAAGTACAAACCTAACCGCTTACTGAAGCGAGGCATCGACCACAGCACGCAGATGTGCTATGGACACCGGGAGAGACCCACCGACACTTGCCCGGTAATGAACCCTGGATATCTGCAGGGCCAACCTCAACCAAACGCCTATAGGCAAATTCGGCCACAAAGCCTTGTCGCGTGGTTTCTAATGTGCCTTCGGAAATCTCCAGCGTCTTTGGAATTTGACGTTCTTGGACGTTGCCCGAACACAGTCTTAAAGTCGGTATTGGATATCTGTCGATGCTGAAGATTAGGACCCTGGAATTAAGCAGAACTTATGAGTGTCAGAAAATTTGATTTTTGTATAAACTAGCAAACGAGCTGACAGTCTACCTGACAGAAATTGGTAACCGTAGCCTGTAGACATGAACAGTGCTGTGGGCATCACATTCAGTACTTGTTTCATTTATTGCTCATACATACATACATATCTGTCATGGCTGTCTTTTTTTTATACAACTTAGAATGGCAAACAAGCTGACGGCCCACCTGATGGAAAGTGGCAACCGTCGCCTATAGACATGAGCAGTACCATGGAAATAACAGAGTATATTGTTTCGCCCATGATATCTCCCATGCGTTGCCATTCCTGAGGACTGAGGTGTTATGCCTCTGTACCGTGTAAATTCACGCCATATCCCACCCTTCAAACCGAAATACTGCCATGCAAATACTCCCATTTGAGTAGGCAGAAACAATGGAACGCCAAATGCTTCGAGTCAAACAAACCTCTTTTGCACCTTTCATTTATTATTCTGTAGAATTGAAATAATGACATTAGTGTAATTACAGGGTTTGGGAGTATATGTTATGCCAATACAATAGTTCTCAGAAATGGCAACGCATGAAGGCGAGGGGCAAGGGGATATCATAAGCATCTTGTGTTTAATGTGGCGTCCACGGTGCTGGTCATATCTTTGCCACTTTCCATTTAGCGGTCCATCAGCTCGTTTGGCGTTCCAACTTGACTTCTGTAGAGCGAAATGGTAGAGCTTTTAGTTAAGTTTTTGGAGAATTCTGCTATATTCCTGTAACTTGGAACTTTTGCAGGGCGACAGCGGCGGGCCTCTGCTGATCACAAACAAGTTCCTCTGTCTCCACTCCATCATCGGAGTGACCTCGTTCGGGTCCGCTTGCGGTATTATGGGCACGCCCGGGGTCTACACTAGGCTGCTTGCTTACCTGCCCTGGATAGAGAGTGTCGTGTGGCCTTAACTATTATCATATCAGCTGTTGTATCACTGCATAGGCCTCTTTCTTGGGAGGGTTTGTCAGTGGCCAGCACTGACAAACCCTCCCAATTAAAAAATTAGGAGAACTGGCAACCGCAGTTAGGCTTTGGTGATGTTTTAAGAGAGACGCTGCTGCCCATCCCTCGAGCTTTAAGTTCTCTTATGTGCCTCTTACGACACCTATTGGAATGGAAGGGGCGGACCATTCTATGCCGGGAGCACACGGCTAAATATTATGTTTTTTTTTTCTAAATAAATGAATATAAATTTTTAGAATTTTTTTTGACCCTGGTTATCACACTAATTTTTAATATTCGAAATGGCATACAAGCTGCCGGTGCAGCTGATGGAGAGTGGTAACCGTCGCCTATAGACATGAGCAGTACCATGGACGTAATAGAGTATACTGTTTCGCCCATGATACCCCCATGCGTTGCCATTCCTGAGGACTCAGGTATTATTCCTCTGTACCCAGTAAATTCACGCCATATCCCACCCTTCAAACCGAAACACAGCCATGCAAACACAACTGCTTCGCGGTTGAAACACGAATCGGACAGAGGTACCCAAGCAATTGACTTTTGTACAGTCTCCCTCTGGTACCTTTATTATCCTTTAAAAAAAGATATCTGGTAGTTACTTATAGGTCGAAAAACAAGTTTGTGTTTGTAATTGTTCGCGACATTGTAATCATTTGTATAGTTATAACGATATTTTATAGTTATTTGTTAGCATAAATCATTAGTTTTTTAATCGTTTTAAATTGTTAATTTTACATAGATTTTTACGATGTATCTATAGCTCGTAAGTTGAATAAAACATTTTTATTGTGTCTTATCATTATTACCCGTAAATAGAATAAGAAAGAAATTGTAAAAATAATAGAAATAAGGATAATTGTACAAATAAATAGACGCCGAAACGGTGCCACTCTGAAGAGTAACGCGTCCCTCTCACACTCGCCCCGTCCCGCTCGCACAGACTCGCTAATGTGAGTTGGTACATGTTGTCGTGCGACCGGGCGGGTATAAAGATAGGCCGCCTACCGCCGAGCGGCATGCTCTGCACTCCCCAACCGATAAGAAATAGGACAGAAACTCTTCAGAACGGAACCGGGGCTTCAAGAAAAGGAATTATTGTGTTTCTCTCCAGCCTGAACCAGCGCCCCTACAGTCCACGCTCACCGAGCGGTCAAGCTGCACCGTTCAGTAATTTTTAATTAATAAATGAGTATAATTATTATGACTCATATTTAATATTCCTTTGGAATTCCTTATGCAATTTATTGTCCTTATTTGCTATGGTTGGATATTTTAAACTGACCTTTCCTTATAGATGCACTTGGTAAAACTGGTTTTGTTGTTGGGCTGTATGCAGACAGATTATTTACGCGCCAACTAGTTTTTTTTTTTATCGAACCTACTTCTTAAATAAAAAAAAAGAATAATAACGTCGAGGAAGCAAAGAAATAATAGCACGTCACTTGAAAAATGGACATTCGTATAGCTTTTTTTTTTATGAATGATATAGGGGTTTGAAAAAATGGCGGGAAAGGTGTGCATTTAGTTTAAATTGAAGAGCTGTAATTTAGCAATTTCAACTTGTACCAAACGAATGTTTCATTTATGGCTTAAAAAATGTACAATATAATAAACTTTCCTCAGATTTTTTATATCTTCCCTTGAAAATGTTTAGAGGAGTTTGCCACTTGTCTAGAGGGCCTGGTATGGACACGTGATGCGCGGGGATGAGAAGCATGTCTTAAAAAAGGTATTAGGAATGAATGTGGATGGTTATAAGGACAGAAAAAAGACATAAAAATAGGCGAAACAGTATACTCTGTTATGTCCATGGTACTGCTCATGTTTATAGGCGACGGTTACCACTTTCCATCAGGTGGGCCGTCAGCTTGTTTGTTATTCTAAGTACTATAAAAAAAAATATTTTAATTACTCAGCCATATTAGCAATATTGTGTATAAAATGTATTTTATAATGTGTATGTAATACTGTGCTGCCCTTTACACCCTAATAGCAAATTGAGGGGAGAAAGCGATTGTTAGTATCGGGAGTCTAATTTCCCCACTGCTAGCAATACAACAATTGATAGGGTCAAGTGGACCTCTGGAAACTACCATGGTTAATTCTAGTGGAATTCGTCACGATGGGCTAACTGACCTACTTTCATCCTCACCTAGCATCTCTCACTGGTGCCCCGCCAGTGTATACCGATAGCGCAGGTGGGGTTACCATACCATTATCATCCATTAAAAAATCTCGTATTTACCAGGACTCAACCACGATGGTTTCTTGAGTATATTATTTACAATGGGATCATTATTTTTTTTTACAAAATAGTTTTTGTTACTTTTTTAGAAGTCATATTTCTTTTATAAAATATTCAATTTTATTAGTACTAAACTTTCTTTAAAGAATGATTGATATTAATCTAGCCCTTTAAAGGATATACTGTGCTACCCATAGCACCTTAATAGTAAATTGAGTGTTTATATTGTTAATTAATTGTAGCATATGTCCGTATGCGCCCTTACATTTAGCTTCATATGATATTCACCTATTGTCCGTTTTATTAAAGCGTCCAACGGACGTATTTCTTGTTTATTATTATACATAACTATTTTATTAATTAAGCTTAAAAATAATATTTCATATCTCATAAGTAAATGAAGAAATAATTGTTAATCTGTGGATTTCAAAAAAAGAACATAATTCAGTAACCGCGTTCCTCGTATTGCACATAGATAAATCCATAGACATAGTATTATCTAAGCATGAATCGCTGTTATTATGCTTAATCTATGAAATAAATAGAACAATAATTTATTAATCTGTGGATTAAATTAAAATCAATTGCCGCGCTTTTTTAGATTTGTTTTTTTTTAATAAATGTTTATTTTTCGATTTCAAAGGTAGAATGCTGTATCAAATTAAGATAATTTTATTGTTTGTAATTTATTATGGCTGTGCTTTGGAAGAAGGTGAGATATTATTTAAGTATATTACCCTACTTATTTTCAATCCTGTGTCATGGGGTCGACACAGAGAACAGATTTCCAAATATTATTTGATCATTAATTAATATCATTCACCACTTGTCAATTAAGAAATTTTGCCTCAAATTATTTTTAATTACAAAATAACCAAGAATAACTACGAGTCACGATTTTAGCGCCATCTCGTTTTTCGTGTCCAATTGTTTTTAGTGACCAATCACTTTAAAATGTATTTTTGTACAAAATCCAACTTTTCCTCCGCATACTATGCTACGTATGCGTGGATTACAGAAGCAGAAAAATAGATTATACTGTGACGTCCACGGTACTCCTGTTGCATTCTCATTTCGTAGTACTAAAGTTGTATGATAGACCTAATAATTTCACTGCCATATCTCACTCTTCAAACTGAAACACAAGTGGGACAGAAGTACCCATACATGTCGTGTGCAAACAACAAAATCATTGATTGGTGGAATATCCAGTAGGACCAGTCCCGAAGTTGCTTGGAAGAGATGGTTGTTTAGAAATAAAACCTCTTTACTTCGCTTTTTCAATCTTGTACTACACTGTTTTTTGTACATGTTTAATGTAATCCTATTATTTTCTAAGTTTTTGTTCCTTCATTTAATCACTGACAGTTATTTGTCACTCGTCATTTATCGATCGTTATTCATCTTTCGTCTTTTTTTATACAACTTAGAATGACAAACAAGCTGACGGCCCACCTGATGGAAAGTGGTAACCGTCGCCTATAGACATGAGCAGTACCGTGGACGTAACAGAGTGTATTGTTTTGCCCATGATACCCCCCATGCGTTACCATTCCTGAGGACTCAGGTGTTATTCCTCTGTACCCTGTAAATTCACGCCATCATAATCAGAGTATCATCTCACCACATGTTCATTTCATTTCAGGCAGTTTTTGTACAGATGAAAACGACAACTGGCCCGGTGTATGTAAACGCTTCACGGAATGCTTCAAGTCGGCGGACGAGTTCAAACGTAATCCGCATAGAACTGTGAGTATGGCGTATTAACTACCCGATATGCACATAAAATTTCATAAAAGTCGGTAAAGCCGTTTCGGAGGAGTTTGGTAACAAACACCGTGACACGAGAATTTTATACATATAATATAACAGTAATTTATAATTAAAATGCCAATTATATTAGATATATATATATATATATATATATATATATATATATATATATATATATATATATATATATATATATATATATATATATATATATATATATATATATATATATATATAGTACATTACTGCAGCGCCCAGCAACTAAGGCATTAATGGACGAACGTGCAAATGTGGGCCGAGGCGAAGCCAAGACATACATACGTGAGTACATCAAAGCCTAGTTGTGTGCCTAAAGGTTTGTTATTCGTCATTGAACTTGAAAAGTAAAATTGTGTTTTTGATTTCCGCGCATTGTTTGAGAAAAATACTATACAAGCCTTGGCCACAACTAGGCATTGATGGACTTACGTATGTGTGCCTCGGCTACGCCTCGGCCCACATTTGCACATTCGTCCATCAATGCCTCAGTTGCTGGCCGCTGCAGTAATGTACTAATAATACATAAGGTGTATTTATATAAGTTATATATATAATAATGTTTAACGATGTAACATACGAGTACATTATTTATTAATATGTAATGGCAATCTAAATAACATAAAATTGTATCTATTTTAATTTTCCCTTGTTTTCTAACATTCTAAAACGCATGCCTACATCGTTTAAAGCAATTAAACAGAAAGAAAGGAAAAAACATTTATTTAGTGTTTAATTTCACACATACATTCATACAATTACATAAAAAAAAATGAAACATTTAACATAAACAAAACAAAACTAAACTTTCCTTCGTTTTTCGTAAAATAAGTAGCCTATGTTCTTCCTCACGGTTCAGTGGTTTTGATGTAACAGACACATTTCCCTTCACTGCTCTGCTCCTATTGATCGTAGCGTGATGAAAAGTATACTATAACCTGCCCAGGAGTATGAAGAATAATTGTACTCAGTTTCGTTAAAATCCGTCGAGTAGTTTTTGTTTCTATAACGAACATACAGACAGACAAAAGTTTTACTGATTACATTTTTGGCATCAGTATCGATTACTAATCACCGCCTGATAGTTATTTTGGAAATATATTTCATGTACAGAATTGACCTCTCTACAGATTTATTATAGGTATAGATTTTAAAACTGTTTAATGCAAATACCCATATATAAGGGGAGAAAGGGGATTGTTAGTAATGAGTAATAATAGCCCTGTTGCTAGCAATATACTCTAACAGGTCGACCTCCACGCGGTTCCCCTGGAAACCAACGTGATTTATTCTTGTCAAATTCTTCACGATGGGCCAACTGACCTGCCTTTATCTTCACCGATTATTAATCACTGGTACCTCGCCAGCGTATGCCGATAGCGCAGGCGGGGTTACCATTCCATTTCCACCCATAAAAAAAATCTGTAATATAAAAGCCATAATTATTTCTCTATTTTTTTTTTAACAGACATGTGGCTTCAAAGGAGACGAGATCATAGTTTGTTGTGTAAACGCAACGAAGCCGAATGTTAACAAGTAAGATATATATAACTTTCTACCTTCTTTATTAATCCGACTACGAATTCAAAGAATTCGACTACTAATTTTATTTATTCGATTACAAATTTTATTCATTCGACTGCTAATATCATTCCACTGCTAATATCATTCCACTGCTAATATCATTCCGCTGCTAATATCATTCCGCTGCTAATATCATTCCGCTGCTAATATCATTCCGCTGCTAATATCATTCCACTGCTAATATCGTTCCACTGCTAATATCGTTCCACTGCTAATATCATTCCACTGCTAATATCATTCCACTGCTAATATCATTCCACTGCTAATATCATTCCACTGCTAATATCAATCGACTGCTAATATCATTCCACTGCTAATATCATTCCACTGCTAATATCGTTCCACTGCTAATATCGTTCCACTGCTAATATCATTCCACTGCTAATATCATTCCACTGCTAATATCATTCCACTGCTAATATCATTCCACTGCTAATATCATTCCACTGCTAATATCAATCGACTGCTAATATCATTCCACTGCTAATATCATTCCACTGCTAATATCAATCGACTGCTAATATCATTCCACTGCTAATATCATTCCACTGCTAATATCATTCCACTGCTAATATCATTCCACTGCTAATATCATTCCACTGCTAATATCGTTCCACTGCTAATATCGTTCCACTGCTAATATCATTCCACTGCTAATATCATTCCACTGCTAATATCATTCCACTGCTAATATCATTCCACTGCTAATATCATTCCACTGCTAATATCAATCGACTGCTAATATCATTCCACTGCTAATATCATTCCACTGCTAATATCATTCCACTGCTAATATCATTCCACTGCTAATATCATTCCACTGCTAATATCATTCCACTGCTAATATCAATCGACTGCTAATATCATTCCACTGCTAATATCATTCCACTGCTAATATCGTTCCACTGCTAATATCGTTCCACTGCTAATATCGTTCCACTGCTAATATCGTTCCACTGCTAATATCGTTCCACTGCTAATATCGTTCCACTGCTAATATCGTTCCACTGCTAATATCGTTCCACTGCTAATATCGTTCCACTGCTAATATCGTTCCACTGCTAATATCGTTCCACTGCTAATATCATTCCACTGCTAATATCATTCCACTGCTAATATCATTCCACTGCTAATATCATTCCACTGCTAATATCATTCCACTGCTAATATCATTCCACTGCTAATATCATTCCACTGCTAATATCATTCCACTGCTAATATCATTCCACTGCTAATATCATTCCACTGCTAATATCATTCGACTGACATGTTCAATTCATTTGTCATTCATATTCAATTCATTTGTGTTTCATGTTCAATTCATTTGTCATTCATGTTTAAATCATTTGTCATTCATGTTCAATTCATTTGTCATTCATGTTCAATTCATTTGTCATTCATGTTCAATTCATTTGTCATTCATGTTCAACTGAAACAGACTTTGTTTTTCTAGAACCTCGTCTCTATTAAACACGACTGTTGGCCTCGACCCGGATAACTGTCCTGGCAACGTCTGGATACCTGACAAGCCCATGCCTCAAAAAACTGGAAGCAAAGCCTGGGACAGTAAGTGTAATTGAGACCTCTTATTCATGAAATCGTCAAACGAATCTATATATTTTAGATACAATATCTATATCATCATTGCGTCAGAGGTGTTCTTCTCTAAAAATCTGTTTGATTCTAGAATACGGGCATACGGGTATGCGACCTCGGCCTCCCGAGGCGCTGCAGTGTCCCAGTCTTTTCCGCAAGTGCAGTGGAAAGGGGGGACCCTTTCCCTTCCCTTATTCCTCTCTTTTACTAATTTCCTTTAAGCATTTCTAACGTTCCCTTCCATTTTTCCTGAATCCTTTCAGCAAACCGTAGGTGGCGGACACCGCCAACAAATGCATTCCCAAAGAGGGTTAACGCCAGGCAGGCGGCCGGTCGTAAAACTTTATCATCACCATCTTCCTACCCTTATTCCAATTATTATTTGGGGTCAGCGAAATATGATTTTATCCATATTTCTGAAGGATTTGGCTTATAGTTTTACGACCGGCCGGTCTATAAGCCACCAACAAATGCATTTCCAAAGAGGGTTGACGTCACTCAACCCTCTTCGGGAATGCATTTGTTAGCGGTTTCTGCTACCCACGGTTTGGAGGAAAGGATTGAGGAAAAAAGATACAATAACTATTTACTAGTCCAATAACGAATATGTTAAATGTCTGATATGGGCGATATCGAAATGGGTGATTATCTTTTGTCCGTCATCATCGTCCGAAAGAACCCAATATTTATTAAATATTTTAGGGGTATCAATAAAGCCCATGTCTACATCGAATTGAAGACAAAGATATTTTTTTTGCAAACATTGCGTGTATAGGTTTGGATGCGGTTATCGCATTTATAATCCTGAGAGTTGAAGCAGGGCGGTAGCTAGATCCAATTTTAGAGTAGGGCAAAAGATTTTTTTAGTAGGGTAGAAGCCATAATGAAGTGACTTCGGAAAAATGAATCTGTCTAATTTTCTTGGGGCCTTTCATTTCAAAGTAGGGCATTAGGCCTTTTAAGATAGGGCATTGCTCCCAATCTCCCCCCCCCCCAGCTATGGACATGGGTCGAAGTTAAAAACTGGTGTGTTTTATCTTGATACCCACTTTATTACGTGATAGCCCAGCTTCCAAAATATACGCGTACATCTTTAGGTCGTGTTTAAACGTAAGCCACTAGATGGCGTTATTTGCTATTACATTGTCTATGGTTAAATACCATAGAGATTTTATTTCACTTAGTACCGGCGTAAAATTAAAAGTAAGCATAATTTTCAAACTGTAAAAATGTTTTATTAAGCTAAAAGGTAGAGGATAAACTTTATTCCAGAATGTCTGGAATACCAGGAGAGACTAGTTTTTCCTTGCGTCAAGATTGATAACAGATGGATACGAGGTAACCAATGCTATTATGGAAGATACAGGAAACGCGAGGAGAGCCTCGTGATATCAGCCGGCGGGGAGGACGCCGACCTTCTAGAATATCCCAGCACGGTTTGTGGAGTAGTTCTATAGGTTCATGAAAAAAGATTTTATGAGTAATTCATGAGCAGCTTCTGGAAGAAGAGACTAGATTTTACCCAATAAGATATATGCTGGCGGGACACCAGTGAGGGATGATAAGTGGGGATGAAAAGGCAGGTCAGTTAGCCCATCGCGATGAATACAACTGGAATTCAACGCGATGGTTTCCAGGGGAGACCATATGGAGATCGACCTGACAGAGGATATATTGCTAACAATGGGACTGGTAATTCGCGTTACTGACAATGCCTTCCCCCCAGATTTGGAGGGTTGGATATGGCAGTGAATTTACAGAGTACAAGGAGCAATACCATAGTCCTCATATTCCCACACACTAGGCTTGTGATTCTGACATAGAATGGCTCAACTCTTTCTTTCCCAAATTTTTTTCTTTGTCAAATTAAGCAAATGATGTTATTCATTCATTCATTCATAAATCATTCATTCATTTATCCCATTGGTGTCGTAAAAAGTAACGAATGGTACTTAATAGCAGCAGTGAGATCTTCAAACAACATCAAAGCCTAATTGCGTTGCTAACCCGCCTACCAAGCGTGGCAACTACTAGCAGAATACCCCTTGTGGGTGAAGCCTATGTTCAGCAGTGGACATTCAACGACTGATATATTAATAATAAATATGGACTGAGTTTTATTTAAAAAAAATTGAGGTCTTCTATCTGCCTAACAGAAAAGCTTCCTCCCACTAACACTCCGGTTGTGAAATGATCTTCATGCCCAAGCTTTCTCCAGAGACTACAACATGGGGCTCTACAAAAAGGACGTAATAAGGTTTCTCAATGGTCGCGTGACATCTCTAGGTTATAGGTACCTGGTCCATAGGCTACAGTAACCCCGTTTGCTTGATTACCACCATTGATGTATAAAAATTACAAAGCTGGAGCTTAAGAATATGGAGATTACACAATGATGATGCCCATCTATTACATTTTAGGTTCTACTCGGGTACGGTGAAGACCCAGAGACGCGTCAGTGGCTCTGCGGTGGCGTTGTGGTCAGCGAGCGATTTATACTCACAGCAGGACACTGTATATACGCGAAAACCGTGTAAGGATTGTTTGATATTTTGTTAACCAACTTAGAATGGCAAACAAGCTGATGTCCTCCGCCTGATGGAAAGCGGTAACCGTCAGCTAAAGACATGAACATTACCAAGACATAACAGAGTATACTGTGTCTCCAGTGATACCCTTCACCAAAAACATAACCAAAAGCCAAACTGCGCTTCTCAACCTGCCTGCCAAGCGTGACTGCTGGTAAAATGGCAAACTGCCTATGAAACAGCCCCGTTTCTTATGGCAATACATATTATGGGAGAGGCCTATATTCAGCAGTAGACATAAAATAGCTGATACGATGCTAATGATTATATCATCAGTATTTAATCCAACTCCTGATATTTCTGAGCTGACTGCTACTTCATACAAAGACGCCACGTTGTCCAGGGGCCCGGTGACCCACGTGGCCGCTGGAGTACTGAAGCGCAGCGACCAGACCGGTGATAAGACGCTGTACGCAGTCAAGAGGGTGATAAAGCACCCAGACTACCGTCCCCCCATCAAGTACAACGACATCGCCCTGCTGGAGACTGATCGACCGTAAGTTTTGAAACCAGTGCTCTTTTTAGAATGGCAAATAAGCTGACAGCCCGCCCGATGAAATGTGGTAACCTAAGCAAGCAGTACCATGGGCATAACAGAGTATACTTTTTCACTCATGATACCCCCCACGCGTTGCCATTCCTGAAGACTCAAGTGTTATTCCTCTGTACCCTGTAAATTCACTGCCATATCTAACCCTGCAAACCGAAACACAGCCATGCAAACACAACTTTTAGTGAAAAAAATTGTAGTGATTGCATTTTTGGCATCAGTATCGATCACTAATCACCGCCTGATAGTTATTTTGTAAATATATTTCATGTACAGAATTGACCTCTCTACAGATTTATTATAAGTATAGAATAGATATCGTTTAAAGCTGTTAGTTTCTTTGTAACTGCATATTTTTAGAATGCACCTGAGCAAAGCATTACTACCGGCTTGTCTGCACAACGGATTCCCTGTTCACGACGAGGAAGCCGTCGCGACCGGCTGGGGCGCTCTCGGACACACGAGGGAATACGCTGACACATTGCAAAAGGTGATTTGTACTATACCAATGATAATATTTCCGTGTGGTCCCGGCGTAGAATGGACCACCACTTCCTTTCCCGTGGGTGTCGTAAGAGGCGACTAAGGGAGGGCGAGGGATGGGCAGCAGCGTCCCTCTTAAAACATCTCCAAAATCTAACTGCGGTTGCCAACTCGCCTACCAAGCCTGGCAAGTACAGGTAAAACCCTCCTTATGGGAAAAGCCTATGTTTAGCAATAGACAGTTCATGGCGTACATGATAATAATGAATGAGATTTTGCCTCACTCTGCGTGTTCTACCGCTTGTGCAATGGATTGTGCTCGGAGGAATTGTTCAATATGATGCCCACAGCCTCTTTCTACCATCGTACGGCTCGTCATCGACAGAGAGTTCACCCCCATACCCTACAGCCTAAATAATCGCGTACTATGTGGTTTCAGAGATGTTTCCTCCCACGAACGCTCAGGTTATGGAATGAGCTCCCTGCCGAGGTTTCCCAAGAGACTACAGCATGGGGTTCTTCAAAAGGGGGGTAAAAAGGTTTGTTCAGGGTCGGCAACGCGCGCGTAATACCTCTGGTATTGCAGGCGTTCATAGGCTACGGTAACCACTTACCATCAGGTGGGCTACATGCTTGATTGCCACCTCAGTGGTATAAAAAAATCCATTGTGGCCAAGAGTCAGCGACGAAATTGCATAGAAAAAAGAAAAAAAAAAGAAATATAGATAAAATACAGTGTGTGAAAGACTATAAAAAAAGTCATCTGAAAAGGACCTTCGTCCCATTCATGGTTCAGCCTTTAACAAAATCTATTATATCTGCTTGGACACCTCTGTCCCATTCGTGTTTCTACCGTGAAGCAGTTGTGTCTGCATATCTGTGTTTCGGTTTGAAGGATGGGACATGGCGTGAATTTACAGGGTACAGAGGAATAACACCTGAGTCCTCAGGAATGGCAACGCATGGGGGGTATCATGGGCGAAACAGTATACGCTGTTGTGGCCATGTCACTGCTCATGTCTATAGGCAACGGTTACCACTTTCCATCAGGTGGGCCGTCAGCTTGTTTGCCATTCATAGTTGTATAAAAAAAAAAACTATTTCTTCCTACAGGTGGACCTCAGAAAATTCCAACACGAGGAGTGTTCGAAAATATATCAAAAACAAAAACATTTTAAAGATGGAATCGACAACAAAACGCAGATTTGTTACGGAGACCACGTCAAAGTTAAGGATACTTGCCAGGTAAATGTAAAATGGACTCTATTTCCAACGCTTAGCCTCTCATTTGGTCCGTTGTACGTATGAGTCGTGGCCAGTACAGCCAACCCAGCTCCGTCCAGAGGGGGGAAAGGGATTGTTAGTAATGGAGACTGAGAATCCCATTGCTAGCAATATACCCAACCAGGTCGACCTATCGCCTATCGGTTCTCCCTGGAAACTATCATGGTTAATTCCTGATGAATTCATCATGATGTGCTAACTGGCCTGTTTTCATTCTCATCTATCACCCTTCACTGGTGCTCCGCCAGCGTATCCCGTTAGCGCAGGCGGGGTTACCATACCATTTTCACCCATCAAAAAAAAAAACTCCGCCCAGAAGCACAGAAGCTTCCTGGGACCTTCACAGGCCTCACGGAGCGACATCACTGTTATTTCTAATCATTTTTAATAGTAATAAATGAAACTGCCGTACAATCCCGGCATAGAATAGGCTACCCCTTCCTTTCCCGTGGGTGTCGTAAGCGACTAAGAGAGGGCGAGGGATGGGCAGCAACGTCCCTCTTAAAACATCTCCAAAGCCTAACTGCGGTTGCCAATCCGCCAGCCAAGCGTAGCAACTACTGGCAAAACCTCCCAAAGGGGAGGCTTATGTCCAGCAGTGAACAGTTAAATTAATAATAGTGCAATATTTGTCTGGTCTGTTTGAATCGAAGCATTTGGCGTTCCATTGTTTCTGCCTACCCTAATGGGAGACAGGCGTGACAGATATGTATGTATGTATGTATGTATGTATTTGTCTGTTTCTAATATAATAACAAATTAATAATAATATATTTATTTTTCCCCTCTCACCGTACTGGTTTCGCTTCAAACTCTTTTCCCCTACATTCTTCACGACTCTGGAACGCGCTTCCTGATGCCATTAAGAGACTACCGACTAAACCGTCTTTCAAAAAAAGCGTTCACGCTCACTTTTTTACTTTATCCGAGCTGTAAGTGCTTTATATTATTCTCCATTTCGTGTATAATATAGTATATGTCATATATGTGTAAGTATATTTGTTATTTATATATAATATTTATTCGTTTATATATGTAATTTTAGTATGTACGTATATCAATAATTACTAGTACCGCATTCGAGTATTCTGACACTTGCCTATGGTTGACTGGGAGAGAATGCTTTTAGCATTAAGTCCGCCATGTACACATATTTGTACTAATGAATAAATAAATAAATATTTCTAATGTAAGTAGTATATTCATTTATTTTAACATTTATTATATAAGTAGGTAGGTATTGTATGTATTTATAGTGTATGTATTTATGTAATATTTTATTATATATTTTAATATCTTATTCAACTGTATATTTGTCTATGTATTAATAGTTGTAGCACTTCAGCTGCCCGCTAACGACATGCTTTCTCACTGTACTGGGTTGACTGGAAGAGATCTCTGTCAGAGATAAGTCCACACTTGCTCACAACATTTATAAATGCATTAACAATGTAATTTACAAGTGCAATAAAGAATATATATATACATATATTTACCAGAGGGAGACTTTGTACAAAAGTCGATTGCTTAGGTACCTCTGTCCCATTCGTGTTTCAACCGTGAAGCAGCTGTGTTTCGATTTGAAGGATGGGATATAGCGTGAATGTACTGGGTACAGAGGAATAACACCTGAGTCCTCAGGAATGGCAACGCATGGGGGGTATCATGGGCGAAACAGTATACTCTGTTATGTCCATAGTACTGCTCATGTCTATAGGCGACGGTTACCACTTTCCATCAGGTGGGCCGTCAGCTTGTTTGCCATTCTAAGTTGTATAAATATATATATATAATAATTTATTAAATTGTAAATTAATTGTAATTATTTCTATTTATAATAAAATGTAACTGTAAATTCGTAAATAGGACATATAAGCACCACATTTATCAATAAGGAATAAATAAATGAATGATTGAATTAATTAAAAAAAAAACCAGTGAAATATTTAAAGCCCAATGTCTGTCAGGGCGACAGCGGCGGTCCACTGACGGTGGAGCACCCCAACATCGGCTGCATGCGCTGCGTGGTGGGCATCACATCGTTCGGCAGGCCCTGCGGCACGATCGGCCTCCCCGGGGTGTATACCAGGCTTGCACCCTACGTGACCTGGATCGAGGGCGTCGTGTGGCCTTGATTGTTGACAAAAATAAATAAAACTGCAAATTTGTTTGTAATTATTTTTATTTGTAATAAACGTAACTTTTTAATTATTATTTTATTTTTTTATACAACTTAGAATGGCAAACAAGCTGACGGCCCACCTGATGGGAAGTGGTAACCGTCGCCTATAGACATGAGCAGTACCATGGACATAACAGGGTATACTGTTTCGCCCATGATACCCCCCATGCGTTGCCATTCCTGTGGACTCAGGTGTTATTCCTCTGTACCCTGTAAATTCACTGCCATATCCCACACTTCAAACCGAAACGCAGCCATGCAAACACAACTGCTTCACGGTTGAAACACAAATGGGACAGAGGTACCGAAGTAAACGACTTTTGTACAAAGTCTCCCTCTGCTGTATTGCTAGGAAAGGGCCTGTTAAGCCTCGTTACTAACAATCCCTCCCCCCCCCCCCCCTAATAACACTGATTCGAGCGAACGAATTCGCGGGAATATTATAAGATTATATATTCAAATAATGCAATGTATATTCCACGCATAGTTTGTCAAATGAAGTGAAAATTTATTCCATGTAGAAGTCTCAATGGTCCTTCGAGCCGGACAGAACTATTAAATTAAAATTAAAAAATACATATTGCATCCGAGCGAACCAAGGTTACCGTTGGTATGTATAATAGAAATAATTACACAAATTATTTGTAACTAGCGACCCGCCCCGGCTTCGCACGGGTGGACACTACATCTCATCACATTAGAAACCTCTAAATTTATCAGTGTTTCTCTACAATATTATGCATGTATTATACATATAAACCTTCCTCTTGAATCACTCTATCTATTTAAAAGCACCGAATCAAAATCCGTTGCGTAGTTTTAAAGATCTAAGCATACATAGGGACAGACAGACGGGAAGCGACTTTGTTTTATACTATGTAGTGATATTATATACATACATTGTGCCACTCATGTCTCCCATTGGGGTAGGCAGAAACAATGAAACGCCAAATGCTTCGATTTAAACAAACCTCCTTCGCTTCTTCCACATTCATCAATCCTTTCATACACGCTCGCCGGTTACGGGTACTTTTAATTTGGCCCTTCTTCAGCACGTCGCCTATTTGGTCGACATACGTCCGTCTAGGGCGGCCCCTACCGACATCTCCATTCATTCTCGCTCGATAAATCTCTTTAGATTCACGGTTCAAACACGAATGGGACAGAGGTACCTAAGCAATCGACTTTTGTACAAAGTCTCCCTCTGGTGTATATTTTGTATATATATGATTTTATATATTTTTTGAATTAACTAAACAATGTGTTTGCGATTTTCCCTTTTTGTATGTATAAACGTTTGTAGACGCAGGAACACTTCAGTAACTCGTTTATTTTTAATTTTGACGAATATGAATGTATTATAATTTTTAATTAATTAATAAATTAGTTACATGTATATTAAGAGCGAGAAAATAAAATGTTTGTTTAACATCGCAATAGCAAACTGTCCCAATTCACTTCGGTGACTATTTATCATTTTTTTGCTCAATAGATGGCGCCAATACAATGTAATGTTCTCCCATATAACGAGTAGTAAAATTACATTATGGCAACCCTATTCACGCAACACGGATAAATCTTCTAAGCCAAAACCCTAATTTAAGAAAAAAAAATGAATAAATGAATATTTATTTACAAGAAACATTAACAAAAAATAGATAATAACAATTTAATTTTCGAAATTTAAATTTTAAAGTTTTTAAAAACTTAAAAAGTATAATAAGTAATGTTAACAATTCATATTAAAAAAAATATATACAAATATGTCAAATATAATTTCATGTCAAGTTGCTGTCTATACTCGACCAAATATAGACATATTATTTATTTATTTATTCATTAGTACAAATATGTGTACATGGTGGACTTAATGCTAAAAGCATTCTCTCCCAGTCGACCATAGGCAAGTGTCAGAATACTCGAAAGGTTGACCTGTTTTCAGTGAATCATTTGTATGGAGACACTCTATCTGATGTAATGTATCTATCTAATCTATATACTGTAAGCATAGATAATGTAAGCTAAGAAAGTAAGGTTATTATAACCTGGGTTATAACAATGGATATAGCCAACAAAATTTCCCTTAAGAACATTCAAGCCTGAAAGCCCCATATTAATAGTGTATTAAGCGGCCATATTCATTTATTCAATGAGAAACTAATGCACAAGCTATGTTTATGCGTTAGTAATAGTGTATCCACGCCTTAATAGTCACAGTTTTCGGTTCCAATGACTAACAAACATGGCGGCATTTCGCGCCAAAAAATGGCGGCGTGGGTGTGCATGATTTTTTTAAATACTGCATTCAATTTAAAAAAATAATATTGTAAATTTAAATGCAAAGCTTCAATAAAAAGTGAAAAATTTCACACAGAACTTAGTTTCTAATATACCGAAACAATCATATAGACAGACGAATTTTTTAAAAAAATTGTTTTGACTTTTACTACTATTATAATTTTTTTTTTGATATCTTTCATAAACGCACGCGTGACTTCCCTGATGTTGCAGGCGTCCATAAGCTATGTAAACGGGGTTACTGTAAACCCCGTTTACCATCAGACGGGCCGTATGCTTGTTTGCCATTACAGTAGTATAAAAAAATGTACAGACTTTGTCTATAATGTAATAAATACGTAAAATATTATTACATCAAACAATTAATTGTAATAGAAGAGCAAATAACAATCTATGGCTCAGATATAATTAAGTAGGTAGGTATTATAAGAAGGTCGCGTTCCTAAATCGACATAACATTAAATGTTATTACTTACTTACTATTTACACATAAAAACACTCGACTACCTATAAAACAAACTCCCACAATATACAGATATGTAGAGGGCGCCTCTTGGGACGTCCTAAAACCACAAAAATTATAAACACAAAGGAATTTAAACAAAATACAATAGAATAAAAATAATATTTATTTATATGGACTTATTTAAAAGCTCTTTTGAATCGTAAATTTTTTTTATGATTGTCCTTCTGTGTTCGGGATCTTATCTATTGAGAAGAATCCGCGATTTCAATACAATACACTAGAGCGGAGTTCCCCAACGTAGGGCCCACGCCCCACAGGGGGGCAATTTGATAGTTAAGGGGGAGGGGGGCAGTTAAAAAATGGACTCGAAGCGATTTTAACCCTCTTGCTCTGGGCTATTTAAATGTAATGCTACAAGTAGATATCGGTGCCAAATTTAACAACAAAAAAATTAAATTAAAAAATGCTGTAAATATTTATTAGGTATAATTTCGTTTGACGTTACCAAAATATCAACTGGGCGATTAGAGTCGTCGAGTAAACATTGTCGGGAAACATTATGTATGGGGGCATAAAAATTTTAGAAATGTTCAAGTGGGGCGTGGCACAAAAAATGTTCGGAAATACTGAACCGCAGCTAGCTTTGTGTTTAAAAAACATTAAAATGGAATTAAATTACTACATGTTATTTGAATTAGAAATAAATTATAAAATAATTCATTTAATTTCAAATTTACCAGAGGGAGACTTTGTACAAAAGTCATTTGCTAGGCCACTTCTGTTCCATTCGTGTTTCTACCGTGAAGCATTTGGGTTTGCATGACTGTGTTTCACTTTGAAGGGTGGGATATGTCACTATAGTTCTCAGGAATGGCAACGCATGGGGGGTATCATGGGCGAAACAGTGTACTCTGTTATGTGCATGGTACTGCTCACGTCTACAGGCGACGGTTACCACTTTCCATCGGGTGGGCCGTCAGCTCGTTTGCCATTCTAAGTCGTATAAAAAAAACACTTCACGACTCAACGGTGACGTATGAATGAGTTATAAAAATATATATATATTTTCTCTATCGATTACATCTTTATTTTAGTTCCATTCCCTGTCTGTATTTCATACGTATTTTTACAAACAAAAGAATGTTTATATTGGATAAAATTTGCATCCACATCTTAACATTATATTGTTATAATATTTTTTCATATTTCGCTCTTATTCTCATACATCGTAAGATATTCTTTACGTTTTTTCTCTCAAAAAACAAAAGACAGTAATGGTTTTTTTATGAAATGAAATGAAATGAAATGAAATGAATTTATTTTGCTAGAATGTAGGTAGTTTTTGATGAAAGAGGTTTACATTTCCCATATACATTCTGCCTCTATGTCGGCGTGCAAATTATTAACAATATGAAAAAATTACATAATTCTACATTATATTTCCCCTTATTAGTCATACTACTTAACACACACATAATTTATTACAGTAAATACATAAGAAAACAAGAGCCAAAAAGGCCGGCAGCACACCTGCAATGCCGCTGGTGTTGTGGGTGATCACGGGCGGCGGTAGTCACTTACCATCAGGTGAGCCGCATGCACGTTTACCCCCTGTGTTGTAAAAAAAAAATTAGATTACGTATATAATTGCCAAATATATATATATATATATATATATATATTACATCAAGTCAGCAGACGGCATTTTTTACTTATAATTAATATGAATAATCTATACTTATAATAAATCTGTAGAGAGGTCAATTCTGTACATGAAATGTATTTCCAAAATAACTATCAGCGGGTGATTAGTGATCGATACTGATGCCAAAAATGCAATCAGTAAAATTTTACGTCTGCCTGTCTGTATGTTCGTTATAGAAACAAAAACTACTCGACGGATTTTAACGAAACTTGGTACAATTATTCTTCACACTCCTGGGCTGGTTATAGTATACTTTTCATCACGCTACGATCAATAGGAGCAGAGCAGTGAAGGGAAATGTTGGGAAAACGGGAGAAGTTACTCCATTTTTAAGCTTCCGTCGCGTGTGCAGTCTTAATGGCCACTTTTTAAAAATGTAAAAATGTCCACCCGTGCGACGCCGATAACATTTCAATTATGGACCGTGTTGGGCACAGCGAGTACGAGAGAGGAGGACGACACTTCTTTCACTTTAGAAATAGTCTAAGGATCCGTTACAATGTTATCCAGTCATTGATATTGTATCACGATAGCTACGTATTTCCTTATTATTTTTA